ACTTGCTGGTACGAGAGCGATCTCTAATAAAACACTGCCACTCAGTAAAGTTACTCTCCTCCCCAGTGTCTCCACTTGCTGGTACGAGAGCGATCTCTAATAAAACACTGCCACTAAGTAAAGTTACTCTCCTCCCCAGTGTCTCCACTTGCTGGTACGAGAGCGATCTCTAATAAAACACTGCCACTCAGTAAAGTTACTCTCCTCCCCAGTGTCTCCACTTGCTGGTACGAGAGCGATCTCTAATAAAACACTGCCACTCAGTAAAGTTACTCTCCTCCCCAGTGTCTCCACTTGCTGGTACAAGAGCGATCTCTAATAAACACTGCCACTAAGTAAAGTTACTCTCCTCCCCAGTGTCTCCACTTGCTGGTACGAGAGCGATCTCTAATAAAACACTGCCACTCAGTAAAGTTACTCTCCTCCCCAGTGTCTCCACTTGCTGGTACGAGAGCGATCTCTAATAAAACACTGCCACTCAGTAAAGTTACTCTCCTCCCCAGTGTCTCCACTTGCTGGTACGAGAGCGATCTCTAATAAAACACTGCCACTCAGTAAAGTTACTCTCCTCCCCAGTGTCTCCACTTGCTGGTACGAGAGCGATCTCTAATAAACACTGCCACTAAGTAAAGTTACTCTCCTCCCCAGTGTCTCCACTTGCTGGTACGAGAGCGATCTCTAATAAAACACTGCCACTCAGTAAAGTTACTCTCCTCCCCAGTGTCTCCACTTGCTGGTACGAGAGCGATCTCTAATAAAACACTTCCACTCAGTAAAGTTACTCTCCTCCCCAGTGTCTCCACTTGCTGGTACGAGAGCGATCTCTAATAAAAACACTGCCACTCAGTAAAGTTACTCTCCTCCCCAGTGTCTCCACTTGCTGGTACGAGAGCGATCTCTAATAAAACACTGCCACTAAGTAAAGTTACTCTCCTCCCCAGTGTCTCCACTTGCTGGTACGAGAGCGATCTCTAATAAACACTGCCACTCAGTAAAGTTACTCTCCTCCCAGTGTCTCCACTTGCTGGTACGAGAGCGATCTCTAATAAAACACTGCCACTCAGTAAAGTTACTCTCCTCCCCAGTGTCTCCACTTGCTGGTACGAGAGCGATAAATAATAATAACAGATAATAAAACAATAATAAAACACTGCCACTCAGTAAAGTTACTCTCCTCCCCAGTGTCTCCACTTGCTGGTACGAGAGCGATCTCTAATAAACACTGCCACTCAGTAAAGTTACTCTCCTCCCCAGTGTCTCCACTTGCTGGTACGAGAGCGATCTCTAATAAAACACTGCCACTAAGTAAAGTTACTCTCCTCCCCAGTGTCTCCACTTGCTGGTACGAGAGCGATCTCTAATAAACACTGCCACTCAGTAAAGTTACTCTCCTCCCCAGTGTCTCCACTTGCTGGTACGAGAGCGATCTCTAATAAAACACTGCCACTCAGTAAAGTTACTCTCCTCCCCAGTGTCTCCACTTGCTGGTACGAGAGCGATAAATAATAATAACAGATAATAAAACAATAATAAAACACTGCCACTCAGTAAAGTTACTCTCCTCCCCAGTGTCTCCACTTGCTGGTACGAGAGCGATCTCTAATAAACACTGCCACTCAGTAAAGTTACTCTCCTCCCCAGTGTCTCCACTTGCTGGTACGAGAGAGATCTCTAATAAACACTGCCACTCAGTAAAGTTACTCTCCTCCCCAGTGTCTCCACTTGCTGGTACGAGAGAGATCTCTAATAAACACTGCCACTCAGTAAAGTTACTCTCCTCCCCAGTGTCTCCACTTGCTGGTACGAGAGAGATCTCTAATAAACACTGCCACTCAGTAAAGTTACTCTACTAAACACCAACACCAACACCACCACGGGTTTATTATCCTCCAGAGTAGACTGGAGCGCAACCGCTGTCGTTGGACTCTCTCGTGCCCGAGACCGCCGTGGAAACAGATTAGTGGTGAGGGGGTGAGGAGGGTGAGGTGAGGGGGTGAGGTGAGGAGGGTGAGGTGAGGGGGGTGAGGGGGGTGAGGTGAGGAGGGGGTGAGGTGAGGGGGTGAGGTGAGGGGGGTTAGGTGAGGGGGTGAGGTGAGGAGGGGGTGAGGTGAGGGGGGTGAGGTGAGGGGGGGTGAGGTGAGGAGGGGGTGAGGTGAGGAGGGGGTGAGGTGAGGGGGGTGAGGTGAGGAGGGGGGGTGAGGTGAGGAGGGGGTGAGGTGAGGAGGGGGGTGAGGTGAGGAGGGGGGTGAGGTGAGGGGGGTGAGGTGAGGGGGTGAGGTGAGTGAGGGGGGTGAGGTGAGGGGGGTGAGGTGAGGAGGTGAAGTGAGGAGGAGGGTGAGGTGGGGGGGTGAGGTGAGGGGGGGAGGTGAGGGGGTGAGGTGAGGAGGGTGAGGTGAGGGGGGTGAGGTGAGGGGGGGTGAGGTGAGGAGGGGGTGAGGTGAGGGGGTGAGGTGAGGGGGGTTAGGTGAGGGGGTGAGGTGAGGGGGTGAGGTGAGGAGGGGGTGAGGTGAGGGGGGTGAGGTGAGGAGGGGGTGAGGTGAGGAGGGGGTGAGGTGAGGAGGGGGGTGAGGTGAGGAGGGGGGTGAGGTGATGGGGGTGTGAGGTGAGGGTGGTGAGGTGAGGATGGGGGTGAGGTGAGGAGGGGGGTGAGGTGAGGAGGGGGGGTGAGGTGAGGAGGGGGGTGAGTGTGAGGGGGGTGAGGTGAGGGGGGTGAGGTGAGGGGGGTGAGGTGAGGGGGGTGAGGTGAGGAGGGGGGTGAGGTGAGGAGGGTGAAGTGAGGAGGGGGTGAGGTGAGGGGGGGAGGTGAGGGGGGTGAGGTGAGGAGGGGTTCAGGTTCTCGTAATGGGGTAAACCGCGCTTCGTGGGTTATACAAATCGCGCGTTCGCCTCCTCCGCCCGAGGGGCGAGGGGCTCCGGGGGAGGGGCGAGGGGCTCTGAGCTCGCCGCGATTTTCCCGCGCGTTCTTTGGGAGCGACGCGCGGTACACAGCACGCACTGTACGTACAGTCATTCTAGTGACAGCACTGTACTCGTACAGTCACTCTCGTGACAGCACTGTACCCGTACAGTCATTCTAGTGACAGCACTGTACTCGTACAGTCACTTTCGTGACAGCACTGTACCCGTACAGTCACTCTCGTGACAGCACTGTACTCGTACAGTCACTCTCGTGACAGCACTGTACTCGTACAGTCACTCTCGTGACAGCACTGTACTCGTACAGTCACTGTCGTGACAGCACTGTACTCGTACAGTCACTCTCGTGACAGCACTGTACTCGTACAGTCACTCTCGTGACAGCACTGTACTCGTACAGTCACTGTCGTGACAGCACTGTACTCGTACAGTCACTCTCGTGACAGCACTGTACTCGTACAGTCATTCTAGTGACAGCACTGTACTCGTACAGTCACTTTCGTGACAGCACTGTACCCGTACAGTCACTGTCGTGACAGCACTGTACTCGTACAGTCACTCTCGTGACAGCACTGTACTCGTACAGTCACTCTCGTGACAGCACTGTACTCGTACAGTCACTCTCGTGACAGCACTGTACTCGTACAGTCACTCTCGTGACAGCACTGTACTCGTACAGTCACTCTCGTGACAGCACTGTACTCGTACAGTCACTGTCGTGACAGCACTGTACTCGTACAGTCACTGTCGTGACAGCACTGTACTCGTACAGTCACTGTCGTGACAGCACTGTACTCGTACAGTCACTCTCGTGACAGCACTGTACTCGTACAGTCACTGTCGTGACAGCACTGTACTCGTACAGTCACTCTCGTGACAGCACTGTACTCGTACAGTCATTCTAGTGACAGCACTGTACTTGTACAGTCACTTTCGTGACAGCACTGTACCCGTACAGTCACTGTCGTGACTGCACTGTACTCGTACAGTCACTCTCGTGACAGCACTGTACTCGTACAGTCACTCTCGTGACAGCACTGTACTCGTACAGTCACTCTCGTGACAGCACTGTACTCGTACAGTCACTCGTGACAGCACTGTACTCGTACAGTCACTGTCGTGACAGCACTGTACTCGTACAGTCACTCTCGTGACAGCACTGTACTCGTACAGTCACTCTCGTGACAGCACTGTACTCCTACAGTCACTGTCGTGACAGCACTGTACTCGTACAGTCACTCTCGTGACAGCACTGTACTCGTACAGTCACTCTCGTGACAGCACTGTACTCGTACAGTCACTCTCGTGACAGCACTGTACTCGTACAGTCACTCTCGTGACCGCACTGTACTCGTACAGTCACTCTCGTGACAGCACTGTACTCGTACAGTCACTGTCGTGACAGCACTGTACTCGTACAGTCACTTTTGTGACGGCACTGTACTCGTACAGTCACTCTCGTGACGGCACTGTACTCGTACAGTCACTCTCGTGACAGCACTGTACTCGTACAGTCACTCTCGTGACAGCACTGTACTCGTACAGTCACTCTCGTGACAGCACTGTACTCGTACAGTCACTGTCGTGACAGCACTGTACTCGTACAGTCACTGTCGTGACAGCACTGTACTTGTACAATCACTCTCGTGAGCACTGTACTTGTACAGTCACTCTCGTGACAGCACTGTACTCGTACAGTCACTCTCGTGACAGCACTGTACTCGTACAGTCACTCTCGTGACAGCACTGTACCTCGTACAGTCACTCGTGACAGCACTGTACTCGTACAGTCACTGTCGTGACAGCACTGTACTCGTACAGTCACTCTCGTGACAGCACTGTACTCGTACAGTCACTCTCGTGACAGCACTGTACTCCTACAGTCACTGTCGTGACAGCACTGTACTCGTACAGTCACTCTCGTGACAGCACTGTACTCGTACAGTCACTCTCGTGACAGCACTGTACTCGTACAGTCACTCTCGTGACAGGCACTGTACTACGTACAGTCACTCTCGTGACCGCACTGTACTCGTACAGTTCACTCTCGTGACAGCACTGTACTCGTACAGTCACTGTCGTGACAGCACTGTACTCGTACAGTCACTTTTGTGACGGCACTGTACTCGTACAGTCACTCTCGTGACGGCACTGTACTCGTACAGTCACTCTCGTGACGGCACTGTACTCGTACAGTCACTCTCGTGACAGCACTGTACTCGTACAGTCACTCTCGTGACAGCACTGTACTCGTACAGTCACTCTCGTGACAGCACTGTACTCGTACAGTCACTGTCGTGACAGCACTGTACTCGTACAGTCACTGTCGTGACAGCACTGTACTTGTACAATCACTCTCGTGAGCACTGTACTTGTACAGTCACTCTCGTGACAGCACTGTACTCGTACAGCCACTCTCGTGACAGCACTGTACTCGTGACAGCACTGTACCCGTACAGTCACTTTCGTGACAGCACTGTACTCGTACAGTCACTCTCGTGACAGCACTGTACTCGTGACAGCACTGTACTCGTACAGTCACTCTCGTGACAGCACTGTACTCGTACAGTCACTCTCGTGACAGCACTGTACTCGTAAGTCACTTTCGTGACAGCACTGTACTCGTACAGTCACTTTCGTGACAGCACTGTACTTGTACAGTCACTTTCGTGACAGCACTACTTGTACAGTCACTTTCGTGACAGCACTGTACTTGTACAGTCACTCTCGTGACAGCACTGTACTTGTACAGTCACTCTCGTGACAGCACTGTACTTGTACAGTTACTCTCGTGACAGCACTGTACTTGTACAGTCACACTCGTGACAGCACTGTACTTGTACAGTCACACTCGTGACACCACTGTACTTGTACAGTCACTCTCGTGACAGCACTGTACTTGTACAGTCATTCTCGTGACAGCACTGTACCCGTGCAGTCACTGTCGTGACACCACTGTACCCGTACAGTCACTCTCGTGACAGCACTGTACTCGTACAGTCATTCTCGTGACAGCACTGTACTCGCACAGTCACTCGTGACAGCACTGTACTCGTACAGTCACTCGTGACAGCACTGTACTTGTACAGTCGCTCTCGTGACAGCACTGTACTTGTACAGTCACTCTCGTGACAGCACTGTACTTGTACAGTCACACTCGTGACAGCACTGTACTTGTACAGTCACTCTCGTGACAGCACTGTACTCGTACAGTCACTCTCGTGACAGCACTGTACTCGTACAGTCACTCTCGTGACAGCACTGTACTCGTACAGTCACTCTCGTGACAGCACTGTACTCGTACAGTCACTCTCGTGACAGCACTGTACTCGTACAGTCACTGTCGTGACAGCACTGTACTCGTACAGTCACTGTCGTGACAGCACTGTACTCGTACAGTCACTCTCGTGAGCACTGTACTCGTACAGTCACTCTCGTGAGCACTGTACTCGTACAGTCACTCTCGTGACAGCACTGTACCCGTACAGTCACTCTCGTGGCAGCACTGTACCCGTACAGTCACTCTCGCGGCAGCACTGTACCCGTAAGTCACTCTCGCGACAGCACTGTACCCGTACAGTCACTCTCGCGACAGCACTGTACCCGTACAGTCACTGTCGTGACAGCACTGTACCCGTACAGTCACTGTCGTGACACCACTGTACCCGTACAGTCACTGTCGTGACACCACTGTACTCGTACAGTCACTCTCGTGACGGCACTGTACTCGTACAGTCACTCTCGTGACGGCACTGTACTCGTACAGTCACTCTCGTGACGGCACTGTACTCGTACAGTCACTCTCGTGACGGCACTGTAGCCGTACAGTCACTCTCGTGACGGCACTGTACCCGTACAGTCACTCTCGTGACGGCACTGTACTCGTACAGTCACTCTCGTGACAGCACTGTACTCGTACAGTCACTCTCGTGACACCACTGTACTCGTACAGTCACTCTCGTGACACCACTGTACTCGTACAGTCACTGTCGTGACACCACTGTACTTGTACAGTCACTGTCGTGACACCACTGTACTTGTACAGTCACTGTCGTGACACCACTGTACTTGTACAGTCACTGTCGTGACACCACTGTACTCGTACAGTCGTGACGGCACCTATTTTGAGATTTTGGGATTGTGCTGACTTGAGATGTCCTGCACGGGGACGCAGTGTAAATAATATACTGATGATGCTGTATACAAAGTATTGCTATTGTGCTTTAGAGGCTGTGTTGGTTGCAAACTTATCACGGTTGGCTACGTATGTTGCGAAACAAGCTATAAATACATGAATTCTTAGCTTTGATAAGTAAAGGTGACACTGGGTGAGACCGAATCTTCTTCGGGTGGCCAGCTGCTTGGATTGGACCCCTGGGCAGTCTGGGAATCGGGTCTCTTCGGGTGACGGGAATTTACTTGTGCCGAGATCTCGCAGCGGCGGTGTGAACTTTATTGCGATTTACAACGCAGTTCTGATGTACCTTGGGTTGACTGAAAAAAACCCAAAATCTGGATTTGGTTTACAGTGCAATAACGGTCGCCGATGTATTTCTTGATGGCACGCCACGCACAAGGTCTATCTGAGACAAAACCCCAGAGCGCCAGTGGAGATGACAACAATTGTGATATTTTGCAAGCTGCTGGTGTCGGCTCTGACGGTGCATTGAGGCTGGCGACGCCGCTGCCGCCGCCGCTCCGTCGATTCCTGGGCAAGGCGGTGCACGGCAAGGGGGGTCGGGTTGGCTATGGACGCTGAACAACTGAAGAGGAGCGTGCGGCAGCTGGTGACCAGCCACGTGGAGGTTGGCCTCCTGTTTAAGGAGGTGAGCGAGCGCCCTCGTGTTCACTTTGCGAGATCATCCCCCACTCAGCCCAGACGCACAGCTCTTTGACCTCCCATATTAGCCAAATCTCTGCCCCCCCCTCCTCCTCATTTTCACCCCTCTCATGTTTGTTCAGTATTAATAAAAGAACAGCTAACTCCATGAAATGTCAACCTTACCAAGCTGCAGCGTGTGTACAATTCCCTGGCACGTGTCATGACTTGGTACTGCAAGATCTGACCGTGTCTGCCGAGTGCTTGCCGAGCTGCATTGGCTTCCGGTTGCCAAACGAATAAGTTATAAGACCGCGCTCATTACACGCAAAGTGCTTGCCACAAATGAACCACATTACCTTACTGATCTTGTCAAGGAGCATAAACCATCATCACACGAACTCCGGTCATCCTCGCAGCGGATTTTTGGCTAACCATTGAACAAAGACGGTCACTGCATCGCGTGCTTTCAGATGCGCTTCTGCGGCCGTCTGGAACGCTCTTCCGATATTATGAAGCCACTGTGAGCTATGCACTTTTACATCCAGTTTAAATACGAATTTCTTTAAAACTGCTTTTTGTGTTAAGTTTGTCCTTTCCCCGCGCATCTCCAATTAGCATGGTTGGCTACGTATGGTGCGAAAGAAGTTTACAAACATACACATATACATACAACAGTGAGTTCTCTGAATAAGGGCGTGCACATCCAGTAACGCCGGGCCGTGTTTATTGCTGGAATGTATCATTGTGCCGGAAATGTGAATAAAGAAAATCTTTCAAAAAATAACACACACAAAGGTGAGGGGGCATCTGTGGCACCATCCTGCATTGTCGCTCGCGTTCCCAGCACCCTGTTCCACCTCTCTGCTCTCCGCGTCCTCCGGTGTCTTACATTGTGATCCTCGCCCTTTACGTTTGCTGCGTCCGAGTTCACCGCGAGCCTTGTGTGAACGGTTGCAAGTATAATTATAATGGTAACAACAATCATGCCATTTTATTTACTTTATAAAGTCTGACAGAGTATTAAAACTTTCTCACGTGAGGCCTGTATTGCATTTTTTGGTCATTTACATTAATTAGTATTTAGTTTTGTGTGGGAGGAAAGCAGATTTGATTTGATTACAACACTTTGTCACTTTTCTCCTGGATGAAAGGATCAGCTTACTGTGGTGGTCATGGGGATTTTTTTAGCATACTTTACCACGCTGGTCCTTGGTGGTTGGTGAAAGGGTTGGGAGTGTTTGAGGGGAAGGGTGCATCAGGACTTACGTATGTCACTTGCCAATGCTGTTAGTCATGTGCGGGAATTGGACTCGGGATGCTGAGTTCTTATCAGTGCCCTAATCGATGTGCCTCCACTCCACCTTGAAACCATAGTACCCATAGAAAAACTGCTGTGCGTATGAGGGGCTAGATAACGTTAGAAGATTCGGGAATGTATTGTTCAACTGGTATTGACTGGCCACCTCCGTGGGAAAGGGTCTCTTTTTCGAATGGTGAATTGGTGTTTCTTGCGGGTGGTGAACAAGCACCACTGAAATCCTGCGTTTGAAACTGGGTGTCAGCCGCACACGATTAAACTTGGCTCTGAATTGAAGTAAGTTGATCTCTGCCTGGTTACAAATGACTGCAACAAAACATCTTGCTGGGCTTAGCACAGCTTTACATTGCCTAAATGCACTTGAAAAATATTACGTTTTCTTGTTTTTTGCTGTGTCAAGATTGCAGACCTTGGTTTAAGCAATGACATTTTGAGCACGGATCCTGGACGTTTAAAGGCCCCTGCGGTCATCGGCTGTGCAGGTACAGTTGTCCACGGTGCAAACCCAGGGGTCTCAACGTCATCTAGAGGTGAACAACTCAAATATCAGGGGGCCACTGTGGCCAACACACCGCACCCATTACTTTCTGTTCGCCAGATCTCGCAACCGTTGCACGGTGAACATCCGAGCTCCAAGGTCTGCTCTTGTAGTCTTTCAACATCTGCCTTTAGGTTATCCCTTTTGATACTGGGCTCGAGGTGCCACACCGATACCAGTCTCGGTAACCTGCCGCCCTCTATCCTGCACACACCCATCACAACTACTTCTTTATGATCACATTTGCAACGTTTTTCCATGTTCTGCTCTACACCTCCCAGTTGCATATGCCAACCATCATGCTAGGCAATTCTGGCATTCAACTGTTGCACATGTACTCAAAGATCAGAAGGTGTGCACAGCGCATGCGTGTGAAGAACACGCATGCGATTGCACTGCACATTCCTGGCAGGTATACAGGGTGGCACGGAGATAACACTCGCCTCACAGGAAAAGTCATTGGGTTCAATTCCTAACTCTGGTGCCTTTCTGTGTAGCATGTCTGTCCTCCCCCTGACTTGCATAGGTTTACCCAGAGGTTCTGCAGTTTCCAGCCATAGCTAAAGAAATCATACAATGTAACCAGTATTGGCCAAACATCCCAGTGATCAAAAGTCACCTGCAAAATATTCAGTTGAGATTAAACAGCAATATCACCACCTTCTGCAAAAAAAATTGTCAAGACACATCTGAAGAAGATTCTTGAGACTTGGTGAGGCTTTCCTGGGTAAACAAGCATGATAGTAATACAATTATTCCAAAATACATTCTTGTGGTGAAATTGGCCAGAGCTGAAACTCCCAAACTACACCTGGCACGAATGTGATGTTTGATATCCCACAGTAAACTGCCATCTTGTTGGTCTGCCTTCGTACGATACTGGACAACCCTTAAATACCACACACCCAGCAGTGCACTTATTTGAATCGTTGGCACCCGCTGTGTGCAACCTTCCATAAGTGCACATCATCATGAGCCATGATCAATCCACAGCTATACGATTTTCCTTCCCAAGCCATTATCCTGCACATGAGCCGAGTCTGTCGCTCCATCACTGCGGTGGATGTCCTCTGTACAATGGACAAAGTAAGGCATCGCGCAGTGTAACACTTTCCCCTCAACTCCCCTGTCCGACAGTGCAGTACTTTTCTTACAGCGCCGCGCTGTCTTTCTGACATTCCATAGCACAGTGCCACAGCAGGCTGTATATTTTCAGCACAGTTACTGAGCACAGGCCCAAAACGTCAAGCAACTAGCAAAAAAACAGCATGATCGGAGCTTTAATAAATTAGAGTTAATACATTTGTTGAATTGAGCACGGTTAGAATAACTCGGGGTGGGGGGTGGGGAAATAGATCATGGCAGTGGTGAGTGACACGCGCAGTTTTGTATTCATCAGTGAAGCATCATCTCTAGTTTCAGGGATGCAGGAGATCGTTAAGGAGCAAGTGGCAGTCACAGGTCTCTGTGGTGATGTCCTGGCCGCAAAGCTCCTGGCTGCCGAAGTGCTGAGCATTCTGGGAGTGCGCAAGCCCACACGGAGCGACATGGCCCACACCCCACAAGACCACACCAAGTGTCAGGCGCTGCTGGAGCCCGAGCAGAGAGTAAGGGTCCACTCATCACTCACTCGCATTCAACAGCTTGCACACAGTCAATAACTCGCACACTTTGTCAAACTGACACTCATTAGCTCACTCACTCGCACGCAACTCATTCATACACTCATTAATTCACAAACTGACTTATTTAACAACTTTCTCACACTCACACTAATTCATCTCGTACTCTTATGCGGGAAATATGCGGGGTACTGTATTTAAATGCACATACGGTCATTGTTATAAAATGTGTGACGATTCAACAACAAAGGGAAGCAGTGTTAAATTCCTAACTAAGAAGAAATATTGTACTTCGCATCTAATACTGTAATAAATATTGTATAGTAAATAAAATACTAAGGTAACATGAATAGAAAAAAAATCTGTTTTGTTTTCACGTCCCTTGATTCCTGGGCACGCACGCGCACACACAGATACACCAATGACAAAGATCCCCCATGGAGCCTTCACAGGCTGTTATGGCAAGTGCTGTTAGCGAGCTGTGCCTGTGAAGGCCGGCACGGCACATGAGGGAGTGGGTGGCCAGCACCATGCTAGGCAGCCTTTGACTCCCCAGTGGCGATGTTTACACTGCATTCGGTACCCATTTGAGGCTGAGTTGACCTCGGGAAGGCCCAGGACCCATTCAGATAAGCGTCACTGGTATTTGTCGTGAGAGGGAATTGAACTTCGGGTCGCCGGGTTGGTAGTACAGCACGGTAACCATTGAACTACCACTCCTACACACACACATACGTGGGGGCACGCACAAGCGTACACGCACACACTTAAACACACACAACAACAACAATCGCCATTCACCACTAAGTGGTGGTGACGTCACCATGGCGCTTGTGCCAGGCCATGTGCACTTTAAGGCCACGTGAAGTGTCTAATGCCTGCTGGCAGGAGGTCACAGGACAGATCCAGGTGCCATGGGTTGACTGAGATGATTGGCAGATGCACCACACACACAAACACTCTTACTCACTCGTCATTATGAAGACTGGACTCAACTGGTTTATAGTCGCCCCTCTGTTGGATGAGTCATGTTTATAGTTGCCCCTACGTTGGATGGGCCCTGTTTATGGTCGCCCCTGCATTGGATGAGCCCTGTTTATAGTCACCCCTTTGTTGAATGAATTCTGTTCATAGTCGTCCCTGCGTTGGATGAACCCTGTTTATAGTCGCCCCTCTGTTGAATGAATTCTGTTTATAGTCGCACCTCTGTTGAATTAATCCTATTTATCGTCGCCCCTGTGTTGAATGAATCCTGTTTATAGTCGCCCCTCTTGGATGAGCCGTGTTCACAGCCGCCTCTTCATCAGACAAGCTGTGTTGACAGTTACCCCTGCGTTTGGATGGATGGAGTCCGTAGTCGCCACTGCAATGGCTCGTGCTGTTCACCGCTGTCCGCAGACGAGGCTTGTGGCGGTGCTGGGCGCGTGCTCAGAGCTGCTGAAGACCACGGGGCTCAGCCGGCCTCACTTCCTGCATCAGCTGCAGCAGCAACAGGTGAGCATCACTGTGCTAACTCCCCCCCGGCCCCCCACCACAGTGCCGAGTGACCTCATGCCCGCAGGGGTAGCTGTTCCTGGGTGTGCCCTTTTCAAATGTTTGAAATGGGATGTGAAGTAAATTGCCTGGGATACAGGAGGTCGTGGGTTTTATCCCAACCCTAAAGCCTGTTGTATATTCGGAATTTGCGTGTCTCTCACCGTGGTCGCATGGATTTTTATCTGGGCCCTCCGATTTTCCCTCCACTTTTAGAATCAACATCACGCTTTAATAGTATTTGGCTGCTGCTCGTTTCCACATGATGATAAGCCACTTCGTTGAGCTATCATTTGTGGCCAGGATGCTTCGTTAAAAGAGCTATATAGCTCAGTGGGTCTTACCTGGTAAAATTTAGATAGTATAGTAGTAGTATAGTTAGATGCCCCAGCTTATAGGAGGGCGCTTTGATAAAAAAATGAATCGTGATCATCATTCTATATCTGTGGGGAGCGGTAGTATTGTGGTTACGCGCTGGACTACGAATCCGGCGGCCCGAGTTTGAATCCCAATCAAAACCAACATTATTTTCGAATGTCTGACTTGGTAATGGGCCTCCTCTAGGTTGACTCGGCCTTGGTGTGGTGTGTAAGCACATCATAACCAGCCACTGATAGCACTTTTCCCCAACAGTCTGTCAGTTAAATTTCGATTTAAAGCTTTCGTGACTGCAGGGATTCATTTTCTGGGTTCTTTCGGTAAAGTCACATAGAATGGAGATAAAATAATAAAAATAATAAAAAAATAAAATTCTCACGACGTTTCGGCCACAACACAAGTAGCCTTCAGGTGAAGAAACAGGACTGTCCAGAAGACAGCGCTTGAGTGAACCCTGCCAAGCTTGACAGCGTCTTTTAAGCTGTGTGGAAGGAACAGAAGGCCTTGGCAAAGAAGTTTACATATAAATTAGCATGTAACTGGGGGATTAGCATGATGTTGGTGTGGGAATGGAGGAGGGGGGAGAGGAGTTTACATATAAATTAGCATGTAAGTGGGGGATTAGCATGATGTTAGTATGAGGGATTAACACCACGGAGAGCGACGAGCTTTGTTCAGATGGACGAGTCCATCTATGTTCGGAACGGAGGAGGGGGAGGAAGAGGAGGAAACAGCCACGATGCGCTGCTGTGTCCTGTGCTGCGTTATAACTATGCTATAAACTAGACTACTATACATTGCTATATTATACCTTCCAATCTAAACTACATTGTATAATATCGTATCCTTAGAAAAACCCCACCCTTGAATTATACAATGCGTTACTATACACTACCCTATACTTTAGACTATAAAATATTAGACTTGTAGTATTACACTATGTATTATTCTACTAACCCTACTGTATACCACACTGCTGTATATTCACTATACAATTACAGTACTATATATTGCCTTATGAATTATGTTAAACATTACACTGTTATACTATTTATTATTATACAATATGCTATAAACTATCCTATTGACCGTCGTGTGAAAGGTACTAAGAGGCAGTGCCAGCGAATGGACTGCGGTCTGAAAGTCACCATAAAATACAATCAATCAAGAACGGAAATGGTTTATAATGTCTTTCCAATGGTTACTAAGCCGGAATCCATCTTCTCGGTTGAAAATGTCTGTGTTTGTATATGTGGATAGCCTCATGAACGAATCTCTCATGGTAGCCGGATGGCTTGCAGAGAACCTCTGTCTTGGAGAAGTCAATGTCATGTGAACCTGCTGAATTATAACAGTGATCTGCCACGGCTGAGGTGTTCATCCTACCTTGTTTCAAGTGTGTTTTATGTTCACGGATGCGGTCCGAGATATGTCGTTTGGTTTCTCCAATGTAGCTGCTACTACAGAGGCAACTTAGTTTGTAGATGCCCGGGTACTGTATGTCTGGAACTACATCTTTTACAGACGGAACCAGATCACGGATTTTATGTACTGTGTTGAATCGGACCTGGATCTTGTGTTTATTCAGGATTTTGGAGATCGTTTTTGTGACCCCCGCAATGTAGGGTAAGGTGATGGTTTTGAATGGCTCCTCAAGAGGATCCTTCTTCATGGTTGGAGTGATGGCTTTGCGGATTGTGTAGTCGGAGTAACCATTAGCCTTGAGAGCTTGGTGTACGTGCTTGAGTTCACTAGCAATGTGTTCCTGGTCGGAAATGCATTGGGCTCTATGGTATAGAGTCTTGATGAGGGAATTCTTCTGGGATGGATGGTGGTGGGAATCCGGTTTTAAGTAAGCATCCGTACCGGGTAACTTTCCTGTAGACAGAGTGGCTCATTGAACCATCAGGTCTCCTTTTAATTAGGACATCCAAAAAGGGTAGCTTTCCATTTTTTACGACTTCCATGGCAAATCTGATGACTGGGTGTATGGAATTGATGTGGTCGAGGAATTGGTCTAGAGCAGGCCGGCCATGTGGCCAGATAACAAAAGTGTCATCCAATAACCTCTTCCATAAGGTCGGGCGTAGAGTGGCAGTCTGGATGGCATCAGTCTCAAATTTTTCCATGAAAACGTTGGCTATAACCGGCGATAGGGGGGAGCCCATTGGGTTGCCCTCAGTTTGTTTGTAGAAAGTTCCATTCTTTATCCTTCCAAAGATACATAAAGAAGATACACCTCTTCGTCCCATCGTCTCTACTATAAACTCCCCCACCTACAAACTAGCTCGTTTTCTGTCTGAAATCCTGCGGCCTTTTACTGGAAAAACCACCTCTGCGGTACTAAACTCTACTCACCTGGTTTCGACAATCAAGGATATTTCCCTGTCCCCAGACGACCTGCTTGTCAGTTTTGATGTGGTTTCCCTATTCACCAAAGTTCCTGTACCTAACACCATCGCAATCATTGAAGACTTGGTTCATCAAGGACTGCATACTGATGTACCCCCCCTGGTGAGACACTGCTTAACCAACACGTACTTCACCTGGAATGGAACTTTCTACAAACAAACTGAGGGCACCCCAATGGGCTCCCCCCTATCGCCGGTTGTAGCCAACGTTTCATGGAAATATTTGAGACTGACGCCATCCAGACTGCCACTCTACGCCCGACCTTATGGAAGAGGTACGTGGATGACACTTTTGTCATCTGGCCACATGGCCGGACTGCTCTAGACCAATTCCGCGACCACATCAATTCCATACACCCAGCCATCAAATTTACCATGGAGGTCGAAAAAGATGGCAAGCTACCCTTTTTGGATGTCTTAATTAAAAGGAGACATGATGGTTCAATGAGCCACTCTTTCTACAGGAAAGCTACCCGTATGGATGCTTACTTAAAACCGGATTCCCACCACCATCCATCCCAGAATAATTCCCTCATCAAGACTCTATACCATAGAGCCCAATGCATTTCCGACCAGGAACACATTGCTAGTGAACTCAAGCACGTACACCAAGCTCTCAAGGCTAATGGTTACTCCGACTACACAATCCGCAAAGCCATCACTCCAACCATGAAGAAGGATCCTCTTGAGGAGCCATTCAAAACCATCACCTTACCCTACATTGCAGGGGTCACAAAAACGATCTCCAAAATCCTGAATAAACAAAAGATCCAGGTCCAATTCAACACAGTACATAAAATCCGTGATCTGGTTCTGTCTGTAAAATATGTGGTTCCAGACGTACAGTACCCGGGCGTCTACAAACTAAGTTGCCTCTGTGGTAGCAGTTACATTGGAGAAACCAAACGACATATCTCGTACCGCATTCGTGAACATAAAGCAGACTTGAAACACGGTAGGACGAACACCTCAGCCGTGGCAGATCATTGTTATAATTCAGTAGGTTCACATGACATTGACTTCTCCAAGACGGAGGTTCTCTGCAAGCCATCCGGCTACCATGAGAGATTCGTTCATGAGGCTATCCACATATACACACACAGACAATTTCAACCGAGAAGATGGATTCCGGCTTAGTAACCATTGGAAAGACGTTATAAACCATTTCCGTTCTTGATTGATTGTATTTTACGGTGACTTTCAGACCGCAGTCCATTCGCTGGCACTGCCTCTTAGTACCTTTCACACGACGGTCAATAGTATAGTTTATAGCATATTGTATAATAATAAATAGTATAACAGTGTAATGTTTAACATAATTCATAAGGCAATATATAGTACCGTAATTGTATAGTGAATATACAGCAGTGTGGTATACAGTAGGGTTAGTAGAATAATGCATAGTGTAATACTACAAGTCTAATATTTAATAGTCTAAAGCAGGGGTGTCCAAACTACGGCCCGCGGGCCAACTGCAGCCCGCGGTCCAGTTTTTATTGGCCCGCAGCAAATTCTGAATATATAATTGAATATGGCCCGCACAAGAAGCTTGAGCTCAACTCTGTTGCACTTCTCAGTTTCAACACTAGATGGAGCCAGCCACGGAAAACCGTGCTTCTCCACTAAACAAAATTAAGCAAAGAAAAACTTTTACCGCGAGTCACCAGAAATGGCAGCACCGAAGAAACGCAAAATAGCAAGTGAGTGTAGAATATTTCAAACACGGTGGGAAAATGAATATTTTTTCAAAGAAATCAACGGAAAGTGTGTCTGTTTGATTTGCAATGAAGATGTTGCTGTGATGAAAGAGTATAATGTCCGTCGGCACTATGAGACCAAACATCAGAGCTACACATCGTACACCGGTGCCGAACAAACACAGAAAGTCAAGCAAATGGCGGCTAGCCTGCAAGCTCAACAACAATTTTTTTCGTGCTAACAAAATACAGGAAAACGCCACAACAGCAAGCTATGAAGTCACTAAACTTATTGCCCAGCACGGCAAACCGTTCTCAGACGGTGATTTCATAAAGCAGTGCCTCATCAAAGTCACAGAAATAATGTGCCTGGAAAAAGTGCAGGATTTCAACAGCGTGAGCTTATCCAGAAATACAGTGGTGCGGAGAATCGAGGACTTGTCAGCCAACTTGAAACTTCAGCTGAGAGACAAAGCTTGTGCTTTCGATTTTTACTTGATAGCATGCGACGAGAGCACAGATGCCACAGACACCGCGCAGCTGTTAATATTTTTGCGGGGAGTAGATGATAATTTTTGCTGTACGGAGGAACTGCTTGATATGATGAGCCTAAAAGGCACAACGACGGGTAGAGATATTTTTGAAGCTGTGTCAGAGGCAGTTGAAAAGATGGGGCTTAAATGGGACAAGCTCTGTGGAGTAACAACGGATGGAGCTCCGGCCATGACGGGCGAGCGCAAAGGAATGGCATCGATGGTGTGCGCCAAGGTAAAAGAGAGCGGAGGTGAGGCTGTTAGGATGCACTGTATAATCCACCAAGAAGCACTGTGTGCCAAGACTGTCCAGCTGGGCGATGTGATGAACACTGTTGTAAAAACTGTCAACATAATTCGAGCTAGAGGACTGTACCACAGAGAATTTCAAGCTTTCCTATCTGATGTGGATGCTGAACACGCGGATGTACTCGACCACTCTGATGTGCGCTGGCTCAGCCGCGGCTCTGTGCTGCAGCGGTTTTATTAGCTGAGATCAGAAATCGACCCGTTTTTGAAAGAGAAGGGCCGACCTCTTCATGAACTGAGTGACTCTCTGTGGCTGGCAGACCTGGCATTCTTAGTTGATCTTACTCATCATCTGAATACACTGAACAAGAACCTACAAGGCAAAGAACAGCTGGTGCCACACCTGTATGCGCACATGAAAGCCTTCTGTGTAAAGCTCCGCCTGTTTGAGACACAACTACGAAGCTTTAATGCTGCACACTTCCCTTCGCTGTCTGAAATCAAGTCTGCTTTTCCAAAGGCCGACCTTTCTGCTAAAAAGGAGAAATATGTGTCTGTGATTGTATCTCTCATGACAGAATTCAACCAGCGTTTCCAAGATTTTTCTGTCATTGAAAAACAAATCAAGCTGTTCTCGACCCCCTTCCTGGTGGATGCAGAAGAAGTGGAAGAGAGTCTGCAGTTAGAAATGATTGAAATGCAATGTGATGATTCTCTGATGAGTCAACATCAGCTTCTCTCCCTCCCTGACTTCTATCAGAGTTTGGATAATGCCACGTTTCCTCTGATGAGACGCCATGCAAAAAGAATAATGAGCCTAAATTTTGATTTAAAGCTTTCGTGACTGCAGTAATTCATATTCTTAGTTCTTTCGGTGAAGTCACGTTGAAGGGAAACAATAAAATAATAAAATATATATAAAACACCTGATGACGACCGTTTGTGTTATGGTCGAAACGTCGTGATAATTTTTATTGTTTTATATATTTTATTATTTTATTGTTTCCCTTCAACGTGACTTTACCGAAAGAACTAAGAAAAATGATGAGCCTGTTCGGCTCAACATACATATGTGAAAAACATTTTCTCTGTTAAATCAGAATAAAAGCAGACTGAGAACCAGAATGACTGATAGCCATCTCTGTGAAGTCCTTTGTGTCTCAACCACCAAACTTTCTCCTGACATGTCAGCCATCCTTCAATCCAAAGAACAGCATCACTGCTCCCACTGAGTGCAATGTTCTTCACATTATAGGTAAGTTAGAAATACACACAGTATTCATGTGTCAATATGTCACCTCTAGTGTGTGGCCCGGCCTTTTGTTTATTTTTCTGTATTTGGCCCTCACTAAAAAAACTTTGGACACCCCTGGTCTAAAGTATAGGGTAGTGTATAGTAACGCATTGTATAATTCAAGGGTGGGGTTTTTCTATGGATACGATATTATACAATGTATTTTAGATTGGAAGGTATAATATTGCAATGTATAGTAGTTTAGTTTATAGCATAGTTATAACGCAACACAGGACAGAGCAGCGCATCGTGGCTGCTTCCTCCTCTTCCCTCCCCTCCTCCGTTCCGAACATAGATGGACTCATCCGTCTGAACAAAGCTCGTCGCTCTCCGTGGTGTTAATCCCTCATACTAACATCATGCTAATCCCCCAGTTACATGCTAATTTACTGTTGATATGTAAACTCCTCTCCCCCCTCCTCCGTTCCGAACATAGATGGACTCGTCCGTCTGAACAAAGCTCGTCGCTCTCTGTGGTGTTAATCCTTCATACTAACATCATGCTAATCCCCTAGTTACATGCTAATTTACTGTTGATATGTAAACTCCTCTCCCCCCTCCTCCGTTCCGAACATAGATGGACTAATCCGTCCGAACAAAGTTCTTCGCTCTCCGTGGTGCTAATCCCTCACACCAACATCATGCTAATCCCCCACTTACATGCTAATTCATATGTAAACTCCTCTCCCCCCTCCTCTGTTCCCACACCAACATCATGCTAATCCCACAGTTACATGCTAATTTATATGTTAACTCCTTTGTCAAGGCGCTCTGTTCCTCCCACACAGCTTAAAAGACGCTGCCAAGCTTGGCAGGGTTCACTCAAGCGCTGTCTTCCGGACAGTCCTGTTTCTTCACCTGAGGAAGACTACTTGTGTTGTGGCCGAAACGTCGTGAGAATTTTATTCTGTTATTATTTTTATTATTTTATCTCCATTCTACGTGACTTTACCGAAAGAACCCAGAAGATGAGTCTGTCAGTTGTGTAGGAGCGTGTCTCTGTGTGTGCGTGTCTCGAGATCGATTCTCGCTCACGGCCAACACCAGTAACGATTGTTTGAACCTGTCCTGGGCCTCCCCTTGGTCAACTCAGCCTCAAATGAGTACCTGGTGCGGTGTGTAAACATCACCACTGGGGAGAGAAAGGCAGCCGGGCGTGGTGTTGGCCACCCACCCCTCGTGTGCCGTGTCGGCCTTCATCAATACTACTCGCGAACAGCACTTGCCCCAACAGTCTGTTGCAGGCTATATGGGGGATCTTTTTTTCGTGCGTGTCTTTCTGTACATGGTGCCCAGCTGGGGTGTGTGCCGCTGGAGCTGCTGTGGTGCCTTCACGTCGCGGACGTCGTCCCCCTGCACCACTCCCTGGCCAGGTGGAGCGACTCCCCCCACTGTATCCAATCCTCTCGCTTCAGCATCTCATTTGGGATCATCAGTGCAGTGCTGCCCTTTCCTCGGCTATGTTTTCAGCTTGAAGGTTTCCTCATTTTTAAGGAATCACGAGTGCGGTATAAAAAACACTCGATTCTTTGTGTTTTTGCGGTTTTGCACCGATCTCATTCTCATTGCCAGTAATTGGTGTAATGCAACCCCACCAGCTCGTGTGAGAGGGCCTCATTTCCGTTAAGAATCATCAGTTTAGTCCGCTGTATATTATATTTAGGGATTGCTAGTAGAGTGACCTTTGCTTGTATTCCCTCATACCCAGTAAGAGGGAAATCGCCAGCATGCCATTGGCCCTGTTAGCCATAATCACCCATCAACGTTGATTTTTTTGGGTTGGGTCACGTAACCGTCTGGCAAAAATTATACCTTTAAACCCTTTACCACCCGACAGTCAAATAAACTTGTTGCATGTCAAAAGCGTTTAACGCACCGATTATGATTATTCATTCAGCTCGCCATAAGTGAGTTGACTAGTTGAACCATGCAAAGACATTTCAGTTTTAGTCGAGTGTATTTAATAAAAAAAAAAACTTGGGTTTCTTGTAGTGACCAAGCACTTCTTGAGAGAACAAAGGTAAATTAATCTGGCACTGGCTTGCCCTAGGTCGACTCGGCCAAGAATAAGTAGTCTGTGGCTGGGAGGTTGTGAACATCAGTAGTGGGGGGGGGGGGGGGGATGTGCCCTTGCATACTTGGCCCACTATTGTCCTTGCGTGCTACCTGTTCACTTGGATAATTAAACAAAACAAATCCTTGTGGTGGTCACATGACATGCAAGGGATATGGATGGGAGTCGTACCTTGCTGCTGTCTGTAAGCAGCACACCTTGCGTGCTGTTAAATGTATTTGTTTCCATGTGTCCCCTTTCGTGTTGCAATGGGGTTCTCATCATATGCAAGAAACTGCTAAGATTTGAATTGTGGTCATCTACAGCTGACGAGTAGCCGTGATGATAAAGACACGATCCACCAACTCCACCTCCATGGTGATGCGGCAGTGTCGTGTGCCGCCACCCGGCTTGGTATTTTTGGTGCAGTGTAACATGAACACTCGTGCCTCACGCCAGGAGGTGCCTGGGTTTGGTTCCTGACTAGGGCGCCTTTCTGAGTGGAGTTTGTATGTTGCATGGATGTCCTCCAGTCTTCGGTTTCCTTCCATTGCTAAAATAAACATACAATATAACTGTTATTGGCCAAACATCACAATGCTTTCAAGGGTTTCCCGCAGATTTGCTCAGTTAGGATTGCACATGGCAACATCGCCCCCTCGACTGCGAAAACCTGGCAGCACATTTCTCAGAGAGAATATTACGACTCACTCGAGGCTTTCCTGGGTAACGAATGAAAAATATAATGAACGTGTACTTTTGAGCGGTGCTAATGAGGGTGCACGCACGTGCGTGTGTACACGTGTGTGTGTAGAACCAGCTGGGGAGCAGTGGTGTCGTGGTTAGCATGCTGTGCTATGAGCCCAGCAACCCGAGTTTGATTCCCGCTCATGGGCAACACCAGTGACGATTATCTGAACTGGTCCTCTGGCCTACTCCTAGGTGGACTTGGCCTCAAAAGAGTACCCAGTGTGATGTGTAAACATCGCCACTAGGGAGACAAAGGCAGACGGGCGCGGTGTTGGCCACCCACCCCCTTGTGCGCCGTGCCACCCTTCATAGGTGCTGCTCGCTAACAGCACTTGCCCCAACAGTTTGTTAAAGGCTATACAGGGGATCTTTCTCTTTGTTTTGAGCCAGCTGGAGTGACGATGCAGCAGCTGCAGTGCGGAGCTGCGTGGCCTCCTCGCTGCTGGAGCTGCTGAGCGTCGTGCCCGGCGGCACCGAGAACCCTCGGCGCGAGACGCTGCAAGGTGCGGACCCTTGAAGCAATGACGCGAGATCGCTTCCCCCTGATGATACGTTCCCCCTGTCTGCTACCTTAACAGACTCCCATAACGATCACCGCCAATTTATTTTGACGTTTTTTTCACTTGCTTTTACTTTTAACCTTTTTTTAATAAGTAATTTGTCCAAAGTAATTTGTCAAAAGCAGCATTGGTTATAAAGAATGTATTTGTTTGATATTCTTTAACATTTACAATTTGAGTACGACATTTTGCCGGTAATTACTCTGCAATGCACCAGTGTGCTGGACTCGTTACTATTTTTTTTACTGGTATTAGTGAGGGTTGTCACGTAAACAGGAACCTGTATTGTGGATGACATTGTTCGCGAACGCCTACGTGTTCAACTAGTTACTAATTGGCACGTTCTGTTTACGTGACAACCTTTACTAATTGGCTGTCAGGTGGTGGGAGATTTAACAACACGTTTATATTCTTGGTTCTTTCGGTAAAGTCACGTAGAAGGGAAACAATAAAATAATAAAAATATAAAACATTAAAATTCTCACGACGTTTCGACTGCAACACAAGCAATCATCATCAGGTGTGAAAACCACGCAAGAAAAATTTGAAAAAAGTGGCGTTTTTTTTAACGTTAGCTAAGGCTGGCACAGCAGACATCTAACACCACCTGCATACACACACCAGGTGCTCATCTTAGGCCGAGCGACCCAGGGTGTGGCACAACACAAACCTAGACTGAACGCCGTGTGCTCACAACCCCTTGCCCTGCACTTACACTTGCGCAGCTCTGCTGCAGAGAACCATTCCGTGGTGTGCCATTGAGTGGTGTGGTTCCTGTGCCCGTGTGCGATCTGTGCCGAGCAGGACTTCTGGTCGAACTGGTCCGGGTTGGGTATGGAGATGCCGGCCAGGAGACAGGTCAACAGGTCAGTGAGCGCTCTGCCCACCCTGCTGAGGGGGGCAGCATGGGCCTCCTGCTTGCGCCGGACTCGCGCTGACCATGGCTCGTTGGGAAATGCGGGGCTTGCTTGAGTGGCGGCGGTGGGAGTGACTTGTGAATCTGGTGTTGGAGAATGGAGATTTTTTTGCTCTTGGCCAGGCCAAGATGCTTTGGCTCTCCGCAGCAAGAGGGACTGGTTGTGCTGTGGAGCCAGTCATACTACGGGCTGGCCCACTCACTACACCACAATTATAAACACGTACATCGACAGCCCCTTTTGTTAATTCGCTGCTGTTTGTGGGCAATGGGGAATCCAGTATTTTTAGGTAGGGGGAGGCAACCCCTCCAGCAATGAAAAATGATAGAGAAGTTGTTAGTAAGTAAGGACTTGTCCCTTGCTTTTTATTCGACGTGTGTGTGATCGGCATCGCACTCGCTGAAGGTATGCCTTCAGGGAAGTCGTGTACTGTATACGCAACTGCGCACAATTCTGTGAGTCACTTATAACCGCTTTGTCGTTACTCATTGCCAATTATGGACTAAGACTATTATCCTATCATCTCATAGAGTCCTTGGCACATAATAATATGCTACACAGTGGCAGTGGGGGTCGCAAAATGACGATTTATTACTAATAAACCCCAATGATCTGATCGAAATGAGGGATTTCGATCGGATCATTGGGGGGGCACGTTGCACCCCAACAATGGGCAGAGTTGTGATGCTAACAAACTGCGGGAAAGCACGAATTCCACCATGCCTTGTGTGCATGTCATGTAATATTCACATTAGCTGCGCGATGCTGTCAACCATTTCTAAGCCACTAGCTCAACAGAGCCGAACATGTGACCGTACTGTTTGTACGTGATATGCGGTGCTCACGTGACATGCAAGGCGTACATATGGGTGTCGTACTTTCCTGCTGTGTGTGATCAGCACACCTTGGGTGCTGTTAACCCATCCCCGCTCTGAGATGTCTGTAAGTTGCAGGGTGGTGTCCCGTTCACCGCTGAATCTCGGAATGTGCAAGCGATTAACGTTAATTTTATTTAGAGGGGCGAAGTGCTGCTGTTTTCAAAGACATTGTGCTGTACTCACCGCACAGAACTGTAGTGACACGACCGCACTCTACGATAGCTGGTGCCAAACTGTGCCACGCCCTCCCTCGTGGTCTTTTACTTTTGTTTCCGTTGGGATTCGATTTTGTTCCGATGACGTATATGTACGTAATCGGAACACAATCGGAGGAAAAACTAATGACGCACACGGACACGTACGTCATTGGAATGAAAAAGGTTTAACATGTCTTTGTTTCCATCCTGCGTTTCCTTTCATGTTGTAATGGGGTTCTCGTCATTTGCAAGAAAGTGCTGGGATTTCAATTGGAGACATCTATAGCCGACGAGTAGCCGTGATGATCAAGACACGATCCACCAACCCTACCTTCATGGTGATGCGGTAGTTTCGTGTGCCGCCACCCGGCTTGGCATGGTGTTGCAGTGGGGGGCGGTAATCTTCGTAACACGAACACTCGTGCCTCATGCCAGGAGGTACCTGGGTTCGGTTCCTGACCAGGGTGCCTGCCTTTTGTCAGTGGAGTTTGTATGTTCTCTCCATGTTCTGCATGGATGTCCCCCAGTTTCCAGTTTCCTCCCATTACAAAAAAAAAATGCAATGTCACCGATATTTCATGGGGTCTCCCTTGCCAGTATCAAAATATAAGAATGGGTTTTACCCATTCTGGCAATAAAGCAGGTGTTAGGATGTTAAAACACCAAACTGAAACCTTTTGCAAGGAATCATGTCTGCATTTAACTACATATAATTGTGGTGAACATGCATGAAAAAACATGATCTGGTAGTACATGCATTGTCTTTGAAACTGATTGGTCCACACCAGAGACATGATTCCTTGCAAAAGGTTTCAGTTTGGATGTTTTAACATCTTAAAACCTTTTTTATTGACAGAAAAAGTAAAACCTATTCTTATATGTGTAATGGGTTCAACTGAGTCGCAGACGTAGACTTGGAGGCAACACATTATTCAGTTCCAACACACGGGGTAACTTTCCCCTGAACAGAATAACAACCTATGGTGGTGACCACCAGGCTAACTACACTAGTTACAACGTAACTGTTATTACGGACCGGGACCAACAGCTTCGGCCCACGTCCACGTGTTGGAGACTCGTTGAACGGAGAAGGTAGACGAAGGGTTTCTTTCAGGATGAACAACAACCCTGGTCCCTCTCGGGACCCGTGGCGTGGCCGGCTCCACCCTTGGCCACGTCCACCTTCCAGAATCCTCGGGAAGGATCTGGGTCCCAATCACATGACCACCCCTAGCCTCCACTTGGGGCCACTTTGTAGACTTAACTGGTCACATGTCCTCCCGGGTCAACCAGAGTTCCATGGCCTCGAATAACTTCATCCTTTGGCCGGCACCCACACACCCTGTCCTGTAGGGTCGGCACTGCACGCAGAGCGTGGTGCCACCCAGCGCTATCAATCAGCGTTCACCGGGCCCCTCTAGGGCCGGTACTACACCCACACCACTGTGGTGTCCGCGATGTCGCTATACCGCACGCCGTGCCCCTCTAGGGCCGGCACTGCACCCAGCATGTTAACATCCAGCGATGTCACTACATATGTAACTGATATTGGCCAAGCATCACAATGCTTTGGGGTTTGCAGATTTTTCTCTATTCGGATTGTACATAGCGATATTGCCCCCCTCCCCCCCAATTGCGAAAACTCGGCGGAACCCGACTAAAGAAATCTTAACACGTGAGACTTTTTTTAAAACATGGCCACATGCTAAAGATACATTTAATGATTTTCTAAATCATCTCGATGCACAAAACCCGGCCATCCAGTTCACCATGGAAATGGAGGTGAATAATACACTCCCGTTCCTGGATATTTTGTTTGGACATGGTCTAAATGTAAAAATAACACACAGCGTTTACCGAAAGCGAATGCACACTGATGCCTATCTGAATGCAGATTCACATCATCACCCAGCTCAGAAGTCCTCTCTTATCAAGACACTCATACATCGGGCTAAAACAGTGTCAGATGGTTAAAGTCTAGTGAGAGAGATTAAACATGTTAAGGAAGCACTACGACAGAATGGTTACAATAATGCTCAAATTAACAGAGCACTGAATGCCAAATCACGAACGCAAAGCAACACTGCTGAAAGCGATCAGATTGTTACAACAATTAAAATACCATATATCTCAGAAGTAACTGACAAATTAGCCCATGTTTTGTAAAAGCAAAACATTAAAGTAAAATTCGGTACAGTACACAAAATTCAAAAACGAGTATCTTGCACTAAAGATGAATTGCCTAAATTACTAACAGAAGGTGTATATCGGATTAATTGTTTATGTGGCAGATGCGAAATTGGTCAGACGGGACGTAACATCAGCGTAACCCCAAACAAATATTAAATTATCTCAAACACTACTGTCGGCAGTGGCAGAACATGCTTGTCAACAAGGACACTCAATTTATTTTGATAACGTTGAAGTGTTGTGTAAAACTAATTATTACTGGGCAAGACTAATTATAGAATCCATTGAAGTTGAGATAAATAGAAATAACTTTAATCGCTCTGACAGCTACAGGCTTAGTGCGGCCTGGAAGCGTATTATTAAATAAAATATATGACAATTCCTTATGGGGGAAACAAATACTAATTAATAACAATGGAATGATTACCAATCTATTATATAATTACAATTCCCTCCCATTCTCTGCCTCAAATCACTGCACCAGATTGGGTTAAATGATGACATCACCCTGCTGCTCTATTTAAGACCGGGAGCAAGTGGAGGGCTTCACCATTCTGGCAAATTGCCCGATGATGCTGGATGTAATTACCAGGGAAACGTCGTACTCAAAAAATGTAAATGATGTTGAATCACTCTTCAACACACCGGTGGGCTAAAGTAGTGAACTATTTGTCTTTCGTAAACGTGACACTTTTTTTACTGTTTGGCCATGTTGGGTGGTGGAGGGTTACGACACATTTATAAATAACGTGATCTAACCCAAAAACGTTTATTATGAAGCATAATAATATAACAATCTGCAGTGGTTACAGCAAAATTACAGATCATTAGCCCAGTACAGCTACACTATTTGGCAACTGTTTACAGCTTCACTCTGTTTAAGTGTTAATGGTTCAGCACAGTACAGTCCAGATTCCCTGTTTCTGCTAAAGAGAATGCCTGTTTGTAAATTGTGACCATCTAATAAACAGGAATAAGGCTCATGAATACAATATAACGTGATCTAACCACCGACAGTAATCTCCATGAGTTGCGTCGACGTTTTGCGTGATATCATCGCGACTTATGCTGGAATTCTGCACTGTGTCCACAGGTTTGTGTTCAGATACTGGATCTACTCCTACACGGTGAGTACAGCAGAGTGACAGACCTGTCTTTGATGGGGACTCGAGACAACAGACAGACTGGTTTCTGGGGTCCTTGGACAATAGACAAACAGACCAGTTTCTGTTGGGTCTCTAGACCATAGACAGACTGCTCTCCGATAGAGTCTTTACGGGTTTCACGACGGCGACAGCCTGGCAGCCGCAGTCCCCTGGAAGTCTGCAGCGGTGCCGGCGCCGTGTATGGGCATCACCCTCACAGCGTCTCTGTTCCCCGGCAGGCTGCACGGCGGAGCTCGTGAGCGGCGCGCCACCGCCGGCCCCGGCTCGACGCCTTCCCAGGTGAGTGCCGCGACAGGGAAAGGAAAAAAAAAAACTTTTCCCTGGCAGGAGGGGGCCACTGACTCACAGTCGTTGATCTGCCTCTCGGGAGCGCCCCACCACCCGGGTGCTCATTCTTGGACTGCGTTGCTAATGGGGCTAAGGGGGCATCGAAGAAGCTGGGCTTTGCTATTCTGGGCCCAAAACTTCTTCGGTCAAAGTGAGTTCCTGTACACGTGTGCGCATTGAGGGAGTGCTCCTCTCCTGTCTCCAACCCCTGAGCCAATGGTGCAAATTCCACATTCCAATGACGGGGGGGCAGGGGGGGCTATGATTCTATCCAAAGGGGACAACCACTGTTGACTTGCCCGCACAAAGTTCGTTGAGTTTGGTGGGCCGAGTCAAACCCCGACCAGGATTTGAACTAGCAACCTTCCGATTGTGAGCCTCTCGTGTTCTGCCGCTGAGCTGCCAAGATGGCCATGAAGCTTCTTGAACTCTGAACGTGTGTAGCACAAATTCTGCAGAAGTTGGATTCCTGTTGTGACATCGGGTGCAAGCAACCAGTTTGTCTACCTCGTTCTTGAAATAATTAAGTTTCAAGCGCTTGGGGTGGTTGAAGCACTCACCAATTCACTCCAGTCACTCGCTCATCAGTGATCAGTCGCCTCCTTGTCACAATTGTATTGCTACTGCCATGTATCCTTCTCTCAGTCCGCCAGACACTGATTATTTAATCTTGTCCGAACTGTTCAACCAACACACTGCAGGTCACAATCGTCTCTATTTTCCCACATTAGAACGATAAACTTGACGGGGAGGACTGTTGCGGATAATTCAAAATCGAGGATAATAAAAAAATAGAAATTTTCCGTGGATTTCTATGCTAAAAATCACTAATATAGATATAAATTATGTTTAAGTTAAGAAAATTTTGTTTGTTAATGAATAAAGAAAATTGTAGTAAAGAATGCATTGATTTTGTTTTATTTCAAAAGGCGACGCGCGTGTTCAGTGACAACACTTTTCCTGCTCCCGCGCAAAAAACTCGGCCCACTAAGTGGATGATAGCAGAGCCATGCCAATCAACATCGATCAAATTCCACCCACTGTTGTAAAGATATGCAACTACTGTACTGTGGAGGCGATTACGTGGATTTCGGATTAACCAGAGCAGATATTTGTTCAGTTTCAGCACGTGGCCTGTTATAAACTTTTATTAGAATAACAATGTATTACTGTTTTTGGATGATTAATTTGGGCTTAAGGGAAAATCCTTGAGTTATTAATTTATGTAATCGAGAGTTTACTATATGTAGTTGTTTCTGTCTTGAGCGTCTGTGGGTGGTTGTGTATGAGTGATTGTGAGTTGTATTTGAGTGGTTGTCTAGCAGTAAATGTGATAGTTTGTCTATGAGAGGTTGGTCATGAAAAGTTCATCATGAGTTTGATTCCCGCTCACTACCAATTATCTGACCTGGTCCTTTGGCCTACTCCTAGGTGGACTTGGCCTCAAATGAGAGCCTGGTACAGTGTGTAAGCATCGCTGCTTGGGATACAAAGGTGGCCGGGCGTGGTGCTCGCCACCCACCCCCTCCTATGCTGTGGCGGCCTTCATAAGTACTCACTCACAGCAATTGCGTCAAAAGTCTTTTGAGGCTATAATGGAGAATTTTATCTTTGTCTGAGAGAGGGATTCTGTGTGAGGTTGCCTTTGAGAGATTGCCTATGAGTGGTGATCTCTGCTCCCTGCCGCTCACTGCCGTGTGTCCTGTGTGTCCAGGCTGAACCCCTGGGAGCTCGTCGCCCTGAGTCCTTCCGTGCCTCTCCCCGCACTGCGCACATTCTGCTCGCGCCACCTCTCTCTCCTCCTCAGCCACGACCCCCGGCTCAAAGGTTCTATGTGCACCATGATTCGTGTGGATGTTCACGGCACGCTGCAAGCGGGTTCACCGAGTGACCCGCTCACCGTAGTTATAATAATCATCATCGTTGTCGTCGTTTGTAGAGCGTTTTTCGTGCCACAAAGATTAAGGCCACATCACCCAAGTTAAGATGATGAAACAAATATTTACAAAAAGAATACTCGTAGAATGATAACATTACATAAAGAGAAGGGAAACATTTCATTAAATAGTTAAATAATCAAAAGATGCCAGAGTCAAATCAGAAGGCTACAACAAAGAAATAGGTCTTGAGCTTTGATTTTAAATGTAGCCACCTCATTCAGCATACGTCGATGAGGTCGATCACGGTTGTGAGTATCGCTTTTTTATGCATGATAAAAAGCACCGCTAAGACGCTGGTCACCGTTTTGCCTTTAGAAACGTCTCACAATAAACACAACGTGTCCGCCCATGTTAACCGAGAAATGAATGGAGCTGCGATGGTGTAATGGTCAGCAACATTGGACTTGCAAAGATCCAGAAGTCACCGGTTCAATTCCATCCTTTGGTGCAGGATTTTAAACAACGGGCAAGTTTCTTAAATCCCTCCCACAATCACGATTGACAGGTTGCGTGCGGTGGGGTCAAGTGTAGGTATGACCACCTCTTCCAAGACTTCTCAGAATCACAATATTTATTAATACTGGAGGCATCCGATGAGCTATGAAGCTCTTTTTCACAGATATCCAGTAGGGGCGGGTAAGAACGTTACAACAATCAATACAACAACAACACCACGTGATAGAAGTACAAAGTATAAGAAAGGTAAACAAATGACTGAAAACATAAATAAAACTAAACCATCCCCATCCTACCAGGCAAAGCCCACTGAGGTATTAACTTATTTTTAAGAAACGACCTGGCTACAAATGATAGCTCAACAAAGTGGCTTATCATCCATGGATAACAACGTCACGACTGTAGCAACTACCACTCAAAATAAGGCTTGGCCATATACATGAAGAACACCATCACAGAGTTGTAAGCCTTCCCACCAACTGAAAAAGAAGCCACCTTCACCTCCAGCATCAAGATAGGATAGCTGCAGTTCACTGACGTGTACAGTGCCCCTAATTCAAAGTGGCCAAGGCCAGCACCCCCAAGTGCATCAATCCCAGCATACTATGTGGGGCTATGCAGTAGATCAGGCCGACGGCAAAGACCTCACCGACTGGATTTCCGCCGATGATCTGCACCTGGTTTTCGATCCCAAGCAGCAAGCAACCTTCCACTCTGATCACTGACAATGCGACTACAACCCTGAAATTACCACCATCGTTTCCAAAGATCAAAGTGGGAGCATACTTCACACGTCCTGCAAAATACTCCCAAGCTTCCCTAAAAGTCAACATAGGCCCATCAGTCATTGCCCATATTGGCATTGAAATCCTCGTGATTGTGTCAAAACGATTACCAAGGTGGAACCTGGTCAAAGCTGACTGGGACCACTATAAGGAGACGGTAGACAGTGGTGAGTCGATTTCCTGCAACACCAGAATGCTATCACCGTTTATTTGCTTCCTTGCTGCAGCCGCCACGAAGAGCATTCCCGAGGCTTCTGGAAAGAATCCACTTACTCCCTATATGACAAAAGAGACCCAGGACTTGCTCCGACAGTACAACCAATCAGGCAGCCCACGGGTTGGAAAGTCTTTAGACTCAGCCAGACACCAGCGGTGGATTTAATTATTTGAAGGCCTGGACTTCACAAACACAAGCCACCATGCCTGGGCTCTACTATGATGCCTGAGTGCTGCTAATCCAACAGAATACTGGACTGCAAGAGTCCTGCCAAACTCAATGGCCTCCAATATAGTGGAGTACACAAAAGGACCGCTCAAGAAAAACATCCATTGCCAATTACACCAGACAATGGCCTCAATTTCTTCGTAATACTCCACCACCATCAGCACAGAGGAAGTGAGGGAGGGTCTGGGTGCAATGAAGAAAGGCAAGGTTGTCAGCAGAGATGCGATTCCCCCCTACAATTCCTCCATCATTTAGATTCTTGGGGACTCCAATGGCTGGCAACACTGTACACAAAAACCATGAAAACCGGATGCATCCCAAAAGCATGGCGGGAGGCGATGGTCATTACCATACCCAAACACAGCAAGTCAACCAACTACCCAGGAAGCTATAGACCGATATCACTCCTGTGCATGACCTATAAAACTCCTGGAATGCATCATCCTCAGAGAATCAGCCCCCTTGTTGAGTCAGTGATCCCTGAAAAACAAGCAGGATTCTGGCCTGGATGCAGCTGCTGTGACCAAGTTTTGGCCCTTGCGACACACATCGAGGCTGGATTCCGGAAGAAATCCAAGACCGGCGCAGCCTTTGTGGACTTATCATTGGCCTACGGCACAGTCTGGATTAAGGGCTTGATGTTGAAGCTCGCAAAGACCATTTCCTGCCTCAAAACAATAATCCTGATATGGATGATGCTGAGCAATAGGCGACTGCTTGTCTATATGGGCAACAAATCCAGCTCACCCCGGTTCCTCAACAATGGATTGCCACAAGGTTCAGTACTCGCGCCATCGATCTTCAATGTCTACACGAGTGACATGCCACCAACTGAGTCATGCAGATTTGCTGATGCGGATGACCTTGCCCTGGCAAGGCACGCAGCCACTTTCAACATCAGATCCACTCTGAACCAAGACCTAACCACCATGGGGGAATATTTCCAGAAATTGAGGCTCAAGCCAAATCCCCACAAAACAACAGTCACAAGATTTAATCTGAAAGTGACCTGCGGCAATACTGTGTGACACGACCCCACTCCAACCTATTTCAGAGTGAAGCTAGACCATATGCGAACCTTCCACGGCTACCTAAAAAGGTAGCTGTCAAGACCAAAACAAGGGTCAACCTGGTTTAAAGCTTTCGTGACTGCAGTGATTCATATTCTTGGTTCTTTTGGTAAAGTCACGTTGAAGGGAAACAATAAAATAATAAAATATATATTAAAAAATAAAATTCTCACGACGTTTCGACTGTAACAGTACAGTACTGTAACAGTACAGTCGAAACGTCGTGAGAATTTTATTGTTTAATATATATTTTATTATTTTATTGTTTCCCTTCAACGTGACTTTACCGAAAGAACCAAGAATATAAAGGTCAACCTGGTCCAGAAACTAAGAAGCACAGGCTGGGGAGCCTACGGACATCAATGTGAGGGCACCTTTTGTACTCTGTAGCCGAGTACTGTGGTGACACGCTCTTGACCAACCTGAACACTGCAATGCGGTGAAATACTGGAGCCCTCAAGTCAACCCCAACACTCTGGCTGCCCGTGCTGTCACAAATCTCCCCCCACCGCAACGCTGCAACTCTCCAGGAAGTCCTATGAATCGAGGAAAACGGTTGTCTTCCAATTCATCAGGACCTCAATAACGTCCCTCGTCATCGCTTGAAGTCACGTAAGCCCTTTTGGACCCATGAGCTTCAACAATCCGAGTTCAACCCCGATGAAGCTTGAAGAGCTGAATGGGGTTCAAAGAAGTCGCAAACAGACACCTTGTGAAAGACCCAACGCAGGTGATCTCTGGGTTTGATCTTCCACGAAGCTCATGGTCTACCCTAAACCACATGCACTGTACAAACCATGGCAGATGCATGGTACCTGATGCACAAATGGAAAGTGAAAAACTCTTCAGTCTACGACTATGGTCATCCAGAACAGACCATTCAACATATAACGACGCAATGCCCAATCCACAAATACGAAGGAGACATTACAGCAATACACTCCGCTCACTCCTGACGTCGATATCTGGTTTAACCGCCTGAATATGAAATTGTAGCTGTTGCTCTGCATCTATATCACCCATACGAAGGAAGAAGTAAATGCACACTCATCCACACACTTGGTGCACGCACCAATTGCAGACTTTGTGCATGTGTTTGTGGCTTTACTGGGTGTGCACATTTTCATGACTCTGTGTATGGTTGGCTGTGTGTGATTGGCTGACTGTGTGTGTGCGTGGTTGACTGTGTACGTGCGTGGTTGACTGTGTACGTGCATGGTTGACTGCGTGCATGGTTAACTGTGTGTGTGCTTGGTTGACTGTGTATGTGTGTGGTTGACTGTGTTTTGTTGATGGTGTGTGCGTGGTTTGCTGTGTGTGCGTGGTTGGCTGTGTGTGTGCGTGGTTGACTGTATGTGTGTGGTTGGCTGTTTGTGGGGAGCGATAGTGTAGCGGTTAGCGCGCTGCGCTATGAACCTGGCGACCCGGGTTCGATTCCCGCTCACGACCAACACCAGTGACGATTATCTGAACCGGTCCCAGGCCTCCCCTAGGTCGACTCAGCCTCAAATGAGTACCTGGTGCGGTGTGTAAACATCGCCACTAAGGAGACAAAGGCGGTCGGGCGTGGTGCTGGCCACCCACCCCCTCGTGTACCGTTCCGGCCTTCATAGGTGCTCGCTAACAGCACTTGCCCCTACAGTCTGTTAAGGCTATATGGGGGATCTTTGTTTGTGATTGGTTGATGGTGTGTGCGTGGTTGGCTGTTTGTGTGCGTGGTTGACTGTGTGTGTGCGTGGTTGACTGTGTGTGGTTGACTGTATGTGTGTGGTTGGCTGTGTGTGGTTGGTTGATGGTGTGTGCGTGGTTGACTGTGTGTGGTTGGCTGTGTGTATTTCGTGCGCTCTGTGTGCAGTTGCCGACGCTGTGTCTCGGCAGGCAGAGTGGAGCTTTGCAAAGATGCCGCCGTTTCTTTTTGATATTTATAGACAGGTAAGTGTGAACATTTATTCATCGGTCATTCTTCATTCAACCTCTAACATGCTTTTGCACCGAGCCATCCATACCGCAAATACATATAATTTGCCTCGGTGTGGTGCCTCGAATGGTTTGGGTTCGATTCCCGTCTCGGGCTACTTTCTGTATGGAGTTTATATGTTCTCCTCCTGTTCTGCCTGGGTTTCTTCTGGGTTTCCTCCTGTAACTTAAAAAAACCACATTGTAAACATCCTATGACTGAAAAATGACCTTACAAATTACTTAATTGGCATTACACACAACAGCAACCTTGCCCCTCGACTGTGAAAGTTTGGTAGGACGCTTCTGAAAATAAGTCCTGAGGCTCAGTGAGGTTTTCAGAATATCATATTCAGAATATGTAATTATTTTTACTGGAGGAATCTGATGAGCTATAAAGCTCTTTTTCACAGATATCCAGTAAGAGGTCGGGTCAGAACCTTACGTTTCCTGGATAAACAAGCGTAACAATAATAACTCGTCAACTGTTGACGTAACCGGGAATGGTTTTGGAAGCAGCACCGAGTTTTGAGGACACAGGAAGACCCGGACTGCTGTAGCGATGCGTCTCCTTCACGTGTCCTTCACGTGTCCTTCACGTGTCTTTCACGTGTCCTTCACGTGTCCATAAGAGGTTTTTTGGGGTAGATTGTGTAAATTTAAATGTCGTTAAACCCCTCACCACCTAACACAGCCAATTAGTGAGGTTTGTCACGTAAAAAAAAACATGCCAATCAGTTACTTGTCCAGCGCACCAGTTGTGTGTTAGAGAGTAAACTCACAACATTTACCAGAGGGGTAAATGTCACTGTGAGTCAATCAGACAAACCTCCTTCACGTGCGGTTGGATTTGTGGAAGGAAATAAATGATTTCCCCAGAGAAAACCGAATCATGTGTGGAGTACAAACACTCCTCACAAATTGGTCACCAACCCACTTTCTGTACTGCCCTCAATGGCGACTTAGTATCTCTTGTACATGATCTCGGTACAATCCAACAACGCTGTCTCCACGTCACTGGATGACAGGCATTCATTATCTCCATACCCAGTCTCTCTGTGTGTCTTTGTTCTATGTGCGTGTCTCCCTAGCTGCGTGTCTCCCTAGCTGCGTGTCTCCCTAGCTGCGTGTCTCCCTAGCTGTATGCCCACAGGTTTGTCTGTCCTTGTGCATACGTTTGTCTATAAGTCTGTATCTGTGTCAGTCAAGTCGGTCTGTCTTGCGTATTTATCATTTCATCGTTGCCTGTCTGCTTGTCGGCCTGTTTGTCCCTATGTCTCATGTTTAATCTGTCTACTCATCTCCGTGCCTGTCTCTCGGCCGCTACGTATTTTGGTTATATCTGTGTGTGTCTCTGCCTTTCTGCTTGCCTATCTGCCTCTTAATGTGTCTCTTAGCCTGTCTGCGTGTCTCTGTCATGAATATCTCACGATGCTGTGTGTTGTGTGCTATGACTTGGGCAGCGGTAGTGTAGTGTAAGCGCAATGCGCTACAAACCCGGCGACCCGAATCCGATTCCCGCCCACGGCCAACACCAGTGATGATTATCTGAACTGGTCATGGGCTGCTCCTAGGTCGACTCAGCCTCGAATGAGTACCTGATGCAGTGTGTTAACATCACCACTGGGGAGACAAAGGCGGTCGGGCGTGGTGCTGGCCACCTACCCCCTCTTGTGCCGTTCTGGTCTTCATAGGTGCTCGCAAACATCACTTGCCCCAATTGTCTATTCAGACTATGGGGGGGGGGGAATCCTTTTCTGTGCTGTGACTCCGCTTTAACCGCTGCGTGCTGTTCCTGTGCTCCCATAGCTGATGCTGCCGTTCGGCGTGGAGGAGCTGATACCTCAGTTTGAGAGCATCCTGGGTACACAGGAGTTGAACTGGCCGGCCGTGCTGTCCTGTGTCTCCGCACTGCTCGCGTGCTTCCCAAAGGCCCACGTCCTGCTGCAAGGCACGCACGCTTCTCTATTTGTTTCTTATGTTCTGTATACATCTTTGGTTGTGTTTATCTTGTTGTCTGTATGAGTTTGTGAGCATGTCTTGTGTGTGAGTTTGTGAGTGTGTCTTGTTGTTTGTGTGAGTGTGTCTTGTGGTGGAAAGCGGGAGTGTAGCGGTTAGCTTGCTGCGCTATGAATCCGGCGACCTGAGTCCGATGCCCGCTCGCGGCCAACAACAGTGACGATTATCTGAACTAGTTCTGGGCCTCTCCAAGGTCGACTCGGCCTCAAATGAGTACCTGGTACGGTGTCTAAACATCGCCACTAGGGAGACAAAGGCAGCCGGGCGTGGTGCTGGCCACCCACCCTCTTGTGTGCCATTCCAGCCTTCATAGGTGCTCGCTAATAGCCTTTGCCGCAACAGTGTCTCTATGACTGGCTGGCAACTTGTCTTTCTGGACGTTTCTGTAATTTTAATTTTATCTGTTTTGTTAGCTGTGTGTGTATCTGCGTGCGTGTTCGTCTTCTTCGGCTGGCAAAACAACCCCCACCTCGGTGCCTGCCAGTCGGTGATGCTGTGGTGGCTGTAAGCAATGCCACTTGGGGGGGGGGGGGGTGTATCAATCGTCCATTTCCCTCATGGTGCTCGGAGTAGCCAGAGTGGCCAACGGGGGCTCTGTAAGGGTGTGAGGGGCTGTGTGTGTATCTTCCCGTTCGGTTCTTTTAGTGTCGTTGTCTGTGTGTCGCCGTATGTATAGGCCACTTGTCTGGCTTTATCCCTGTGTCTTTTCTCTGTGAGCCTGCGGATTCTCTGTGCACCTCCTAAGTGATTTAACCGCTGTCGTCAGCGCATGCACCAGCCCGAATAATACAAAAAACATTCTTGAATTACTTTTGCCTTCATAGGGAAAAATTTAGGGTGACATTTTGGGAATTGCCCTCCTTGGTAGCACACCCTTCGACGTGTAGCTATGAGGAAGGTTCATTGCCCCAAAACGTCACCGACTATAGTAGGGGTAGTGGGGGTAGAGAACAAACACGCTGGTCACCCCCACCCTTGACCGAGTGCAGTGCTGGATTATACTTGTATCAAAAGTAGCATATGCTACGGGCCCCGCACTTTCAAGGGCCCCGCACTAAATGCATTCACGCTATCAATTCCGGTTCAGTGACTTTGCACTTGCTCTATTACTATAGTACTATAATGCTGACAACTTTTATGATTGACTGGGTGTTTAATGGTTAGTGATTTGTCGTATTATCTGGCTGTATAGCAAATGAAAAAATACAATTACTTTACTAGGCAAGTAAAAAATTTGTGTTTTAATGTTTACATGGTTTATTTTAAACTAGCCTTTTCCCCATCCAAGGATGGGTGTATTGGAGTTAATCTGAAACTTGCAAGCGAAAAGCAGACCGCGACGTGATATTCATTGCATCCATTCATGTGCAATTTGTAAGGCTGCGGTGACACAGACTTATTTCATTTGAAGGTTATAATCCCTTGTTCATCATGACGTCCTTTTTACTTCTACGTCTCAATAGCGTTACCGAGATCGCGTGCCGTGAGGGTTCTGCCTTTGTAGTGAGGGTTATAAGTTGACGCTGAGGAGGAGGGAGGAGGCGCCTCGCCCCCCCATGTGGAGTGACGTCACCCACTAATTATTATTAATGGAGGGGGGGTGTTCATTTGGAGGACGTCACCTGTTCATGATTATTAATGAGGGGGGGTTCTCCATGCAGAGTGACATCACCCGCTCATTATTAATGAGGGGGGGTCCATGTGGAGGACGTAACCTGTTCATGATTATTAATGAGGGGGGCTGGTCGACGTGGAGTGACATCACGCGCAGGACACACAGACATTCTTGGCTCATTATAGTAGTAAATGTAGGACCCCTTTATAACATATGCTACAGGCCCTGTACTATCTTTATCCAGCACTGACCGAGTGGCTCATTCCTGAGCACGATCTGTGACGAGTCTTCGGATGCTTTCAGATCAGGTCACGTATAGTGTTATATGTCCACCATACTGCTCAAGTGTGCCTGGGGGTGAAGGGCCAGTAACCCTTGAACCATACTCTCAATTGCTACCAAAAACAAAGCCAAGACATCTCCTAACTTTACCACACGCCTTGTAGGACTGAGTCTTTGACCTGGAGTGAACCAGTGGTTATGCCGATTAGATGTACTTAATGTCTGATACGGCTGTTCACAATTGCACCCAATAATAATAATAAAAAATACAACAACAAAAAAGCCCTCGCTATGCTCGAGTTCTGGATTCGCGAGTTACTAAATGTGTACCAATTCCCTATTCGCTACCCACCGGACTCCAGTATTCGCGAGTTGTACGTAGTGCCTACAGACCACCCACACCGGGGAGGTGCGTGCAGAATGTTGTTACTACATTTGAAACGGTCTGCCGCCAAGATTGGGCACGCCTCCTCGGCTGCCTGCTTAGTCCTCAAGTCTCGCAGTCATCCCGCTCAGAACTCGCTAGTGTCTACATTTACTTTATACGTACTTGCAGTCGACTCGTTTATACATTTTGGTATAAACGAAAGAACACGAAATGCAATCGGAGAAAGTGTGTTGCGGCGAGCCCTCCCTCAAACACCTTTATCTCTCGAGTCATCCTCCTGAATTCATCACTACCATCTCCATTGTCGTCAAATCACTATCATCATCAAAGGTAATAAAAAACACATAATTGTTCTTTGTAAGTATTATTTTTAGTGGTAATTATTATTAAACATTCACCATTTACCCCCCCCCCCCCCCTGTTCACTCGTACCAGGAACGTAGCCCTTTTTCCTGTTGACCAAGGTTTATGCATTTGAGAGCATTATCAAGAACATAGATAGAGAAGGTTTACTGTATATACTTTGTGGGAGGAAAATATTTCAATTATAGCGGTAAGCATGTAAGCAGACCGTGTACTGTGGGCTATGATTGATATTGCAACTTGTTTACCAAGAAAAGCCTCCATGAGTCTCTCAAGACTGATTCAAGAGTGTCCTGCCAAGTTTTTTTCAGTAGGGGGTGAAGTTGCTACTGTGTGCATTCTTAATTGAGTAATTTCCAGGTAATTTTTCAGCAATGGGATGTTTGGCCACTACCAGTTGGCCAAACATCCTCCCATCGCTAAATGCACGCACATGCGATGGACGAAAACCAGATAACTCGTAGTAAATCCCTACAGAACAGGGGGGAACGTACAAGCACTCAACTAACATACACACACCAATACCCGCCATTTGCCACTAAGTGGCGGTGACGTCGCCACTAAGTGGCGGTGACGTCACCACGGCGCCTGTGTCAGGCCAGGTGCACTTTGAGGCCACGTGAAGTGTCGAAGGCTCGCTGACAGGAGGTTACGGGGCAGAGCCATGTGCCATTGGTTGGCTGAGATAACTGGCAGATGCACCAGTTGTGCCCCCTATTGTGCGAACTTGCTGCATTTTAGCTGCCCGGCACTCCTGTTGGATATATAGGCCTTTTTCCAAAATTGATATTAATAATGATTTTGCCGATTACATTTTTTTTAAATTAGTAATCTATAAATAAACAAACACCCTCAAAACCGTTACCTCCCCTTCCCAAGCAGCTGGAGGTCGTAAAAGGCCATTAAATAATAAACTCCGGGGCAAAAGGGGGGATACAATCCCCTCCCCTCACACACAACAGGCCGCCCGGAGATAAGCAATAAAAAGTAATAAAACAAAGAGAAGGGGGGGAATTCCTCAAAGCCTCACAGCTTCCAGGGCGGCGAAAACCGGACAGACAGGATTTGGTTATTTTTAATTAACAGAAAGTCAAAGGAAAACTCAACAACAAGAATAAGCTGACATTATAGGAATAATCTCGGGAAACAAACCAAAATAATAATTCAATATTAACACTAACGTTATTCACCTTAAATTACATTACGTCTTGCCGTTACATGACCTTACAAAAACCAAGGAATATGAATTCCAACAGTCAGAAACTTACCTCTTAAACTCAGGACATTAAAAATAAAATAAATAATAACTCAAGCATAACAGCACGGATCCCTGGATTCGGACGGGGAGCAAAAGTTAATAAAACCCTTGAAATACCGGAGGTAACATCTAATGATGACAATGTTAAATCACAAATCTTAGGAAACGTGAACCAAGATGATAATCGTGCAGAGTTAAACCGAGGGTTGTCCAGAGGAGATGAGATGAGATGGGTCAAGCTTACACAACCAAGATAAACTGTGTTCCATAGGAAGGGAGCCTCCCGGCCGTCTTTGTCTTCCCGCAGCACGGGAGAGAAAATAATTTAACGCCAGAGCGAGGGAAATTACTCTTTATTGCAGGGGCCATCAGTGCTCACGGATGTGCGATGACTTAATGAATGACACACATACACACGGACACACGACAATCCATCCCCCACAACACAGAGCGAGATCAAAGGGATTCCGGTCCTTTGTGAGAGAGCAGACGGAGTAAGCATCTGTTTTTTTCCTCTCGCAAGAGACGCGCAGAGGGGAGATTTTTCGGATATAAACAACAGCACGACACACACAATTCGGCTCGACAATTCAGCTCGACGCTCCCAGCTACCAGCGGCAGAAGACGGCGATCATCAGCTCGACAAGAAGACACACAGCAGCTCAGAAGAGGACAATAAGCCAGCCGGGGCATGGCCTCGAGATCGACAATGCGTGTGGTGCATCGCAGAGAGGAGGGGCGAGGTGATGCTCTGTGCTGAGTTTGGCATGGCCCGACAGAGTATCGCTGAAAAGTTATTCTCAGCGTCAAGCAATCAACCCGAGTGACGGAGCAAGAGAGAGCGTGTACCAGCGCAACCAGCGCAACCAGCGCCACCAGTGCCACCAGCGCAACCAGCGCAACCAGCTCCACCAAGCAAGGGTGCCAGCTGCCAGCGGACAAGCGTTGTGCCGACTCTGACTCATCCAGCAGGGGAAAGAGCCTGACCCGCCGCCTGCTGCTGCCAGCGGACCAGCGGCAAGCGTGATCGAGCATCTTCAAGGACAAGCAACGTGCCGATGCAGCTACTCCAGCAGTGGAAAGAGCCTGTATCTGCCAGCGGACGAGCATCTAAGCCGACGCCCCGAGCAATAAAAGCAACGAAGCCGTTTGTATGACCCTCCCCCACACCCACACCCTCACGACGCATCACCCGGCGTCTGCTTTACGAAGACCCACAACACGCATATCGGGACAAATCAAGAAGGGTTGCCATTCCAAGGTGGTGCATTAAATATCAAGTGATCGTGAGAACATTGCTGCCCATTGAGTTACGTGGATACAGTCATTTAGAAGTATTTTAGTTCGTTTTTTTATTGCATAATCTTATAAACTAATTAATTGATAGCCTTTGGGACGTGTTTCTTTGTTGCCTTCGTATGAAAATTGTTGCATGAATTTTTAAGGACTTTTGGTTCCTGTTGCCGTATATGCTCGTGTTACTCTGAGGAAGTAATCAATTGTTCTGTTACCTGGTTAACCAACGTAATCATTGAGGGTTAAGTATGGATCAATGAGGAGAACATCTCCTGGAGTACTGTGTTGACAATTTCAAGCATGGGAATCGCATATTAGAGTGTTAAGGTTTTGTTTAGAAATTAAAATTGCTTAACACAGAAGTGTTTCAGTGTTTCTTTCCTGAGTTCATGCATAATAATCTTATTTATAAGAGCTGTATCCTGTGTTGAGATTTGAATTTGGAGACCTGACATAAACACACTAATACATGATCAGTAAATGTTAAAGCGAGATTAATTATATTATACCGATCGATAATACAACCCTAGACAACGAAGCCGAGTTTAATCTAGCATACTTACATCACACCTGCATAACTTCATACGATTAATTGTACGATCTCGATTGATGATACTACCCTTGACCACGAGGTTGAGCCTAATTATCATAATGGCTTGCATTAGCATAACCGCATACACTTGCATAAATTAATACGATTATATCTAGAATTAGTATAAGTTATGTGCATAATTACATCAATTAACATAAATTCGGATAATTACACATTTTTCCAAATTTCATTTATATTGTATTACTTGCATTCAAATTTTCAATACCCGGCATATACAACACACCGATCGTTGTTGTGAGCATCACCTGCCCTACGTTGTTGGAGGGCCACTGCCTCCAACTGGCTAGTAGCAGTGTCCTTCACACACAACCTCACACATACACTCACACTCTGGAAAACAGGGGGAGAACATACATACTACTTGCCATGAGGCACAAGTGTTTCCACTGAGTCATCCTACCACCCAATCCGAATGGGTAAATCACTTAACAACTGAATGTCTAATCGTTCTTTCATAGGCCATGCAAAAGAAGAAAAGGAATGCGCGGCTTGCCAAAACTGCCTGAAAGTCCTCTTGGGGCGCTTGGTAAGAGAAGGATCCCCACTGCAGCCCGTAACTCTGTGCCTGCGGCTCCTACCCGGCAGACATGCTGCGGAGGCTGCTGACGCAGGCGTTCTGCAGTTACGAGGTGGAGAGCCTCGTTCTGGCGCTGCTGCTGGCACGCCAGGCAGCGTTGGGTGCCGCTGGGGGGTTTACCAGCTACACGCGGTGGTTCCAGGTGAGTTCCCGGCTGATCCAGCGAATCTGGCGATCTGGAAACCCTTTCCGAAGGCTGTAACAACTAGTCCTGCAATCGGCACCATGTGCGTGACAAACAAAAAGTAGCTATGCTTGATTTCAGTGTCAAATGTTATGTACAGTACATTATCCACTACATACAAAAACTTAAGCAATGAAAATACTGCTCTCTAAATTTTCGTGACTTAACTAATAAAAACAGAAAATATACATACTCTTTGGGCTTTTCGGTAAAGCCACGTTGATAGAAAAATAATACAAATAATAAAAAATCACGACGTTTCGATCGCAACACAAGCAATCGTCTTAAGATATCTACGTGACTTTACCGAAAGAAACAGTATGAATTCCTGCAGTCACGAAAGCTTTAAGTCAAGAGAAAATATACAGTGCTATCCGGTGATAAGTATGTGGAATTCGGGGTTCGCCAGAGCGCCGGTGTAAAGGCTGCATCAGTCTGGCAATCGTCAAACACATGGTTTTCTAAGCAAGAGCATACAAGTAGGCTCCTCCTTCAAAGTGACTCGAAGACACTAAGAGTAGGAGACACTTTGTTTATTAAAAGGCCTTAACAGTTCACACTGGGTAGCTGCGGTTCCCAGTCAGGACAGCTGGTAGACTGCCTGACTGGCGACGCCGAGATGGTGAAGATGGAGACGGCGGCGAAGACTCCAACAGCACGACGGGATCCCACTCCAAACGACAGCCCCGAGGTCCCCTCCCGGGGCCCCTCTTATATTGTCAGCGTTGTCTGGCTCCGCACTGGCCACGCCCCACTTCTGGAACTTATTAGCAGGTTCTCGATGTACCCCCTTCGGTAACCTTTCCCCTACATCCCTCTCTGGTCTATCTCGTGACCTTCTGCCAGTCGGGGCTGCTGCAGCTGCAGATCCCCTTCCCTGCCAGCAGCCAGCGCTGTGCTGCTAAGTGACCGTTTCTATGTCACTACAAAAGCAACGTGCTCGATTGCGTTAGCGAGCAATATACAGACATCACAGAACAATGAATATTACATCACCCCATGCAGAGTCTTCGAGATTGGAGTGGTAAGTACAGTGCAGTAAATATGGTAACTTTTTACAGGAGGATATTTTTAAAAAATAGTATTTTATTCATGCCAATGTGATATCGTAAACAAATTTAAAATACTAAAAAATCATTTCCACAACACCTAAAATATAATGTTATGCAAGAATATGCAAAAATAAGCTAATTTAAATAATGATGTGATTATCCGGCGTTTTTGAAAATCCGGCACCCCCTTCCCCCCTAAGCCACTGGATAATCGATGATCGACTATATATTACCAACATACCTCGACTAAGACCTATGCTGTCCATTTCTGATGCTGAGAAGCTGGTGCTTGACTGTTTTTTCATATAGGTTGGATTACTGTAATGCCTTGCTGGTTTTTCTAAAAAGGGTTTTAAATATATTAAAAAATATTCAAAAGTCAGCAGCCTGGGTTTTAACCAGATCTAAATTGTATGCCCACATATGATTCCTAGTCTTTTGTCCCTGCACTGGCTCCCTCTCGCCAATCTGCTCTAATTTTATATACCACTGAGAAAACTTAGATCAGCTGATTCTACTCATCATTTCAAAGACAAGACTGTGGTGGTGGTGGTGTTGATGTTGTATGGGAAACACGGAGCCTGCTGCAGCCAGGCTCCGTGATTGTGGAATCCCCCTTCCTCAGTCCATTTAGGACAGATTCTGAGTCTTTCACTTTTTTATTGCGTTTTAAAACTCACCTACTTGTGCAGAATTTTTCCCGTAACTTAAGATATGAAAATCAGTTTTGTCTGATTTGATTACTCTGTAATTGTTGTTATTGTGGGCCCTGTGGCGGCAAGATGTTTACTACCTCGCCTGGTATATAGGAGGTCGTGGGTTTCATCCTGACCCTGATGCCTGTGGTATATTTGGAGTTTGTGTGTTTCTGTCCCCATGGTCGTGTGGATTTTTCTCCGGGTCCCCTGGTTTTTCCCTCCACATTTATAAAGATGCATTTACAGTATTTGGCTGCTAGAAATTTCCATGTGATAAGCCTCTTTGTTAAATTATCATTTGCGCTTCTGAAGTCGGTTCTGAAAAAGAGCTGTGGGCCTTACTGGGTAAGTCTTTATTATTATTCGCTTTTCTCAGGTTTTTTGTGGGAATTTCGAATGTCATTGATATTGTTATCAGATTTCTATTTTGCTTAGATTTTATCTATATTTGTGTGTCGTTTATTTTTGATGTAGAGGGCTTTGAGATGCTTCAATATGAAGGGCGCTTTCTAAAATAGAGGTTTTATTATTATGTAGAACCAATCCTACTGAGGTCAAAAACGGTGCAGAGTTTGTTTATCTCGAAGCAATGCTGGGGGCTGTGTGACTGATGGGATGTGTAGAAAATGCTTTTTGTTTTATGTGGACCGAAATATATGTGAGGGAGGCTTGTTTGCTTATTTTGTTCCTCTTGAGAATCAGTTGTTCCCCAGTCTGACACGGAATCTACAGACACACATTGTGTTTCGGACGCACAAAATACAAATTTCATGTTTTTTCAATGCACGTGAACGTTCGCGATACGTGTCTACATACCATGAATAAGCCTCCCTGGCCTTTTAATATCCTGACATAATTATTTTAGCATGCTTGCACTTACACAGAGAGACGGAGAATGGAACTCATGATGGATTGATTAGTGACCATACGCAGATTCATAATCTCATTCGAACAGGATATAAAAATGTGTGGGCTCGGGTGGGACGCGTCGTACGCATGGACAATGGCCGGTGGTCAAATATAACGATGCAATGAATCTGAGAGGCAGTGCAGTGAGGAGATGGAGAAATTAATTCAGCTCCATGTATAGGTGCTCGGTGACTTATTACATCGCAGGTTCGTAGTGGTGGCAGTAGTCCTAGGTGAGGCCTTCATCCAGCAGTGGATTGATTATGGTAGATGATGACAACATATCAGAGGTGAGATGTTAGCGATTTTTAAAAATAAAAGATGCGGGTGATTTGTCTGGTGGTGACGGAGCGTTCATGGTGGTGGCGTTTCACCCGTGCAATAATTTCCGTTCCTTTGCAAAGCGTCCCAGGGTTTTAACTCTGAGCTGTGTGCAGCACTAGCGGCTCCTCTGAGTGAGCCACACTGGCAGAGTCAGATCTCTGCGCTCGTGACATTTAAATTAATAAGACCCTGCATTAATAACAAAAACATATGTTCTTTGGTAAATATTAACAAAATACCACGTTTTGGGATTCCAAGGAGGCAGGGGTCGGGGGGTTACGATCACCCCCTCATTGCCCCAACCTGGATCTCGGTCGCTGGAGATGCTCATTGGCTGTGTGTGGAGGAGTTTACTTGTTGTGACCGGTGAGCGCCGCTGGGAGCGATCTGTGTGAATGCAGCGACGTCAGGGATTTGATTCTCGCTCGCTCGGGTGTTGCTTTCTCCAGAGCTCGTTCGGTGACGCCAAAGGGTTCCACGTGGGCAGCAAGAAGTCGCTGTTGTTCCTCCTCAAGTTCCTGTCGGAGCTGGTGCCATTTGAGCCTCCACACTACCTCAAGGTGAGTCGAGCAGAGGGGTGACAATAATCACAAACAATCTTTTGTAAGTTTAACACGTAGGCCTGATTAGGCTGGTTATAATTACCGGCGAAACGTCACGGTACTCGAACTGTAAATGTTGTAGTGGGTTTATTCTCTAACTCACCGGTGTGCTGAACTAGTAACGAATTGCCATGTTTTGTTTACTAGACAAACCTTAGTAATTGGCTTTGTCGGGTGGTGGCGAGTTTCACGATACATTTGTATTTAAAGGATCTAATAAAAAAACGTATGTATAATAGTCTTTATGTTTATATGGTATTGTCTTAAATGCCTCTCGAAGCTCCTTACATCTCGGCTCGTAGAAATTCAAAGCAGTCCCCCACCCCCCACCAGTGGCAGCTGTCCCGGGGTGGCACAACGAGGTGACTTGGCACTGGCCTGAAAGTGGCGGTGAGGCTGTCAATGGAGGGCAATGATGTCCATGCGCAATCCCAATTGAGTCATTTGCAGGGAATTTTTTCGAAATTGGCAATTTTAACCATGATGGCCAACTTGTTTCTAATGGCCAATTCGGAGCACCGTGGTGGTTAAATGTTAACTCCCTCACCTGGTATGCAGGAGGTCGTGGGTTCCATCCCGAACCAGATGCCTGTTGTATATTTGTAGTTTGCATGTCTCTCACCCCGTGGTCACGTGGATTTTTCTCCGGGTCCTGCGGTTTTCCCCCATTTATCAACGTGTGTTTAAGAGTATTTGGCGGCATTATATTTCCATGTGATGCGCCACTTTGTTGAGCTATCATCAGATCGCTTCTGAAAAAGAGCTATATTGCTCAGTGGCCGTTACCTGGTAAAATAAAATTTAAAATAGAATGTCAGGGTATCTATGATATTCAGTGTGAAGCAGATGGAGTGCATTTAAGGTGAATTCATTGCATGCAATAACCAGGGTGGCCGCCTGGATTCAAACCGAGAAGATCTGCGGCAAGTGGCGAATGCGCTACCCAATGGGCCACCTCTCCGAGTTGTCTGCACACGAATGCTGTGGGGGAGCTTTGATGCCACGTGCTGCTCCATTGGCTCACCATTACCGAGACCATTGATCAGCATGGGCTGGGCATTAGTTCAAATCTGTAAATGTTGAGAAAACCCATCACAACAGAAGCATTTATTGATGATGGGTGTGTGGCTATGTTTTATAGATCATCAACTCAAAAGAGTTGGTGAAAATGCGACCATCCTAGAAGGTTAGAGTTGAAACAGGTTAAATGCCGGCTGTTATGGTGCAAATGAAATTGATATAAAGGGAGACCTCTTATTACCTATATGTTTTATAGATAGTAGTGCCGCATGGCAGTGATTCCATCATGATATCCTGCAGGTAACAGGATCTATGGTCTGCGGAGAATCTGGGCAATGGCACTCTTTGCTTTTCACAGTCACAGGTAATAGCAAAACGCTATTGTGCGGCTCGCAAGGGGAATCGCAGATTACAAAATTGTAGGGGATAGGATGACAAGCCTCTGTATTTGTTTCACTGTTGAGGGTGAATCAAGTCTGTTCTGGCTGCCCCTTGCTTTCTTAATATCAGAGAAGAGCTCTTGACTGAAACGTCATCCTGCGGTACGTTTCTCTGTCACGAGGTCGTGTTCACGGCTGAAGATGGCGGTGGTAAAAGTGTTTTTTGTTTCCGTGCTTCAAACTATTGTTTGCTAAGAACAAGCGGCTGGCATCCGATCCCACCACTGAAACCCACGTGGTGTGCCAAGCTTCCCGAAAACAGTTGACCATGTGACCTGGTCAAATATGCACACCCCATCATCACATCGCCCAGCGCCTCCATGAGTTGGAAAGGAAGCCGGGAACGTGACAGCGGAGACACTGACCAAACCCTCCTGTGCACAGCCAGCTGCAGAGCACATCATCGCTAGTCAATGTGCGCATTGTAAACCACTTTGCAAATTCAATGGGAGGCACAGAAGCGGCGACGGTGGCAGCAGCAGCAGCAGCAATTCACACGAGGGATATTGATCTCTGAATTGCTCTTCGCAAAGCCACACTAGGCAGTGCCGTGATTGTTGTTTTTCCTTCTTCTCGTGGGAAGATTCACATCCTAAACCCCCCGTTTGTGGAGCTGAAGCAACGCGCTGCGCTGATGGAATACGTGTCCCTGGCGAGGACCAGGCTCGTCGACCTCAAGGTGTGGGAGACTCGGTGTCCCGTGTGCACGTTCACGTTTTTGGGGTTCTTCACTAACCTCGTGGTGACGACTCACATTGTTACCCTGCACACTCACACCCATCCACTCGCATTACCACCCTACACACACCCAACCACTCACATTACCACCCTGCACACACACCCACGTTACCTCCCTTCACACTCACACCCAACCACTCACATTATCACTCTTCACACTCACACCCAACAACTCACATTACCACCCTTCACACTCACACCCAACCACTCACATTACCACCCTGCACACTCACACCCAACCACCCACATTACCACCCTGCACCCTGCACACTCACACCCAACCACTCACATTACCACCCTGCACACACCCAACAACTCACATTACCACCCTGCACACTCACACCCAACCACTCACATTACCACCCTGCACACTCACACCCAACCACCCACATTACCACCCTGCACACTCACACCCAACCACTCACATTACCACCCTGCACACTCACACCCAACCACTCACATTACCACCCTGCACACACCCAACCACTCACATTACCACCCTGCACACTCACACCCAACCACTCACATTACCACCCTTCACACTCACACCCAACAACTCACATTACCACCTTTCACACTCACACCCAACCACTCGCATTACCACCCTGCACACTCACACTCAGCAACTCACATTACCACCCTGCACACTCACACCCAACCACTCACATTACCACCCTGCACAATCACACCCAACCACTCACATTACCACCCTGCACACTCACACCCAACAACTCACATTACCACCCTGCGCACTCACACCCAACCACTCACATTACCACCCTGCACACTCACACCCAACCACTCACATTACCACCCTGCACACTCACACCCAACCACTCACATTACTACCCTGCACACTCACACCCAACCACTCATATTGTCACCCTTCACACTCACACCTAGCCACTCACATTACCACCCTGCACACTCACACCTAGCCACTCACATTACCACCCTGCACACTCACACCCAACCACTCACATTACCACCCTTCACATTCACACCCAACCAGTCACATTACCACCCTTCACACTCACACCCAACAACTCACATTACCACCCTTCACACTCACACCCAACCACTCATATTGTCACCCTTCACACTCACACCTAGCCACTCACATTACCACCCTGCACACTCACACCTAGCCACTCACATTACCACCCTGCACACTCACACCCAACCACTCACATTACCACCCTGCACACACCAAACCACTCACATTACCACCCTGCACAATCACACCCAACCACTCACATTACCACCCTGCACACTCACACCCAACCACTCACATTACCACCCTGCACACTCACACCCAACCACTCACATTACCACCCTGCACACTCACACCCAACCACTCACATTACCACCCTGCATACTCACACCCAACCACTCACATTATCACAATACAAACACGCTCTCTCCCGTCTACACTCACAGGAAATGAGTTTAGTCGAGCCCGGACTCTGCTAGTGGCAGGCGTTTTTTCTGGATTTTTGTTGTTGTTATTCTGTCTCTCACTGTTCAAATAAACCTACCATTAAAATTATAGACTGATCATTTTTTTGTCAGTGGGCAAACGTACAAAATCAGAAGGGGATCAAATACTTTTTTCCCTCACTGTATGGGGCTCCCACATGCATATGGCAGTGCAGAACATTGATGATTGTACTGCCTTGATGTGTCCTCATGAGGTTGAACCTGGGTCCATAGTTGGGTCTTTGTTAACCTGCTGCCTGTTGGGACCGTGACATTTTCTCCACTCTTTGAGTTGGTCGCCCAAATGACAATGTGGCCACACGTTCATTTCTCTGTACCTGGGTGGTCTGCATGAGGCCGAGAGGTGTTGTACGTGCAATGCTGCATACATCCTCTGTGTTGTGTTGCTGTTAACTCCTATGAAGCATCCCACTCTTCTTTGGCTTCACATCCGTGTGGTTCCAGGAGCCCATAGAGGAGATGGGTCTCTACGCTGACCCAGTCGAAGACCGTCGCGTGCAGGACGGATCGGTGGGTAACTTTCAGTCGCACAAGTTACACAGACTTACACACACACAGACTCCACAGCCACAGACTCCTACACACGTACACACAGACTCCTATACGTAGATATGCACAGATACACTACATGGTGGGTGTGTGATTTTGTGGTATCACGCTACCGCAACCGTGTGTGTGGTGTGGTGTCGCACCGTGTGTGTGATGTTGCGCGTTGTGGCGTGTGTGATGTGGTGTCACACTATGTGTATGACGTTTCTCTATGTGGCATGTGTGATGTGGTGTCACACTGTGTGTGTGATGCGCTATGTGGTGTGTGTGATGTGGTGTCTCACTGTGTGTGATGTTGCTCTGTGGTGTGTGTGATGTGGTGTCACACTGTGTGTGATGTTTCTCTATGTGGCGTGTGTGATGTGGTGTCACACTGTGTGTGATGTTTCTCTATGTGGCGTGTGTGATGTGGTGTCACACTGTGTGTGATGTTGCACTATGTGGCGTGTGTGATGTGGTGTCACACTATGTGTGTGTGATGTTGCTATGTGGCGTGTGTGATGTGGTGTCTCACTGTGTGTGTGTGATGTTGCGCTATGTGGCATGTGTGATGTGGTGTCGCACCGTGTGTGTGACGTTTCTCTATGTGGCGTGTGTGATGTGGTGTCACACTGTGTGTGTGATGTTGCTATGTGGTGTGTGTGATGTTGTGTCGCACCGTGTGTGACGTTTCTCTATGTGGCGTGTGTGATGTGGTGTCTCACTGTATGTGTGATGTTGCTCTGTGGCGTGTGTGGTGTGGTGTCACACTGTGTGTGTGATGTTGCACTATGTGGCGTGTGTGATGTGGTGTCACACTGTGTGTGTGATGCGCTATGTGGCGTGTGTGATGTGGTGTCACACTATGTGTGTGTGATGTTGCTATGTGGCGTGTGTGATGTGCTGTCTCACTGTGTGTGTGTGTGATGTTGCGCTATGTGGCATGTGTGATGTGGTGTCGCACCGTGTGTGTGACGTTTCTCTATGTGGCGTGTGTGATGTGGTGTCACACTGTGTGTGTGATGTTGCTATGTGGTGTGTGTGATGTGGTGTCGCACCGTGTGTGTGACGTTTCTCTATGTGGCGTGTGTGATGTGGTGTCACACTGTGTGTGTGATGTTGCTATGTGGTGTGTGTGATGTTGTGTCGCACCGTGTGTGACGTTTCTCTATGTGGCGTGTGTGATGTGGTGTCGCACCGTGTGTGTGACGTTTCTCTATGTGGCGTGTGTGATGTGGTGTCTCACTGTATGTGTGATGTTGCTCTGTGGCGTGTGTGGTGTGGTGTCACACTGTGTGTGTGATGTTGCACTATGTGGCGTGTGTGATGTGGTGTCTCACTATGTGTGTGATGTTGCTATGTGGCGTGTGTGATGTGGTGTCACACTGTGTGTGATGTTGCACTATGTGGCGTGTGTGATGTGGTGTCACACTATGTGTGTGATGCGCTATGTGGCGTGTGTGATGTGGTGTCACACTATGTGGTGTGTGTGATGTTGCTATGTGGCGTGTGTGATGTGGTGTCTCACTGTGTGTGTGTGTGATGTTGCGCTATGTGGCATGTGTGATGTGGTGTCGCACCGTGTGTGTGACGTTTCTCTATGTGGCGTGTGTGATGTGGTGTCACACTGTGTGTGTGATGTTGCTATGTGGTGTGTGTGATGTGGTGTCGCACCATGTGTGACGTTTCTCTATGTGGCGTGTGTGATGTGGTGTCGCACCGTGTGTGTGACGTTTCTCTATGTGGCGTGTGTGATGTGGTGTCTCACTGTATGTGTGATGTTGCTCTGTGGCGTGTATGGTGTGGTGTCACACTGTGTGTGTGATGTTGCACTATGTGGCGTGTGTGATGTGGTGTCTCACTATGTGTGTGATGTTGCTATGTGGCGTGTGTGATGTGGTGTCACACTGTGTGTGTGTGATGCGCTATGTGGGGTGTGTGATGTGGTGTCACACTGTGTGTGTGATGTTGCACTATGTGGCGTGTGTGATGTGGTGTCACACTGTGTGTATGACGTTTCTCTATGTGGCGTGTGTGATGTGGTGTCACACTATGTGTGTGATGTTGCGCTATGTGGCGTGTGTGATGTGGTGTCACACTGTGTGTGATGTTTCTCTATGTGGCGTGTGTGATGTGGTGTCTCACTGTATGTGTGATGTTGCTCTGTGGCGTGTGTGGTGTGGTGTCACACTGTGTGTGTGATGTTGCACTATGTGGCGTGTGTGATGTGGTGTCTCACTATGTGTGTGATGTTGCTATGTGGCGTGTGTGATGTGGTGTCACACTGTGTGTGATGTTGCACTATGTGGCGTGTGTGATGTGGTGTCACACTATGTGTGTGATGCGCTATGTGGCGTGTGTGATGTGGTGTCACACTATGTGGTGTGTGTGATGTTGCTATGTGGCGTGTGTGATGTGGTGTCTCACTGTGTGTGTGTGTGATGTTGCGCTATGTGGCATGTGTGATGTGGTGTCGCACCGTGTGTGTGACGTTTCTCTATGTGGCGTGTGTGATGTGGTGTCACACTGTGTGTGTGATGTTGCTATGTGGTGTGTGTGATGTGGTGTCGCACCATGTGTGACGTTTCTCTATGTGGCGTGTGTGATGTGGTGTCGCACCGTGTGTGTGACGTTTCTCTATGTGGCGTGTGTGATGTGGTGTCTCACTGTATGTGTGATGTTGCTCTGTGGCGTGTATGGTGTGGTGTCACACTGTGTGTGTGATGTTGCACTATGTGGCGTGTGTGATGTGGTGTCTCACTATGTGTGTGATGTTGCTATGTGGCGTGTGTGATGTGGTGTCACACTGTGTGTGTGTGATGCGCTATGTGGGGTGTGTGATGTGGTGTCACACTGTGTGCGTGATGTTGCACTATGTGGCGTGTGTGATGTGGTGTCACACTGTGTGTATGACGTTTCTCTATGTGGCGTGTGTGATGTGGTGTCACACTATGTGTGTGATGTTGCGCTATGTGGCGTGTGTGATGTGGTGTCACACTGTGTGTGATGTTTCTCTATGTGGCGTGTGTGATGTGGTGTCGCACCGTGTATGTGACGTTTCTCTATGTGGCGTGTGTGATGTGGTGTCTCACTGTATGTGTGATGTTGCTATGTGGTGTGTGTGATGTGGTGTCGCACCGTGTGTGACGTTTCTCTATGTGGCGTGTGTGATGTGGTGTCGCACCGTGTATGTGACGTTTCTCTATGTGGCGTGTGTGATGTGGTGTCACACTGTGTGTGATGTTGCACTATGTGGCGTGTGTGATGTGGTGTCACACTGTGTGTGTGATGCGCTATGTGGCGTGTGTGATGTGGTGTCACACTATGTGTGTGTGATGTTGCTATGTGGCGTGTGTGATGTGGTGTCTCACTGTGTGTGTGTGATGTTGTGCTATGTGGCATGTGTGATGTGGTGTCGCACCGTGTGTGTGACGTTTCTCTATGTGGCGTGTGTGATGTGGTGTCACACTGTGTGTGTGATGTTGCTATGTGGTGTGTGTGATGTTGTGTCGCACCGTGTGTGACGTTTCTCTATGTGGCGTGTGTGATGTGGTGTCGCACCGTGTGTGTGACGTTTCTCTATGTGGCGTGTGTGATGTGGTGTCTCACTGTATGTGTGATGTTGCTCTGTGGCGTGTGTGGTGTGGTGTCACACTGTGTGTGTGATGTTGCACTATGTGGCGTGTGTGATGTGGTGTCTCACTATGTGTGTGATGTTGCTATGTGGCGTGTGTGATGTGGTGTCACACTGTGTGTGATGTTTCTCTATGTGGCGTGTGTGATGTGGTGTCACACTGTGTGTGATGTTGCACTATGTGGCGTGTGTGATGTGGTGTCACACTGTGTGTGTGATGCGCTATGTGGCGTGTGTGATGTGGTGTCACACTATGTGTGTGTGATGTTGCTATGTGGCGTGTGTGATGTGGTGTCTCACTGTGTGTGTGTGTGATGTTGCGCTATGTGGCATGTGTGATGTGGTGTCGCACCGTGTGTGCGACGTTTCTCTATGTGGCGTGTGTGATGTGGTGTCACACTGTGTGTGTGATGTTGCTATGTGGTGTGTGTGATGTGGTGTCGCACCGTGTGTGACGTTTCTCTATGTGGCGTGTGTGATGTGGTGTCGCACCGTGTGTGTGACGTTTCTCTATGTGGCGTGTGTGATGTGGTGTCTCACTGTATGTGTGATGTTGCTCTGTGGCGTGTATGGTGTGGTGTCACACTGTGTGTGTGATGTTGCACTATGTGGCGTGTGTGATGTGGTGTCTCACTATGTGTGTGATGTTGCTATGTGGCGTGTGTGATGTGGTGTCACACTGTGTGTGTGATGCGCTATGTGGGGTGTGTGATGTGGTGTCACACTGTGTGTGTGATGTTGCACTATGTGGCGTGTGTGATGTGGTGTCACACTGTGTGTATGACGTTTCTCTATGTGGCGTGTGTGATGTGGTGTCACACTATGTGTGTGATGTTGCGCTATGTGGCGTGTGTGATGTGGTGTCTCACTGTGTGTGTGATGTTGCTCTGTGGCGTGTGTGATGTGGTGTCACACTGTGTGTGTGATGTTGCGCCATGTGGCGTGTGTGATGTGGTGTCACACTGTGTGTGATGTTGCGCTATGTGGCGTGTGTGATGTGGTGTCTCACTGTGTGTGTGATGTTGCTGTGTGGTGTGTGTGATGTGGTGTCACACTGTGTGTGATGTTGCTCTGTGGCGTGTGTGATGTTGTGTCACACTGTGTGTGTGATGTTGCGCTATGTGGCGTGTGTGATGTGGTGTCTCACTGTGTGTGTGATGTTGCACTATGTGGCGTGTGTGATGTTGCGCTATGTGGCGTGTGTGATGTGGTGTCTCACTATGTGTGTGATATAGTGTTATCCACTCGAGAAATGGAGGACTACTGCCTGGACCTCTGTGGAATATAGCAGGTCAATTGGACTAGTTCTGGCTCCAGTCACCATGAGGGGTAGACAGTTCTCCACTCGTGGCAGGAAACTGCCAAACAACAGGCAGAGGCATTGGTTTTGGTCAAAATTATGAAGGGGTATGGAAGGGTGGAGGAAATGTGTGGGAAGCTGTGATTCCCAAGCTATTGTGTGCTTGCCTCCCCATCAACAGGAGGCAAAGATTGGTGGTGGTGACTTACAGACAAGGCTGATGAGTCAGATGCCTTCTATGACCTCATGTCATAGGTGCTAGCTAAAGTGGCCCCTCGGGATAGTCATCCTGTTGGGTGACTTTAATGTTCGAGTGGGTCATGACGCAGAAACCTGCAGTGTCTTTCCTGTTTGTATCAATGTATGTCGAACCTCTTTTGCACCGTACATAGCTAACCGTGATAATCAGAGGTGCGGGGAAGGACAACAAACTGAACACAAAAAGCACCGCAGTGTGTGATGTTGTAGTGTCACACTCCTGTGTGTCTGTCAGAGCGCCCATCACATGGAGGATGACGTGGAGAAGACGCTGGTGGCATTTGAGCGCACGGGAAAGATCCCGTCTAGTGTCATGGAGGCGAGGTGAGCCCCTGGCTACCCATTCCTGTCAGTGCCGCGTGCCAGGGCTCCATATGGCAACAGGGTGGCACAGTGGAGTTTGTATGTTCTCTCTCTTTTGCATGGGTTTCCTACAGTTTTTCCAATTTCTTCCAAAAGTACAAAAACATAATCTAACTGGAATTGGCCAATCGTCTCAATTCTGAAAACTCACTGTCCAATTATTCGATGGGATTTCACATTGCAAAAAAAATGTGGCAGGACCCTCCTGAAATAGTCTTCAGATTTAGTGAAGCTTCGTTGGGTAAATACGTGTAATAAATTAATAACAGGAGTAATAATAATAACAACCCTACCAGGTGTCTTCTGAAAAGCAAAATGTGCAATTGTGACCATAGGATTTGTACTCCCAGCACACTGTTTCGTCATCACACTGTTGTTTCATGCACACAGCCACGTTTTAGACCAAGCAGTAACAACTCTGGCTGCATTTTAAACCTCGGCAGGAGAGTGAGACAACTGTGGACCGGTTTAACCTTTTAAATATAATAATAATCTTTGTTCGGAATCATCACAAATACTTATGTTTTTGGAGCCAATATAATTTATGCTTAATTTGGTCGTGAGAATTTTTATCATATTAACGATGAGTTGAAACAATATATAATTGGTCCATTAAATGCTTGCACACGTGATCCTTTCACCAATTTGAATGTGTCAGATGGTCGAGGGATTCATACCACTATTCTGGCAAATCGCCCGATGATGCTGGATGTAATTACCAGCGAAACGTCGTACTCAAAATTGTATATGTTGTGGATTCACTCTTCAACACACCGGTGAGCTAAAGTAGTGAACTATTTGTCTTTTGTCAATGTGACATATTTTTTACTGATTGACCATGTCGGGTGGTGGAGGGCTGCGACACATTTAGAAATAACGCGATCTAACCCAAAAGCCTTTATTATGAATAATATTGGTCGCGAAAGCCTGCTACGTGTGATGAGTTCTGTTTTCTGTAATGTGATGATGAGCGCTGTGTGATGTGAGACGTAATGAGTGCTGTGTTCTACTCTGTGTTAAGTTCTTTGCTGTATTACACGTTCTCAGTTCTGGCAGAGCGATGTGTCACACAGTTTTTTCACTTTACATCACAACCACTTGGGTTAGCAATATCAAATTCTCTCTCTCAAGCATTGTGCTTACAAGAGCACCCTGTCTGTCTCATATCAATGTTCTTCATTTTGTTTCCAGCATTTTCAGGAGGCCATATTTCCTGATGCGCTTCTTGCCAGCCCTGCTGAAAACGCGCCGTGTAAGTTAAGCCATTGCGTCCGGAGGTCCGGCGTGACTTTGTTGGACTCGTTTTTGGTGAGGCTGGGAAAGAATCCTGGTCTTATGGCTCGACGCTCGTGGGGCGCCTGACCAATGTGCTTCTTCTTCTTTGGTTCTTTCGGTAAAGTCACAAAGAATGAGAATAAAATAATAAAATAAAACAATAAAATTCTCACGACGTTAAATCGAAATTCAATGTGCTTCTGTTCCCGAGTTTCATCATCCCTGTGGCTGCAGGCCAGGGGTGGGGGATTTTAAGGCTCGCGTGCTGGGTACGGCCCATGACTTTGTATGTATGTTGAACTTCTTTGGCACCGTACATAGCGAACCGTGTTAATCGCAGGTGCAGGGGAAGGACATCAAACTAAACACAACAAGCAGTATATTATTGTTTCTTTCGGTAAGGTCACATAGAAGGGAAACAATAAAATAATAAAAATATAAAACAATAAAATTCTTACGACGTTTCGACTGCAACACAAGCAATCATCATCAGGTGTGAAGACCACAGCAAGAAAATTTGAAATAAGTGGCGTTTTTTTCTTAACGTTAGTACCACGGACAGCGATTTTGGCAATTCAGATGGACGAGGCGGTGACTTTCAGACCGCATTCCATTCTCTTCCTCTCCCCCCTCCTATTTTCCGAACATAGATGGACTCGTCCATTTGAACAACTGCTAAAATCGCTGTCCTGTTGTACTAACGTTAAGAAAAAAACGGCACTTTTTAAAAAATGTCTTGCTGTGGTTTTCTCTCCTGATGATGATTGCTTGTGTTGCAGTTGAAACGTCGTGAGAATTTTATTGTTTAATATTTTTATTATTTTATTGTTTCCCTTCTACGTGACTTTACTGAAAGAACCAAGAATATGAATCCCCGCAATCACAAAAGCTTTAAATCAACAACAAGCAGTTTTAAAGAAATTAGTTTTCAGTCTAATTGTAATCTGTAATGATGAGAAAACCGATCACAACAAGATCATTTAGATGACCCCATTTCTCAACTGTTTTGAGTTAGGGGTCTGATTAACAAATTGGCCATACTTTCAGTTATTTTAAAATGGTGGTCCAGATAAGGAAGATAGCTTTTGTACATTGCAATGCACGTCTTTACCAATGGCGACATGCTTCCTACCACTATAAAAACAGCCATAAATTATATTTATTTGTCATTGAGCACCTTAAACCATCTGTCCACTTTGGAATTGTGACCCTATGTTGACCCACAGTCTGGTGACACAGAGCAAAATTGGTATCGTGTTCGATTATTATTCATGGCGTTTCTTCTGTATGCTGCCGTCACAGCTTCCTGACGACCCAGATGTTCGCATGGTCTTCATCGAGGCCATGAGGAGGTGCGGTCCATCGCAAACATTTACTACATATTCTCCCTTGTCTGCTAATACATCTGAACCGAGCCCGGCTAATGGCATGGCTAATGGCATGGCTAATGGCATGCACGTTGTTTGTGATGCCGAGTCGGTACACTTAAGACGCAGTATGACCATGTCACCTACGTGCCTGTCGACTCATTCATGGCGTTCAGTTTTTACTCATCGAACTAGGGAGTCATTTGAGGACGAGTCGACTTTGGGGAGGCTCCGGATCGGTTCAGATATCCATCACTGATGGTGGCCGTGAGCGGGAATCAAACCCGACTCGCTGGGTTTGTAGCACAGCACACTAACCCTCTACACTCCCGTTCCCCGCAGTCCTCAACACACACCCACAGACACGTCCTCGCTTTTTATTGTTTGGTCTGTTCACTAATACACTAATATATGTATACACTTGACTGAACGTGGGATTGCTGTTTTGTTTTTGTGTACCTTTTAATTGACATTGAGGCTGGGCATGGACCTTTGAGCGAGCTGGACCAGGGCTGTCCTCTGAGCCCAGATAGCCAGGGTTTTACATGAGTGCAAATACCAAATGTACTTGATACAGTAGTCCCTTGCTTAACGGTATTAATTGGTTCCACGAAAACTATCGTTAATTGAAATTATCGGGAATAAACTGTAGGAAATACAATGTAAAGGCTTAATTTGTTCGAAGACGATCAGAAGGTAATAATTTTCACCCGAAAAACATAGTTTATAATATCTAAACAAGTAATTTTAATAAATAAACATTTTAAGAACATTAAAGCATTCATATTAATACAAATGGATAAATAATTAATACATGGAGCTTAAAAATGTGCATATTTACAGTATAAAATAAAAATGCTTACTTTAGGCGAAGAAAATATATGGCTTAAGTATTCAAGATAACTGTTTCCATAAGCAACGCACATTAAACATCGATAAGCTAGCAAATTGCTCTCAAAATGCTAATAAAAGGGCAGGTTGCTGATGGCTGAGGTTTACTGCTGAGTCCACTTAGGAGATTTCCGATTGGCCTAAATTGGTGGCCGCATGATATAAAACATCGTGAGTTGAAAATTATCGCAAATAGAAAAAATGGATTGTGAATCGATGGCATCGTAAACCGAAGGGGACCTCACTGTGTTTGCACTTGGTACTGATTAATACTGGGTGTAGCCCAAGGGTCATCAACGAAGTGGGCGGGGTTAGTGATGTTAATGTGAGAAATTAGCATGTTAATGTAAGATCAGAGAGCAGCCTCTACGGCGAGCACGCGGAGGTGGCTGTGTAAATGTGAGAGATGAGCATGTTAATGTAAGATCGTAGAGCCGCCACGTTGAGGTCGGCGCGCGGAGGTGGCTCTGTTGGTGTGATAAATTTAACCTGTTCATGTAAAATCGGAGAGCCAAAGCTACAGGGAAAAAATAAAATAAAAACTAATATCGGAAGGTGGCAGGATAGGAACATCACAGCCAGTTATTACTTTAACTGGTTTATGACGTCCTTCCAATGATTGCTGGGTTTGTACCCATCCTCTCGGTTGAGATTGTGTCTGTATATATGGATGGCTTAACGAACTAATCTTTGTTGATAGCCAGTGGGCTTACAAAGTACCTTCATCTTAGAGAAATCAATTTCATGTGAGCCAACCGCATTAAAACAATGATCAGCCACGGCCGACATGTTGGTCCTACCGTGTTTCAGATTTGCCTTATGCTCACGAACACGGTCCGAGACATGTCGCTTAGTCTCCCCAAGATAACTACTACCGCAGACACATCTTAGTTTGTAGATGCCAGGGTATTGCATATCAGGGATCACATCCTTCACAGATGGGATCAGATCACGAATTTTATGTACTGTTCATAATAAAGGTTTTTGGGTTACATCGCATAAGTATAAATGTGTCGAAACCCTCCACCACCCGACAAAGCCAATCAGTAAGGGATTTGTCACGTGTCGGGTGGTGGAGGGTTTCAGCACATTTATACTTATGCAATCTAACCCAAAAACCTTTATTATGAATAATATTGGTCGCGAAAGCCTACGTGTTTATGGACTGTGTTCAATCGAGCCTGGATCTTGTGTTTACTCAAGATTTTGGAAATATTTTTGTTGACCCCTGCTATGTATGGCAAACAGTCTGCTTTCAGCAGTTTTTCCCCTCTTTTTTCCTCCTGATGTTGTGATCGAAACGTCATAGTTTTTGTTTATTTTATTTTTATTAATTTGAACCTATCTGCGTGACTTTACCGAAAGACCCAAAGAATATGAATTCTTGCAGTCACGAAAGCTTTAAGTTAAGTGTTGAGACTCAGTAAGGCTTTCCTGACTAAACGTGCAAAATAACAACACAGGCGTTTCCTGCTTAACGAGCTTTCTTTTCTTTTTTTACGATAATTCGCTAACAATGAGAATTTATAGCCCAAATTTGTTCGATCAACGATCAAATGCATCCCGTGGCGGCAGGGGGCGCTGCGGTATGACAGTGTTACAGTATTGTAATACAGCGCACCGCGGCCCGCAGCTGTTTACCAGTCTCCTGTGCTGTGCCGCCTTCACGCATGATTCAGGTGGGGGCCTCGTGGTAGCATTGTAATGGGAGTGTGTGGGGAGCAGTGGCGCAACGGTGAGCGCGCGGAGCTACGAACCTGGCGACCCGAGTCGATTCCCGCTCAGGGACAACACTGGTTATGATTATCAGAACCGGTCCTGGGCCTCCCCTAGGAAGACTCGCCACGAGTGAGATAAAGGCGGCCGGGCATGGTGCTGGCCATGCACCCCTCGTGCGCAGTACCGGCCTTAATAGGTGCTTGCACTTGGCCCAACAGTCTATTGAGGCTATACGGGGGATCTTGCACTGGTTCTTCATGTGTTGTAAGTGTTAAATGTGGTGTTACTTTATTTTAAAATAATACAGTCATTTTTGTTTATTGTGTTCCAAAAAGTTGTTCAAGAGTGGAGAATGTTCGGGCTGAAACATAGCTGGCTCAGCTTTTAACATGAGGGGGAGAGTGAGTCAGTGGGAAAACGGCGATCATTTAACGAGCTTTCGCTTACCGAGCGATTTCCGCGGAACGTCTCTCTCGTTAAGCGAGACGATGCGACCGTATGGTCACTTTACACCCTACCGCCCCCCACCCTCAGAGCCGACAAGATTCCCAGCCACATGTTCAGAGCCTACGTGGAGGCATGCAGCATGGCCGAGATCCAGCAGCAGCACGGGCAGCAGGGTGAGTACAAGCAGTGGGGCAATTACGGGCAGAGGATTGGCGAGCGTGGGGAGCGGGATGGCGAGCGTGGGGAGCGGGATGGCGAGCGTGGGGGAGCGGGATGGCGAGCGTGGGGAGCGGGACAAGCAGCTCACAAACTTGGAGTTCTACTTCCAAGCTGGAAAAATTTAGCCAGTTAGTTGAAGCACTGAAGGCCAATACCACCACTGGCATCTCCCGTGAGTTGAGGAACACTTTCCAGACCATGCTGGCTTCCAGTATTGTAAAGAATCCTGAAGGAGTTTGGAAATAAGAGTGGCAACACAGACATAGGGCCCACTCCAATGAACATTCGACTGCCCGATTGGAAAGGTGGCATGAGAACTGTGGAAACTTTTGACTTTGTGCACTTCAGCTGCAAAGCCTGAACATTACGGTGACATATGGGGGCCGCTGAACTCCACAACGTGACATTATCGGTCACCAAGAAGCAGAGAGCTGCTTGGCATGGGGATCCCAGCACGTATGAGGAGGAGGACATCGTCCTTGCCCTCCTGCAGTACGGAACAACTACCAGACAATACCACCAGTTATCAACCCATCTCACTCCTCTCCACCGCAAGTAACCCTTTGTAGAAGGTGCTTCTGGCCCGAAGAAACACGCCAGTTTTAAACCAGGCTGTTAGTTGCTGTGACCAGATACTTGTTCTCACAAGCCAAGTTGAGGCTGGTTTCCAATGGAAACAGAAAACAGGCGTGGCATGAATGGATTTATCATCTGTGATCACAGTGTGGCAACGTAGCTGAAGTATGTAGGCTCATCAAATGCCAGTAAAACCGTACATTTCATCAGAGCCTTACTCGGGAAAGTGCTGGCACTGTACTGCGTGCATCTATATGGAGAGGCCAGCAGAGCATTGACATTCAACAATGTCCTCCAGCAAGGCTCTTTGCTCACTCCCCACTGCTCTTCAACGTAATCACGAGCAGCATCAGGACGGCATCTTGTACATTAATTTATGCGGACGACATTGCACTTGTGGTACAGTCCAAGGCACAACAACAACCGCTAGTCTCCCATCGGCCACACTCTCACAGGCGACATCAAGACCCCAGATGCTACTCTCCAACATGGTCAAGACTGGCAACACCTTCCCATCTGAACGACAAGGCTGCCAACCGCTTGACAGTGACCCTATTATGGGCGGAAGGTAAAACGTGAAGCCAGCCCAAAACACCTCAGCTTGACTGGATAGAAGCCGGAGCTTGAGAAACCACCTCAAAGGGGCCCTCAACAAACCCACGGTCTGGGTTGAGTCTCGCAGAGAGACCGAGCGGGCACAACATGGGGAGGTGGCACAAGTGTACACACAGCAGCGGCATTGGCGCTGCTGGTCTATTCAACCGCAGAGTACTGCTCCCCTGTCCGGTCGCAAAGCCCTTGGGATCCACAACTCAACTCTGCAATGGGCACCGCAAGCAGGACGTTTGATTAACCCGTGTGCAGTGCTTGCCCCACACTGGGGCGAATTAAACCACCCGTCCCAGAACCAAAGAGTTGCCCAGACCTGCTGAATATACCCAGTGCATCCTGGACGATCTGGAACTTACCTATCAACCAGGAGCTTCCAAACCCCCTCTTACCCCTGCTCACCTCGCAGTTGCCTGAAGGAACAGTGGCGTGAATTGTAGTGCAATGCACCCATCACGAACAACCCCTTCCCATGGTTCAGTGCTGAGCCCTAAATCAGTGCAGAACATGGTGTAGCAGATGCTGTCACCTCCATCAAATGGGAAAATGAAGATCAGTCCGCCTGTCATCAGAGCTAGATCATGGATCACATAATTCAACACTGTCCAACACCGCCTATTCGCGAAGCAGTATCGCCAATATCCACCAAGCCTCCACAAAGGCTTAATAACTTCGATGTACACGTATGTTTCAATGTTTACCTTGCCATACGACAAGAGGAGTATTGAGTTGTATGCGAGTGAGTTTTTGTGATTTACCTTGCTGCTGATGTTGTTTTTGTCACAGACACGTTGCCCGTGGGAGGAGTTCCCTCTGAACCGATGGACGTCGTGCGGCAGAGCCTGGAGTCACTCCCCTCTGTCGCCTCCCTTGCAGCCAGGAGCCCGGACACACAGGACGGTCAGCACCCATGCCCGTGTGCATATTTGTGCATTTTTTTTGCATTGGGTGGGGAGCGGTAGTGTAGCGTGCTGTGCTACGAACCCATCAACCCGAGTTCAATTCCCGCTTACGGCCAACACCAGTGACAATTATCTGAATCGGTCCTGGGCTTCCCCCAGGTCGACTCAGTCTCAAATGAGTACCTGGTGTAATGTGTAAACATCGCCACTGGGAAGACAAATGGGTTCGGGTGTGGTTCTGGCCACCCACCCCCTCGTGTGCCGTGCCGGCCTTCATAGGTGCTCGCTTACATCACTTGCCCCAACAGTCTGTTAAGGCTATACGTGGGATCTTTGTCTTTGTTTTTTTACATTGTGGGGAATTGTTTATCTTTGTGGTGGTTAGTGGTAGTGCAGTGATTGCCGCACTACGCTTGGAACTTGGCGACCCGTGATTGATTCCTGCTCCTGACCACCCTGAGTGACGTATATATGAACTGATCCTGGGCCTCCCATAGGTTGACTCAGCCTTTAATGGGTACTTAGTGTGGTGTGTGAACGTGAGCACTGGGGAGACGAAGACACTTTTAAATATAGATTGAGCACTCATTTCTTTACAACTGCTTTTTGTGTTCAGTTTGTTGACCTTTCCCTGCACCTATTTAGCACGGTTGGCTATGTACGGTGTGAAAGAAGTTGTACAAACATCTAGCAGCACCTTGCATCAACAGTCTGTTGGAAGGCTATATGGAGGATCTGTGTGTGTATTTGTGTGTAGACCATGGCTTTGGGTTATTCTTCGTGCTTTCTGAGTTGCAGGCCCTCTGCTCACAATCATATATTATAGTATTTGGCTGATATAAATTTCCACATGATATGCATCTTCATTGGGCTATCATTTGTGATAGCCAGGTCGCTTCTGAAAAAGAGCTACGTAGCTCAATGGGCTGTACCTGATAAAATATAATAAATATTTTGTGTATGCCATTGATCAATGACATGTAAGACCCACTGGCAATGCAGTATTGTGGGCAGGCCAGAATAAAGTTGTGTGACCGGGTATCAGAGCCATTTTCTGTTCACCTTGGGGTGCAACAGGGATGTCCACTGGACCCCGCTATGCTATTCAATGTCTTATTTGACCACATAGCTCAATAAGCTTTCCACGGATGTACGGTATTCTCTCGTTATAACCTGGTGCTGTAATGTGGTGCTGTGTAGTACTGCAATGTGGTGCTGTAACGTAGTGCTGTATAGTGGTGTGTATAGTGATGTTGTATCGTGGTTCTGTATAGTGGTGTGTATCGTGTATATAGTGGTGCTGTATAGCGGTGTGTAATGTGGTGCTGTAACTTAGTGGTGTAACATAGTGCTGTATAGTGGGGTGTATAGTGGTGCTGCATCGTGGTGCTGCATCGTGGTGCTTTGCGTGATGTTGCATGCGAGCAGCAGTGTCACATCTCGTGCTGCTTGTGGATGAGTACCTGCGGGAGCTGCATGGGGCCGATCCTCCCCAGGAGCTCCGCCTGGGCCCTGTTGCCAAGGAGCACCTTCAGGTGGGCAATGGTCACCGCAGGTGACAACGGCTGGGGATTAGCGTGGCCACCTACCCTGAGATCCAAACAATCCAGTACAAAGTCCCCTGCTCAAATGAGCATTGAGGTGATTGCTCCTCTCCCGTTTATAGCCCTAAACCAGTCACGAAAGAAATCCACATTCTTATGGCGAGTATGGAGTCTATTCATGGGACAACTGCTTATGCCTTTTCCGCAAAGTGTGTTTTTATTTATCGATCGAGGAGGATTGGAACTTACAACCTTCAGATAGGGAGCTGCTCGCTCTGCCGATGAGCTACCTGGAGAAGGATGTCATTGTCTAGAGTGGGGTGCATTGTGTACGTGTCGTGATATAGAATGGATCACTACGGCGCGTATCACTAAGTACAGTAGAATGAGGAAAAATGGGTGTAGAGGCTAGCACACCATGCAGTACCACACAGTGGGTTGCTCGGGTGCGTGGTACTGGGTGCTAGCAGAGAGAGGCTGATGAGTCCTACTGACAGACTAGGGGATAGTAGCCACTACGCCAGCACAGCGAGTGAATGCCACGTGATTGGTCACTAGGGAGCGTGTTGCGGGCTGCTGGCAGAAGGGGGCATATGAGGATGAGTCACCCCGGCCTCGGGTGAAGCACGTGATGGGCCGGCGTGAGGAATGTGGGGCAAAGCTGACCAAGGGGACACGGGAAGTGTAGCTGGGAATCTTTTGGAGAGTTCCTGAAGGGGCCGTGGTTAAGGGCAGAGCCGGGCAGGTGGCACGTGCAAGGTGGCCTGGAACCTTCGGGAACGTTCCAGAAGGGGGCGCGGCCGAGGGCGGAGCTAGGCTGCGCCGAGAGAGATAAAAGGGAAGCCCAGATCGAAGAGCGGGGCTGTCTGTAGGTGAAGTGAACCTGAGGTGCTACGGCTTCATCTCTTTCTCTGATGTCAGGTCAGACAGCACGTTGGCTGCTCTGACCCGTTTATAGTTATCCCGTGTGTAACAGTGTGTAAGAGATAGGCATATTGTAGTCCTGTATGTGACAGTGTGTAAGAGATAGGCATATTGTAGTCCCGTGTGTGACGGTGTTATATAGTGTAGAATAAACGTTGTTGCCTCCTAACTCGTGTCTCCGAAGTGACTCACTACATACGTACAAATGCTGGACTTCTTTCGGGCCGTACGTAGTCAACCGTGCTAATCGAAATGTGCAATGTTCATGCATATGATAAAAATTGGTCTTTTAATGTCCCCAAAAATCCGTACACTTTTTCCTTCAGAGGAAAAGACCTACAAACGTGGTTGCCTCTGGTGTCAATTCTACCTGGAGGGCCATCCACCATAACATCTTCACGTCTTGGATGAAGTCCAAGCAACAGCGTGGAGTGGAGGACCTGATTCCAGCTCATTCTGGATTTACAGTTCATCGATTATCCAGCACGCGATCATTTGGCTTCCAACATTATCCAGGGGTCCCAGGCACTGGCGGAGCCACGGGGGGAGGGGGGGGGCACGTGCCAATCGAAATCCCTAATTTCGATAGGATCATTGGGATTTATTAGTAATAAATCGGCATTTGCGACCCCCTTCTGCCACTATGTAGCATATTGTTGTGCCAGGGACTCTATGAGATGATAGGACAATAGTCTGAGTCCATAATTGGCAATAAGTAACGGCAAAGCAGTTATAAGTGACTCACAGAATTGTGCGCAGTTGCGTAAACAGAGTCCACGACTTCCCTGAAGGCATTCACCTTCAGCGAGCGCGATGTCGATCACACAACGCGGTTCGAATTCGACCCTCGATCGATGGCTGTGCCATGGACGCACACGCGTCGAATAAAAAGCAAGGGACAAGTCCTTACTTACTAACAACTCCTTACTTACCAACAACGCCTTACTTCCTAACAACTCCTTACTAACAACTCCTTACTTACTTACAACTCCTTACTTACCAACTCCTTACTCACTAACAACTCCTTACTCACTAACAACTCCTTACTCACTAACAACTCCTTACTTACTTACAACTCCTATCATTTTTCATTGCTGGAGGGGTTCCCCCCCCCCACCTGAAAATCCTGGCTCTGCCATTGGTCCCAGGCTGATCCGGCGAAATCGGCAAAACCGCTCCAAAGGCAGTAACCAGTCTAGCGATCGGCACCGTGTGTGTGACAAAAAAAGGAGCTATGCTTGATTTCAGTATCAAATGCTATATACAGTAGGTTTTCAGTGCATACAACCTAAACAAGGAAAATACTGCACGTATATACAATTTTCATGACTAATAACTACAGCAATAAAAACTGAAAATATACAGTGTGATCCGGCGAAAAGTGCGTGAATTTGGCGTTTGCCAGAGCACCGGTCTAAAGCCTGCATCAGTCCGGTGATCGTCAAACCCATGTTATTGAAACAAGGGTGTAGTAGTACGGACATCACCCCGTGCAGAGTCTTCGAGACTGGAATGATAAGTATGGTACAGTAAATACAGTAACTTTTTACAGTAGGATTTTTTTATTCGTATGTTTGTTTATGCTAATATATCATAAACAAATTTTAAACACTTAAAAAAACATATATCAATAACTAAAACAATGTCATACAAGAATGTGCAAAAATAAACTATTTCGAGGGGAAGCGGCACCCGCTTCCCCTCGAAGCTGCTGGATAATCGATGATCTGTATAAACTCAACTCCAGAGTTCAGACCTTGACAGTGTCCATGGTCTCTCTTCAGCTCCTCGTCATCTGCGCTTCAACATTTTCATGTAATGACATAAGTTGGGGTATTCGTTGCTATTTAGAAAGAAACTCTGTCGTAAATTCCATCTTAATTGTCCAAGACCTCTTCCATGCACTTACGTGGTGCAACTCTTCATCATCATTGAACAAGTGGCGAGGTCTTCCACACCTTTACCTGTGGTCGAGTAGCAAGGATAGCGGGTGCACGTCATCTTACGCCGTCACTCTCCACCACAGTTATTATTGTTGTCGGGCTCGTTTACAAGGGAGAGCAGCCCCACTGAATCTCAATACTCTGTTTTAGAAGGGGGTGATGTTGCTATCTCTCATCCCAATCGAGCCATATGGAGGCGATTTTGCAGCATTCAGACATTTGGCCAATGCCAGTTACTTACTGTTGTTGTTTTTTTCTTTCTCTCTCACAGTTGGTCGACCTGCTTCTCAACAGCTTCTGCAAGGCGGTGACTGGTGTCTGTGCCATGCACCACGACTTCAGGTTAGGGAGTGGCACACCGCCCCAAAACGTGAACTTAATTACCGTGATCTGCTGTGTGTACGATGCTGTATCCTACTCTGTGTACTAAGCTGTACTCTGCTGTGTGTATGATGCTATACCCTGCTGCGTGTATGATGCTGTACCGTGCTCTCTGTACAACACTTACCATACAATGTGTACTTTGCTTTACCGTGCTGTGTGTACTAAGCTGTATTGTATGTACTATGCTGAACCCTGCTATGTGTACGATGCTCTACTGCGATGTGCTATGCTGCACTGTGCTGTGTGTACTATGCTGCACCGTGCTGTGTGTAGTTTGCTAAGTGTGTTGTGCTGTGGGGTGCTGCAGGCTGCCTGACTGGAGTTGCCGGTTCGTGTTGATGCTCGCGGGCCTGAGCTGGCTTCACAAGCCGCTACTCAGCAGAGTGTGGGCCCTCCTCCTCAAACAGGTTCCACCTCGTCATGACTTACATCATCACTAACCTCATCGCTAACCACTTCATGACCCTTATTATCCTGATCATCACAGATCTCAGTATCATCACATACTGGAGGGGGTGTTTTATTGGAGAAGATGTGCTATGGGAGGGTGTGCTATTGGGCATGTGCCATTGATGGGTTGTGCTCTGGATTGATTGCGCTGTTCGAAAGAGTGTGCTGTGGATTGGGTGTACTATATATGCAGTGCGTGTTACTGGGGTGTGTGTGTGCTGTTAGTGGACACGTGAGATTAGGTTTTATACTGTAGATGGAGTGTGCTATTGGAGGGCTGTGCGCTATTAGAGGGTGCGTGCTCTTAGGATGTATGCTACGGGATGGTGTGTGTGTTATCGAAGGCATGTCCTGTGATTTGTGTGTGCTATAGAAGGCTTGTACTATGGATCGTGTGTGCTCAGGGCCAGCAGCTAAGCGATTGCCACATACTGGGCCTGGCCGCTTTGCTGGCGCTCATGCACCGGTACTGCAGCTCCTTCCCGCCCGTGACAGCCCTGCCTGCATCCGCTGCCACCGACCCTGCAGAGCCGCTCCTGCAGGCCGTGCCGTTCACGGAGTGCGTGGGCGCGGCGCTGCCCTGTAGCTCCGCCGTGGAGATGCTCCTCTCGTTGCGGTGAGTGGCATCTGTGCGGCACTGGGTCCAGCTCCTACACGACGAGTCCGCTCCCCATTCCCTCTCCATCCGCGTTTAGTGCAGGAAATGTCCCACGACAATCCAGGAGGAAACCTCAGAGGGCTTCCCAACTCGAATGAGCGAGAGAGAGGAAGAGGTGCTCATCTTACCTATAAAAGTCATTTTTGTCTGTCTCTCTGTTTGTGTGTGACATACTATTGGGTTTACGTTTTAACAGTACACAAATGTAGTGACATTAATGGAGGCACTATGGCAGTTAGCGCCAGCTACTGTCACAAGAGTGAAACTGTAGGTATGGCATGGAAGCGGGCCCTAGGGGGCTTGATTCTGGTGACGGTCAGAGAGAGGGCAAGTAAGAACGTGACAATCTGGATGAACCCGAGAGGGCACGTGACCGGGACAGGGTTGTGAGGGGCCTCAAACGGTGGCTTGCGGGACACGTGGTGCTCAGGCGATAACCTGCTGGTAAAATCTAGAAGGGGGCGTGGCCGAAGGCGGAACAAGGCCACGCTCGGGAGCATAAAAGGGAGGTCTTGAGAGCAATCGTGGCTGTCTTCTGGAATCAACCCGCCGTGCTATGTCTCTTCGGTCTTCGATCGTTGCGCTCGGCTTCGTGGGTCAGGCAGTGCGTTACTGACTGACCCGGTTATGTAGTTACCCGTTGTGGTCTGAGTTACTCATGGTAGTCACCACCTATGTCGTTATCCCGTACGTTTATGCAGTTACCCTGTTGGGGGTGTTAGAATAAACGTGTTGCCTCCCTGTTCAAGTGCCTCCGTAAAACCCACTCCACAAATAAAAGAAAATAAGCCCCCACGAATACTTGCTATTTGTTTTTGCCCTTGGTCTAATCTAAACTTCGAAAATTACACTTTGTACAATGTACGCTGATTGCAATGATAACTTTGAGAACATGCCAAAGCACGTATCTGCGCGTGTGCGGAACACCGACTCGCGGTTGCCCCTAGCAACGCAAACACGGTTGCTTAGCGACTACAACTGGAGGTTCTCTCGCGTTAAAGACTTGGTGGTCATTTTGTTTACAAGAAAAAAAACCTCCAAAACAAAAACAAACACAGAGGGTGAGGGCGTGGAAAACAAACAGTGCATTGGCAGCGGCTTTTTCGACAGCAAACAAACAAGAAGGCACCTCAGCAGCACGGGTTGAAGAAACTCCAGAACAGCGTGCATGGAGACAAGCCAGATACTGCACAGCCACTGCAGCAGAAGCACAGGCTGAGGAAACCACAAAGGGGCCTGATATCCCCCCCCACCCCAATGTGTGCAGTTACTGCTATAGAGTCAGTAGATGATAGAGTCATTTGATACTACAATAGTCATGTAGGTTGTGTAGGTATATATAGAGTCACTACATACAACTGACTATTGCATGTTTGGCGTGTAGGTATATATAGAGTCACTATATTCTACTGACTCTATTGTATGTAGGGTGTGTATGTGTATATGCCGACAAAATAAAATAAAAATTGGGTGGTGGGGGGTAAAAACATTTTTGTCGGGGGGGGGGACTTCTGTAAGGCTCTTATTATTTTATTGACAGACAAATGGACAGACAAACGGAACACCGGGCTTTTATAATTGCTTAGTATATGTAATGTTTTTTTAAGCGAGTACAAGTTTTGAAATATATGTGTTTTTCCCCCGTATAAAGCCAGGTACTTCCTGGTAGTTATTTATAATTTAAAGCTTCTTTATTTTTTTTTATTGCAATAAAGCACTAGCCGGATATAACATGCCGAAAAAATTTCTAGTAACGGGCTTACAGAAAATCGGCGGTAATCCGTTCCGGCGTGACGGTAACCGCACGAAAGAGGGAGGGGAAGAGGGGGATTGGGGCCGCCCTCTGCTGCTGCTGCCCCAGCCAAGTTTGGACCTCGCGTTAGGGGAAGACGAAGATTTAAATGTGAGGGATAAGCCTAATCTAATATTTAGCCTTTAGCCACTTACAGCCAATCTACGATTGGGTGTTAAAAGTGCCAACGAACCTTAGCCGTCATGTCCAAGTCGGCGATGAAACGTCAAAACCCACCTGTCGGCGTCGTCTCACGACGACGCCGACCAGGATACTATGCCGGAGCTCCGAGCGCCCGCTCCGATGACGTGCTGCAATTGGCTCAGGAGTGTATGGCGAGTCCAGCACAGCCACCTCCTCCGCAGAGCTGGCTGGACATCGCCGGTCACCTGGGGAGGCTGCAGTCGGCCGCCGCTCATCTGTTTGAACGGATGACTGCTGCGACTTCCACTGGACGCGAAGACGCGCTTCCCGCCGCTGTTATGACCGAGGCGACTGGAGCACTGGACCTTGCCGCCATTTCTCGGGCTGCAGCCGTGCTCCGCTCATCCGCCATTTCTGACGATTGACCCGCGCCGCAGCAGCAGCCGCCGGCTACCAAGGTGGAAGTCGTTCCCAAGTTCCGACGGCTGCCACCGGTGCGTCTGTTCACTGGTGCAGGAGGAGATTGGACGGCTTTTCATCGTCGATTCGAGGCCGCCTACATCTCGGTGGGATGGACATCCCAGGAGGCGCTTCAAGCTTTTCCCACGGACCTCGACGACGACTCGTTAGCCGCTTTTTTCACCATCCCCAAGTCAGATCGAGCGACCCTCGCACGCACCTACACCGAGATGGCTGCTATTTTTTATCCCCCGTCTAATGTTCGGAGAAGATTCAGACTGCGGCGACGTGGTGAGAGCGAGACGCCGCTCGCCTATCGCAGTGCTCTCCTCGCCTTGGGGCACGCGGCTTTCCCTCGCATGGACAGAGTCGCCTTGGATTCCCTCGCCTTGGAACGGCTTCTCTCCTTGGCTCGGGAGTTGGGGGTCACCCTCGCGGTGGCAGAGGAAGACGATCTGACTTCTCTGAAGGTGGCCCGCGGCATCCAAGTGCACCTCAACTTTAAAGACTGGCCGGCGGTGGCGGCCAGTGCAACGGAGCCGGCCGTGGACGAGCAGGCGTGTGCCTCCTTCGCCCGGGGAACGGAGGGAAGGAGCGCTGGCCTGCGCCTATCAGCACAGGAATGGTGCCCCAGGCTGAGCCAGCCGCCTGGGCGTCCTTGCCGTACCTGCTACAGGTGCGGCTGGACGGGCCACATTGCCGTCGACTGCCGCCGCGGGACCGGAGGGTTCCCGCGCAACCACCCTCCGGCTTCAACACCTCTTCCTCCCGCAATCCACAGGCAAGTCCGGACCCACTTCATTAGGTCCAGCCAGCGCTTCCCATTGTGAAGATCCACGGAACCTGTCGCATTTCCGGAAATTTGGGAGAGCCAGGCCTCCCTCGCCTACCGGTAAGATAAGGGAGGATTAATCAAGTGCATGTGAGTTTGCGATTCTAAATAAAGGAGGAGATTCGGGAATGCAGTGTTTTGAGAGAAAAAAAAGGCCATCGGGATTCGTGAGGGGATCAAACCTCAGGAAGTACAGAATTTTGGGGAGGATCATAATTTTTTATAAAATGTGCCATATTGTGAAGGGAGAGGAGTGGGGGAGATCGATGAGAAGTGTGAAGATAATGAGGAGGGAACTGTGACCCCGAGGTAGCTTCTGAAACAGGGCCCTACATTAATAAAAAAAAATCTAAATATTTTTTTTCTGGTAAATTGTTCAGGGTCTTAAGGGAGAGAGTAGGGGGGGGGGGTGTGATCGCCCCTATCGCCCCTATCGCCCCCTAATTCAGGATAGCACATTGTGTGATACAGCTCCCACTGGCACGTGGAGCCAGTGGGAGCTGTTAACTCTACCAGCTTCCCACTTGTCCTTTATTATTTTGTGTGTTTTGGAGTGTTGCGTCAAACTCGGATTGTATGTAACGGAGAGGAATCCTTGCCTATAAACATCTGGCAGTTTACCAGCATTAGTTAGAGTTAGGAAGTCTGACTCTGCTGATGAGACACTTTTTAAACACCAGTCCAGAGTTTGTGTTGAATTAATGCTGCTGAAATGGTGGCTGATATGAAAGAACAGATGTAGTAAAGTGACGTTTTGTTACTTACATTCTCCACAGATATGATGCTCATGATTATTTTGTCATAAGTACTTACGAGAGGTAGTTCCAGTAAACAACTGTGATGTAAGGCCAGGGTGGAAAATCCTTTCCTTTCTGAGGGTCAAATGGGAATTTCAAATACCTGTTTTCTGGGCCGCAGAATTGCTCACAGCTTGGCATTGTTCAGTAATAATTCAAACAGTTAGGACTCACACTGCATTCAAATAAAAATGCATAGGGAGGTCAAGGATATTTCTCTCTAGTATCAGAATGATACAGCTAAGATGTTCGCAGTGATGGATTGTTTTCAGGTCGTTTTAAATTTGTTTGGGGCTTGAGGCTGCAGGCCGTGTGAAATATAGCCACAAGCCAAATGAGGGAAGTCGCGGTCTGAGTGAGTGAATTCACGGCCAAATGAGGACCGAAGTCATGGGCCGTATGAGTGAAATAATGGGCTGTGTGAGTGTGCGTATGTATGTATGTATGTTGAACTTCTTTCGCACCGTATGTAGCCAACCGTGCTAATCGGAGGTGTTGGGAAGGACAACAATGTGAAGTCGCGGGCCGTGCGAGTGATGTCGTGGGCCGTGCGAGTGACGTCGCGGACCGTGCGAGTGACGTCGCGGGCCCTGTCTGGCATGTAGGCTCCATGTTTTCCACCCTTGCTATAAAGCGGCAAGGTTATCACGCTGGGCTGGTCTCTGATAATTGGAGCCTCTGTGCTGCGTGTATGGCGGACGATGATATTGAGCCTGTAGAGGCCGTGACTCTGCGATTGATGCTTCTCTGGGCAGGCTGTGCACGGCACTGCTCTCCTTCTCTCTTTCCGGTGCCGGCGCTGAGGACACCACGCTGAGCAAGAACTTCACTAAGAAGGTACGACGAGGCTGTGGCGGAGTCTCTGTGGCTGTGAAGACTGTGCGGTTATGATCCCTCTATGGCTGTGATGCCTGTGTGGCTGTGATGTCTGTGGTTGTAATGCCTGTGTGTTTGTGATGCGTCTTTGTCTCAGTTCCTCTTTCTTGCCGACCGAGTGAGTTTTCCTCGGAAAAAGGGGACATCAGCGGATGGATCTCCCTCCCTGCATCTTGATCCCTTTTTACCACAGGTAAATTGAAACCCTCCTGTTCTGAGTGCTGCATGTGTGTATGTATGAATCTGTTTATTTGTTTACACACACGCACACAAGGAGCTACCACGAATGAGTTTATTGTTGAAGACAGAGGTCATGATTCAACTTTCGTGAGGAAAGCACGCGTCAAAGCCAGCTGTCGTGACCAACACCAGTGACGTTTATTTGAATGGGTCCTGGGCTTGCCCTCGGTCGACTCAGCTTCAAATGATAACCTGGTGCAGTGTGTAAACATTTTCAATGGGGAGACAAAGGTGGTTGGGCGTGGTGCTGGCCACCCACGCGCACATACACACACAAAAGGTTTGTGTGTGTGGTCAGTGCTCCATCTCACACACACACATCTCATCGTTATCATTCGTTGTTGTTTGTGATGGATTGCCCTTCACGCTGGGGCCTCTCGGAGAGCGCTTCGCACGTGATCAGTGACTTCGTGGCCTACACGTTGAGAATGACATAACGGGATCTCTAACGCGCAATGTGTCCGCAGCTGGCCAAGCTGCCGCACATTTCCGGTGTGGAGGCTGCGTGCAGCGTGCTGGCCTCATCATCGTCGCTGCAGCGCTCGCTCGAGCAGCACGGCCCTAGGGTGAGAGACTCCTCACTCTCCACTCTCCATTCCTCACTCTCCACTCCTCACTCTCCACTCACCACTCCTCACTCTCCACTCCTCACTCTCCACTCTCCACTTCTCACTCTCCACTCCTCACTCTCCACTCTTCACTCTCCACTCCTCACTCTCCACTCTCCACTCACCACTCCTCACTCTCCACTCCTCACTCTTCACTCTTCACTCTCCACTCCTCACTCTCCACTCTCCACTTCTCACTCTCCACTCCTCACTCTCCACTCTCCACTCACCACTCCTCACTCTCCACTCCTCACTCTTCACTCTTCACTCTCCACTCCTCACTCTCCACTCACCACTTCTCAATCTCCACTCTCAACTCCTCACTCTCCACTCCTCACTCTCCACTCACCACTCCTCACTCTCAGCTCCTCACTCTCCACTCCTCACTCTCCACTCACCACTCCTCACTCTCCACTCCTCACTCTCCACTCTCCACTCTCCACTCCTCACTCTCCACTCCTCACTCACCACTCCTCACTCTCCAGTCACCACTCCTCACTCACCACTCCTCACTCCTCACTCTCCACTTCTCACTCTCCACTCCTCACTCACCACTCACCACTCTCCACTCACCACTCCTCACTCTCCACTCCTCACTCTCCACTCTCCACTCTCCACTCCTCACTCTCCACTCACCACTCCTCACTCTCCACTCCTCACTCTCCACTCACCACTTCTCAATCTCCACTCTCCACTCCTCACTCTCCACTCCTCACTCTCCACTCTCCACTCACCACTCCTCACTCTCAGCTCCTCACTCTCCACTCCTCACTCTCCACTCACCACTCCTCACTCTCCACTCCTCACTCTCCACTCTCCACTCTCCACTCTCCACTCCTCACTCTCCACTCCTCACTCACCACTCCTCACTCTCCAGTCACCACTCCTCACTCACCACTCCTCACTCTCCACTTCTCACTCTCCACTCCTCACTCACCACTCTCCACTCACCACTCCTCACTCAGCACTCCTCACTCTCCACTCCTCACTCTCCACTCTCCACTCTCCACTCCTCACTCTCCACTCACCACTCCTCACTCTCCACTCCTCACTCTCCACTCCTCACTCACCACTCCTCACTCTCCACTCCTCACTCTCCACTCTTCACTCCTCACTCTCCACTCCTCACTCTCCACTCTCCACTCACTCTCCACTCCTCACTCACCACTCTCCACTCCTCACTCACCACTCTCCACTCCTCACTCACCACTCCTCACTCTCCACTTCTCACTCACCACTCCTCACTCTCCATTCCTCACTCTCCAGTCACCACTCCTCACTCACCACTCCTCACTCCTCAATCTCCACTTCTCACTCTCCACTCCTCACTCACCACTCACCACTCTCCACTCACCACTCTCCACTCACCACTCCTCACTCTCCACTCCTCACTCTCCACTCCTCACTCTCCACTCTCCACTCACCACTCCTCACTCTCCACTCCTCACTCACCACTCCTCACTCTCCACTCCTCACTCTCCACTCTCCACTCCTCACTCTTCACTCCTCACTCCTCACCCTCCACTCCTCATTCTCCACTCTCCACTCACCACTCTCCACTCACCACTCCTCATTCTCCACTCCTCACTCTCCACTCCTCACTCCCCACTTTCCACTCTCCACTCCTCACTCTCCACTCCTCACCTTCCACTCCTCACTCTCCACTCTCCACTCACCACTCTCCACTCCTCATTCTCCACTCCTCACTCTCTACTCCTCACTCTCCACTCCCCACTCTCCACTCCTCACCACACCTCACCACACCTCATCCACGATACAATACAGGTACAAATGTACTTAATAGATTTTTTAAGATCATCCGGGCAGTCCTCGACTCCTGAGACCTGTAAGCCCAACGGTTTGTAAGTCAGAACACAATAATGCACTATATTTAAATGCACACACGGTCATTTTTTATAAAATAAAATAAAAAATATGGCTAAACAACTAAGGGAAGCAGTGTTAAACTCATAAATACGAACAAATATTGTTTATTTGCATGTAATACTGTGATAAATACTCATCTTAAATAAAACATACAATAAAGTAACACAAAAAGATGCTGGCTTGCTTGTCAGAAGGGGCGCAATGAGTCCCCACAATTGCACACACGCACAGACATACGCCAACAACAATGATCCTCCATGTAGCCTTCAGTCTGTTGGGGCAAGTGCTTGTGAGTGAGCAGCGCCTGTGAAGGCCAGCACTGTGGCACATGAGGGGGTGGGTGGCCAGCACCATCCCAGGCCACCTTTGACTCCCCAGCGGTGATGTTTACACACCGCAGCAGGTACTCGTATAAGGCTGAGTCAACCTAGGGGAGGCCCAGAACCGGTTCACATAATCGTCACTGGTGTTGACTGTAAGCAGGAATCAAACTCGAGTTGCCGGGTTCGTAGCGCAGCATGCTAACCGCTGCACTACCGCTCTCCTTTCACAACAACAACAACAACAACCGCCATTCGTCACTAAGTGGCGGTGACGTCACCACGACGCTTGTGCCAGGCTATGTGCACCTTGAGGCCACGTGAAGTGTCGAACGCCCGCTGGCAGGAGGTCACGGGGCAGACCCAGGTGCCACGGGTCGACTGACTGAGACGACTGGCTGATGCACCACCTGTGCCCCCTACTGTGCCAACTTGCTGTGCTTTAGCCACCCGGCGCTCCACTTGTTGTTGTGAGCGTCGCTCCTCCGCCCTCCGTTGTTGTTGGAGGGCGACTGCCTCCAACTGCCCAGTAGCGTCCTTCACGAGCCTCCTCCACAGAGGCCGATCTTGACACCGCTGATACCAGTCATTGGCAAGTCCACTCAGCTCCACATCCTCCTGTACCACATCACTCTATCTCTTCTCTAGCCTGTGCCACGCCCGTTTAGCTCCGTCGATCTGGCAAAACAAAAGCTGTTTTGGCATGCCGGGGCTGGGCATGCGGGCTTCATGGCCCAGCCAATGCAGCCTTGCCTGCTGGAGGAGCTCAACGATGGGACTTTGTCCAGATCTTTCAAGGATTTGTGAGCTCCTCAAGCAATCCAGCCTGGTTAAACCCAGGATGGATCGCAGGCAGGCTAGCCTAAATGTTTCTAACCGGCGAAAATGTTCCATTAGAGGGGTTCACGTTTCGCAAGCGTAGAGAAGGGAGCGTATGACTGTGGCCGAGAAGACCTGAAGCTTCGTGCGGAGCGACAGACCAGGTAGCTTCCACACAGCATTACGCAACCGATGAAAAGATAATGCCGCTCGACTGATTCCGAGTAAAACCTCTGCTGTTAAACCGGAGCCGGTCATGAGCACACTGCCAAGGTATGGGAAACTCTCCACTCTCTCCACAACTGCCCCATCACCAATTGGGAGTTGTGGGGGTGGAGTGTCCAATGGGACAAAATACCCAGAACAGGTGCTTAGTGGCAAGCTCCAGGTTCAGCAGCACCACCTCCAACTCCTCCTCTGAGTGAGCAGCAATTACCAGATCATCGGCATACGTAACATTGTTGAGCAATAGGGAGCCATCCCTTGACCGCACCCGGGTATCGATTAGCCTCCCATTGTATCTGTACCAGATGGAAATTCCTCCAGTACAGCTATTGAAGGCTTCACGAACTACGTGGTCGAAATAGATGTTAAATAATGTGGGAGCCAGAGGACATCCCTGTCGCACCCCAAGGTAAACAGGGAATGGCTCCGACTCGCGACCACGTAGTTTTACCCGGGCCCGCTCACCATCATATGACGGTCCTTAATGATCGTGAGCAGAGGGTCAGGGACTCCGAAAGCACGAAGAACAACCCAGAGCCCAGGCCTACTGATGGTATCATAGGCCTTGACGGTAAATAAAGCAGAGATGTAGGTCTTGTTGGAATTCCCTACACCTCTGCTGTAGCAGACGGACAGAAAATATGGCATCTGTGCAGGACCGCCCTTTCCTGAAACCGCATTGGGGCTCCGCAAGCCTCCCCTCAGCATGCCTAGCAAGGCGATGTTGAATAATCCTTGCCTGGACCTTTCCCGGCACATTGAGGAGTGAGATGCCCCTGTAGTTGTTACAGTCTGTGCGGTCCCCCTTCTTAAAGAGGGGGATCACCAGGGCATCCTTCCAATCCTGCGGAACCCGTCCAGTGGTCCAGACTGTTGTTATGATGTCATGTAGGGAAGTCTGTGCACAAACGCCACCCTCCCTCAGCATTTCACTTGGGAGATCATCTCTGCCCGGTGCCTTTCCTGGTCTCAGACTCTGGATCGCCTTCAGTACTTCCTCAACAGATGGCACCTCAGCCAGCCCTTCACAGGGGGTGACTTCTTCCAATATTTGAGGCACCGCAGCCTCGGCAGGGTCATCCCCACTTTTTCCCACGTTGTTATCCAGGATGAGGGATGTCCCCTCCCCCAGGGCCTCACAGAAATGCTCAGCAAATCTGCAAACGTGTTCCTGGGGGTCAGAGATTGGATCACCGTTTCCCCTAATGATGGTAATAGGTGTGGCACTGCACGTTACTTTTTTTAATGGGTTTTTAAGAGTGATTTGTGATCGCGGGCCATTGAGGCAGACTCCATCTCCTCAGCAACCCGCGACCACCACCCATCCTTGCAGCGCCTCACGGCTCTCCGAACCTCCCGAGTGAAGGCTGAGGTAAGCCTCCTCATTCTCCGACACCCAACAAGATGACTATCCCGAGGGGCCACTTTAGCTAGCACCTGTGACAGGAGGTCATAGAAAGCATCTGACTCATCGTCCTTGCCTGCATCCCTCCACGGATGTTCGTCTTCAGTGGGGGTATAAGTAACCACGACCACCACTCCTCGCCTCTGGTTGATGAGAAGGTGAGCCCAAAGTAGCCTGGCGCTTACAGCTTCCCACACCTGACCGCTACGCTCCCACGCCCCCTTCATTCTTTTGTTCAGAAGAAGAGCCACTCCCTGTTGTTTGGCAGTCTCCTGCCCCGAGAAGAGAACTGTTCACCCCTCATGGTGGCAAGAGCCAGAGCCTGTCCACCGGACCTCCTGAATACCACAGAGATCCAGGCGGTACCGGTCCAGCTCCCGACAGAGGAGTGGCAGCCTCTCCTCCGCAGTGAGCGTTCGAACATTCCACGTGGCAACACGTAGTGATTTTTTTGTTGTTTCTGGAGGAGCCCCGAGGGTAGAGATTCAATCTCCTGGCTCCGCCAATTGGGGTTTGGCCTGGAGACGTCATAGACGCCTGTCCCCCCGGGGTCTCCGGCGCAAGTCTATTAATTAAAAATTTTCGTCATGGTTTATCGGTAATTAATTGAAGGTGGAGGAGTCACCAGCCCCTCGCACCCGTCCAGAGGCCCCTTTTGGCTGCTGTGGTGGTCACAAACGCCATGAGGGAAAAGGCCAATCAGAATTGGCCCTCCCCCCACAGCACTGCCCACGACAGCGTTGCCCATCCGGCACCACGAGGAGGTAGGAGGTTGTTTTGCCGGACTCCCTTTTCACACATACACGTGCGTGCGCGACTTACAAACACCCCACTTACGAACATCCACACTTATGAACGAGCTTGCATGAAAAATATATTTTTTTCAAACACGAACTCGCACTTTCAAACTGAACCGCGGATAAATCCTCAGCCTCGTGTTTCTGTGTGTGCGCACACACGTGTGTGTGTGTGTGTGGGCGGTCCTGCACAGATGCCATATTGTCTGTCCATCTGCTATTCCAACAGGACCTACATTTCAGCATTATTTACCGTCAAGGCCAATGATACTATCAACAAGCCTGGGCTCTGGGTTGTTCTTCGTGCTTTCAGAGTCCCTGATTCTCTGCTCACAATCATTAAGAACCTTCATGATGGTGTGCAGGTCCCGATAATGCTATGTGGCTGGAAGACCAGAGCCATTCCCTGTTCACCTTGGGGTGCAACAGGGACAATCTCTGGTGCGTATATTATTTAACACCTTTTTTGACCACGTAGTTCGTGAAGCTTTCCTATTGTATCTGGTACAGATACAACAGGAGGCCGATCGATGCCTGGGTGCGGTCGAGGGATGGCTCCCTATTGGAGGCGCTGCTGCTTGACCTGGAGAGAGTGCTACTCAAGAGGTGGGGCTTTACCATCAGCCCCTCCAAAACTGAGCAAACACCCCACCCCCTCAGCTTCCCATTGGCACGGCAGTTGTGGAGAGAGTCGAGGGGTTTCCGTACCTGGGCAGTGTGCTTATGACCAGCTCCGGTTTGACAGCGGAGGCCTCACTCCATATCAGTCAAGCGGCATTATGTTTTCATCAGCTGCGTAACGCTGTGTGGAAGCTACCTGGTCTATCACTCCAAACAAAGCTCCGGGCTTTCTTGACCACAGTTATACCCTCCCTTCTTTTTGCTTGTGAAAGTTGGACTCCCTGAATGAAACATCTTCGCCGATTAGAAACATTCAGGCTGGCCTGTCTGTGATCCATCCTCGGTTTAAGCAGACTGGATTGTGTAAGGAGCTCACAATTCCTTTAACGATCTGGACAAAATCCCATCGGTGAGCTCCATGCCCAAATAGCTTTTGTTCGTCCGGATGGAGAGGGCTAAACGGGTGTGGCACGGGCTACAGAAGTGATGGAATGATGTGGTACGAGAGGATGTGGAGTTGAGTGGACTGGTACCAGCGGTTTTAAGATCGGCCTCTGTGGAGGAGGCTCATGAAGGACGCTGCTACTGGGCAGTTGGAGGCAGTCGCTCTCCAGCAACAACGGAGGGCTGAGGAGTGATGCTCACAACAACGAGGGGAGCGCCGAGTGATTAAAACACAGCAAGTTGACACAGTAGGGGGCATATATGATTCATCGGCCAGTCATCTCAGTCAGTGAATTTATGGCACCTGGGTGTGTGTGTGTGCGTGCATGCTTGTGTGGGAAGCGGTGGTGTGAGGGTTAGCGCGCGCTGCACTACCAACCCGGCCACCCGAGTTCGATTCCCGCTGGGTCCTGGGCCTCCCCTTGGTCGACTTAAACTCAAATGAGTACCTGATGCGGTGTGTACACATTGCCACTGGGGAGTCAAAGGCAGCCAGGCGTGGTGCTGGCCACCCACCCCCTCGTGTGCCGTGCCGGCCTTCATAGGCGCTGCTCGCGAAAGCGCTTGCCTCAACAGTTTGTGAAGGCTACACGGGGGATCTTTGTTTTTGGTGTGTGTGTAATTGTGGGAACTCATTGCGCCCCTTCTGACAAGCAAGCCAGCATCTTTTTGTTAATTTATTGTATGTCTATTTAAGAGGCAGTATTTATTACAGTATTACATGCAAATGGACAATGTTTATTCTTAGGAGTTTAACACAGCGTCCATTTGTTGTTGAACAGTAACACATTTTACGTGCATTTAAATAAGTACATCATTGTGTTCCGACTCATGAACCGTTAGACTTACCAACGGAGCTCAGGAACGGAACCCGTTTGTAAGTCGAGGACTGCACATAATTACTTTATTTTCATCTTTGTAAAATATTTAAAATAGTGTACAGTCATACCTCGGTATACAACCGCTTTGGAATACGTCGAATTTGGTATATGTCGTGTTTTGACGAGAAAAAAATGTCTTGGGATACGACGTCTTGATTTAACCTTTGTATGGGTCGGGATGAGTCACCGCGTCCCCGCGTAGACCCGGTTCACGACTGAAACAAAGCGCGGCTCCTCAGTCTGCCTGTACAGTAGATCTCCTTCAGTGCACAACCCTTGCTCTAACTCTGTGAATTTTCACGTGTTTCAACTCTTCTCAGCAAGGTAAAGTGATGTTAAATTAAATTTTTATTTTAATTTATTTATGCATTTATTTTAATGTATGTATGCATTTTGGTAATAATAAGTAGTGTCTACATTATGTTATACAACCCCATTAATGTATAATATGCCATATAAAATATAATTTCTTATACTCTGGAACGGATTATTTATTTTCCCATTATTCTTTATGGGAAAAATTCGTTTGGTATTCGTCATTGTCGGTATAAGTTCTCCTACCTTCTGGAACGAATTAACGACGTATACCGAGGTACCACTGTATATTTATAGATTTGTAATACTTGCTGCTGTGTTGGTCTGCTGACCGAGTCACCCTTGAAAAAAGAGCTGGGGATAACTCTATGGGCTACTTGCTTGGCTAATAAACTTCTGATTCTGATGATATCTCAGTCACCATTCGGCACCCCCAAACATTGGCACAGTGGGTTACTTTGAGGCATGGTGGGGTTTGCGAAGGAATTGGGGGTACACTGAGGGATAAACTCCATCTTCGAGTGGGGCATATGAGATGCAGAAGGTTCGAGAGGGCATGGGGACTCACCGGGCGGTTGGGGGGGAGGGCTCGGGGGTGCCCAGGGAAGAGCGCTAGGCCGACGCGCCACTCCTCTTCTGTTCACAGCTCGGCTTCAGCGAGTGGCTGCAGATGGAACTGCGAGTTGATTCGGAGCGTGATTTTCTCACTCACACAGAGCGGTGAGTACTCCCTTGTCTCCCTGCGCGCCCGCAGCACTTGGTTCTTGACGTACCCCCCGGTGTCGAAGTCTCTGTGTGTCCATGCACCCTCGTGTAACTTCCATGATGCGCTGTGCACTCCACGTGTTCTGTCTCTCCTTGACTCTCCATAGTCTACTAGTGCACCCGTGGCCGTGCCCTTTAGCACCCCTTTACCCCCATGTGGCCTTGCTATCTTTTTGCCCTTAATATCCTGTGTAGCCCGTGTGCTCCCGTGTACTCATCGTATACCACGTGTTATCACTGTGTACCCTGTATGCACACCCCACGTACCACGTGTTCTCACTGTGTACCCTGTATGCACACCCCACGTACCACGTGTTCTCACTGTGTACCCTGTATGCACACCCCACGTACCACGTGTTCTCACGGTGTACCCGGTATGCATACCCCATGTACCACGTGTTATCACTGTGTACCCTGTATGCACACCCCATGTACCACGTGTTATCACTGTGTACCCTGTATGCACACCCCACGTACCACGTGTTATCACTGTGTACCCTGTATGCACACCCCACGTACCACGTGTTATCACTGTGTACCCGGTATGCACACCCCACGTACCACGTGTTATCACTGTGTACCCTGTATGCACACCCCACGTCCCACGTGTTCTCACAGTGTACCCGGTATGCATACCCCATGTACCACGTGTTCTCACGGTGTACTCTGTATGCACACCCCACGTACCACGTGTTCTCACGGTGTACCCTGTATGCACACCCCACGTACCACGTGTTCTCACAGTGTACGCTGTATGCACACCCCATGTACCACGTGTTCTCACGGTGTACGCTGTATGCACACCCCACGTGCCACGTGTTCTCACAGTGTACCCCGCGTGCATCCTCGAGGCCATAAAAGTTGGCCAGGACGGGCTCTGGGGCGAGGAGAAATTAAAAGTGTCGGGTACGGACGATAGACTCGCTAGTGTCCGAGTGGGGGGTTGGGGGTACGCGAGCCCTGCAAAAGAGGAAGCCTTGGAGCTTGAGAAAGCCCGGGTAGAGAGCAACCTCAGGGCGGTGGGAATGAGAGAGAGGTGCTAATGAGAGGCTTGAGTGAGTTGGGGGCTAAACGTGGCTCAGAGCCTTCTCGTGTTTTATGCTTTAGGGGGTGCTCAAGCTGGAATGGTCCTCGCCATCAGGACCCCCCGTAGAGCGCCCCGGGCCCCCACACCAATTATACATCTAAAGGGGGGTAGGGGGGATGGGGGGGAGAAAGCCACTGTTAAAAAGGGGCCCTTTGGTGGACGGGGATGGTTCGAATGAGGCACCCTCTCAACCAAAAACGGTCGAAAAATATTAAAGTCGATGATCGATTATCCGATGGCTTTTGGGGGGGGGGAGGGGGCTCCAGATTTTTTAAAACGCCAGATAATTACTACATCATTATTTAAAATAGCTTATTTTTGAATATTCTTGCATAGGTGTTGTGCGTATTTTTTTTTGCATTTAAAATGTGTTTACTCTGTGAAATTGGTATAAATAAACATACATATAGACAAAAAATATCCCGTAAAAAGTTTCTGTATTCACTGTACCGTACTTACTACTCCAATCTCGAAGACTCTGCAGTGGGTAATGTTCGTAATACTACTACGCTGTTGTTGTAACAACTTGTGTTTTGAGCAATTTTGCTGGTTTAATCAGATTGGCCTGGCACTGCCGGATATTTGCGTGTCAGATAATCGATGATCAACTGTTTATTTCCACTGTCAACGTGAAACTGTAGAGAAAATAGTTTCCGGCAGGCTTGTAGGTTGTGGGTGGTAGTTAAAGTGGTAAAAACACAATGGCGTTCAATAAAGCTTAGAGGGAAAAACAAACAAAATCTGGGGTGGTCGAGATAAGGTTACACAACCTCTCAGATGACCAGAGTGTAAGGTGAGGTCTTAATGCCACTCACCCTGAGTGGTTGCCAGGGACCGGTTGGCAGATCATGTCGCATGAAGCCCTCAGTCGCAGATGGACCAGGCCACGTAAAAAGGGATGTAAAAACTGTTCGTTTGGTGGCCGCCACTTCACTCTGTGGCCTCTTCAGGGAAACTGACCCAAAAGGCTATACTGAAATATTAAAAGCAAAGCCAATAGTACGGCTCTGAGAAAGGCTCTCGAAGCGCTTCACCTGGCCGCGGTTTATCTTTGTCCTACACTGTCACCCACCGGTCCAAATGTTATTCTTAACATTTGGAAATTCCCCTCGGGCTGCAGTACGCACTTGCAGACAAGACTGTCGAAAGTGGGTACTCAGTGCCACCCCGGCCATCGTCACCCTTCCCCCACCCCCTACCCGTACCAGCCACTCATGGCGGCGTCGTTGCTGTCCAAGCCGGCCGTGGCAGCGGCTCTGTGGACGGAGCCTTGACCTCACTTGGGGGTGCGTTTTCATGGCACACGAATCTGCGAACGAGACCCAAGCTTGCCACACACCAGCTGACGACGGCGGTAGAAGATTGGTGGCGGGGGTGATTGTCGGTGGCCCTGACCAGCTGTCCGAGAATGAGAATCTCATTGCAGGGGGATGGCACCTGCTTTGGGGGGAAAAGGTGGACGAGAGCTTGGATATTCTTTGGATCTTTCGGTAAAGTCACGTAGACAGGTACAAATTAATAAAAATAATAAATATTAAGTAAACAAAAAAACTTACGACGTTTCAATCACAACACAAGCGATTGTCATCAGGAGGAAAGAGGGGGAAAGCTGCTGAATGCAAACTGTTTTATAGGTACAGGGTGTAGTGCTAGGGTCATAAACGAAGTGGGTGGGGCTAGTGATGTTAATGTGAGAGATTAGCATGTAGTGTAAAATCGCAGAGCCACCGCGACGTAGAGGTCTGCGTCCGGAGGTGGCCACGGCGCGAGAAATTCAGCATGTTAATGTGAAGCCGGAGAGCCAAAGAGCCGAAGCCACGGGGAAAAATTAAAGAAGGTGGCAGGATGGGAACATCACAGCCAGTTATGCCTTAAACTGGTTGACGTCTTTCCAATGATTGCTGAGTTTGTACCCATCGTCTCGGTTGAAATTGTGTCAGTATATATGGATGGCTTCATGAACGAATCTTTGTTGATAGCCAGTGGGCTTACAAAGTACGTTCGTCATAGAGAAATCTATTTCGTGTTAGCCAACCTCATTAAGACAGTGATCAGCCACGACCAATGTGTTGGTCCTACCATGTTTCAAATCTGCCTTATGCTCACGAACACGGTCCGAGACATGTCGCTTAGTTTCCCCAATGTAAGTACTGCCGCAGACACAGCTTAGTTTGTGGCTGCCAGGGTATTGCATATCAGGCATCCTATCCTTCAGAGATGGGATCAGATCACGAATGTTATGGTGTTAAATCGAGCCTGGATCTTGTGCTTGCTCAAGATTTTGGAAATCTTTTTGGTGACCCCTGATATGTATGACAAGGTGACGGTTTTGATTGGGTCATCAGATGGTTCTTTCCCAATGGTTAGGGTGGTCGCTTTACGGATTGTGTAGTCTGAATATTCATTCATCTTCAGAGCTTGGTGCACGTGTTTCAATTCACTGGCTCGGTGATGATGGTCGGAGATGCATCGAGCTCTATGGTGTAGAGTTTTGAGTGAATTCTTCTGGGATGGATGGTCGTGGGAGTCAGGTTTTAGGTAGGCATCCATATGAGCAAATCACCTGGAGCTCACAGAACTGGAAAAACCACAGCTGTCCTAGTCGGGACCGTTCCTCACCACGGATCTGCCGGCAAGGCATAATAAAGCTGTTCCACTTCCAGAGTCTCTGAAGAAGCAGATTCACGGACCATGCTCAGCCTCAAGCCTGTTAAGCACTGGACGAGGTACACACTAAAACTTTCGTGCCGGTACCACGTATGGATGCCACCGTGTTGGTGAAGGTGCTCCCAGGGTCACTGATTTGCAGGACGAAACCAGGAAACCTCCAAGCCTCCTGCCGGACACCACGGGCAAGACATTGATTCAATAATAATTTGAGAACGGTTATTTCCCCGCAGTGTCTGCCACACGTGCATCGCCACGTGCAGGGGTGTTCACAACCGAGTTCATCCCCAAGTCTTTGGGGGTGACTCTCAAGGCCAACGAGGAAGAAGAAGAACCGGGAATTTCGCCATGCCTACCTCGAACATCTGAGACGTGGCCATCTCGACCTGCTCGCTTCCGCCGTAGTGGGCTGAAGGGACGCAATCTTCCAGATGCGGACAAAGATGATCGCCGACTCAAGGGGGCGCTTTTGTGCACTTCCACTGGTCAAAAGGGAGATCTCCTTTCAACAAAGACTTGCCGGAATGATGTCTCAAAAGGAAGTGGACGATGCCAGTCCTGGTACTACAAAGGGAAGGCTGCTTCCAAACCGGCCTGTGAGGTCACCACTTCACCCGGTGGGGGGGGGGGGGCAACACTAAGGACAACGCCCAAATCACCACAGAGCATTGATTAGATAATTCGTGAAAGGGGTCATGATTGCTAAATGTGAAGAATGACGTTGGATCAGTGGCCGGCGGTATAGAAAGTTGATTTTAAAAAATGAGGTGAGTAATGCGTGTGAGTACTCTCCATGTCCTTATCCTCGTCTTCAGTGTTTTTAACTCGTTTAAGTTGGGGAGTCTGCACTGCTTGTGTTTTCGATTTAAAGCTTTCGTGACTGCAAGGATTCATCTTCTTTGGTTCTTTCGGTAAAGTGACGTAGAATGAGAATAAAATAATAAATTAATAAAATATAAAACATTGAAATAGCTGAGTGATTAGCTTGTGACTGGTCATATAAATAGCTATTTCTATGACCAGTCACAAGCTAATCACTCATCTATTTCAATGCTAAATTCTCCTGTTTTATATTTTATTAATTTATTATTTTATTCTCATTCTATGTGACTTTACCGAAAGAACCAAAGAAGATGCTTGTGTTTTGTTTATTGTCTCACTCCTCCCCCCACCTCTTCTCCACACGGCCTCGGTTTTGTCCGTGGAAAGAGAGAGGGGGTGTTACGTTTCTTTGTGTGTCCCCTGCCTTGAGTGCCCTTTGCTATCAGCCGTTGTGAGGCTTATGGGTAAGGGGCGGGGAGGGAAGGTCAGGTGGAGGGTGTCCTTGGGGGGTTATGACCCCTTTTCGGGGAACTGGCGGGAGCAGATTATTGCTCCGAGGGACGTAAGTTCACAAGCTCACACGTCACGTATAAACTATTTTATTCGTGGCATTTTATTTCATGACTTTCCCTTTCTTTGTCGTCCCCCTTGCATTTATATTACTTTTCCCTTACCCCCCCCCCCCAAAGACAAAGATCTCCCGTGTAGCCTTAACAAACTGTTGGAGCAAGCACTGTAAGCGAGCAGCACCTATGAAGCCTGGCACGGCGCACGAGGGGATGGGTAGCCAGCACCACGTCATGCTGCCTTTGTATCCCTATGTAAAGTGTCTTTGAGTATTCAGAAAAGCGCTCACAAATAAAATGTATTATTATTAGTGGTGATGTTTGCACACGGCAGCAGGTACTCATTTCGGGCTGAGTCGATCTAGGCGGAGGCCCAGAACCGATTTAGATAATCGTCAGCGGTGTAAGCAGCCGTAGGGAAGAATCGAACTTTGGTTGCTGGGTTCGTAGCACAGCGCACTAACCCCTGCACCACCGCTTCTCACCTTCCCCCCCCTTCCCCTGTTTCAACTTTCACCTATCTGTTGGAGGCTGCCCATCTGGGTGGGGCAGCGACCCCAATCCACCGTCCCTCTTCACGCAAACCCTGGCGTGGCGTCGATCTCGGGGCTTTTGCTTGCTGGATTCATGCCCTCCCCCCTCCCCCCTCCCTTTTGTTTTGTGACCAATGTACCAGGCTCACGTGGAGTTGAGATAAAAACAAAAACATGATACCCTGCCCAGGTTCGAACACCAGCGCTGGAAGATCTTCACTCAATTCCTTCCGTGCCCCGTGGCTCATGGCGGCTGTGGCAGCTCCTACCACGTGGCCTGCAAGCTCCTCCTGTCCACCCTGCTCCATACACATGCCCAGTGAGACACCTGTGGACAAGTGCTTGCTGTGTGTAGATTGGCAGTGCGTGCTGTGTGTAGATTGACAGTGCGTACTGTGTGTAGATTGACAGTGCGTACTGTGTGTAGATTGACAGTGTGTACTGTGTGTAGATTGGCAGTGTGTGCCGTGTGTAGATTGACAGTGTGTGCCGTGTGTAGATTGACAGTGCGTGCTGTGTGTAGATTGACAGTGCGTACTGTGTGTAGATTGACAGTGTGTGCCGTGTGTAGATTGACAGTGCATGCTGTGTGTAGATTGACAGTGCGTGCTGTGTGTAGATTGGCAGTGCGTGCTGTGTGTAGATTGACAGTGCGTGCTGTGTATGTAGATTGGCAGTGTGTGCTGTGTGTAGATTGACAGTGTGTGCCGTGTGTAGATTGTCAGTGCGTGCTGTGTGTAGATTGACAGTGCGTGCTGTGTGTAGATTGACAGTGCGTGCTGTGTGTAGATTGGCAGTGCGTGCTGTGTGTAGATTGGCAGTCCGTGCTGTGTGTGTAGATTGGCAGTGCGTGCTGCGTGTAGATTGACAGTGCGTGCTGTGTGTAGATTGACAGTGCGTGCTGCGTGTGTAGATTGACAGTGCGTGCTGTGTGTGTAGATTGACAGTGTGTGCTGTGTGTAGATTGGCAGTGCGTGCTGCGTGTAGATTGACAGTGTGTGCTGTGTGTGTAGATTGACAGTGCGTGCTGTGTGTAGATTGACAGTGCGTGCTGCGTGTGTAGATTGGCAGTGCGTGCTGTGTGTAGATTGGCAGTGCGTGCTGTGTGTAGATTGACAGTGCGTGCTGTGTGTAGATTGTCAGTGCGTGCTGTGTGTAGATTGTCAGTGCGTGCTGTGTGTAGATTGTCAGTGCGTGCTGTGTGTAGATTGACAGTGCGTGCTGTGTGTAGATTGACAGTGCGTGCTGTGTGTAGATTGGCAGTGCGTGCTGCGTGTAGATTGGCAGTGCGTGCTGCGTGTAGATTGACAGTGCGTGCTGCGTGTAGATTGACAGTGTGTGCTGTGTGTAGATTGTCAGTGCGTGCTGTGTGTGGATTGACAGTGCGTGCTGTGTGTAGATTGGCAGTGTGTGCTGTGTGTAGATTGACAGTGCGTGCTGTGTGTAGATTGACAGTGCGTGCTGTGTGTAGATTGACAGTGCGTGCTGTGTGTAGATTGACAGTGCGTGCTGTGTGTAGATTGGCAGTGCGTGCTGTGTGTGTAGATTGGCAGTGCGTGCTGCGTGTGTAGATTGGCAGTGCGTGCTGTGTGTAGATTGACAGTGCGTGCTGTGTGTAGATTGTCAGTGCGTGCTGTGTGTGTAGATTGGCAGTGCGTGCTGTGTGTAGATTGTCAGTGCGTGCTGTGTGTGTAGATTGGCAGTGCGTGCTGCGTGTGTAGATTGGCAGTGCGTGCTGTGTGTAGATTGGCAGTGCGTGCTGCGTGTAGATTGGCAGTGCGTGCTGCGTGTAGATTGGCAGTGCGTGCTGTGTGTAGATTGGCAGTGCGTGCTGTGTATAGATTGACAGTGCGTGCTGTGTGTAGATTGACAGTGCGTGCTGTGTGTAGATTGACAGTGCGTGCTGTGTGTAGATTGGCAGTGCGTACTGTGTGCAGGTTCGCAGTGCGTGCTGTCTTACCACGTGCGTTGTGTGTGTTGTGTGCAGGCCGAGTAAGGCTGGGGGTCGTGACCTCTCTTCCCCATGCAATCGCAGCAGCAGCTGCTTCTCCGAGTTCTTGTGCCGGCTGCAGGTGCTGACGCGACTCTCACAACACTCCTGCTGACTCGGCACTTCGTCACTTTGCAGCTCCGACATCACTCCCTAAACTCGCAGTTTCATTTTACCCTGTAAACGGCAGTCTGTACTTAACCTCATCAGAATAATTGCATGGCAGATGCGGTCATCTGCTCCAAAACCAATGGGCAATTAAGAATATTCCACATTGTGACGCGATGACCAATCGCAAACCGGAGACTATGTGATAAGATCAATACCCACTTGAATCGTTCGCTGTGAGAATTTCAGATATTCACCAAGCTACTCTTGAAACTGAGTTCAACACGTAGTAGTAGGAGGCTTTCACCACCAACATTATCCACAATAAAGGTTTTTTTCTTCTTCTTTGGTTCTTTCGGTAAAGTCACGTAGAATGAGAATAAAATAATAAAATAAAATAAGACAATAAAATTCTCACGACGTTTTGGCCACAACACGAGTAGCCTTCATCAGGTGACCTCTTCCATAAGGTCGGGCGTAGAGTGGCAGTCTGGATGGCGTTAGTTTCAAATTTTTCCATGAATACGTTGGCTACAACCGGAGACAGGGAGGAGCCCATTGGGGTGCCCTCAGTCTGTTTGTAGAAAGTTCCTTTCCAGGTGAAGTATGTGTTGGTTAAGCAAATGTCTCACCAGGGGGGTACATCAGTATGTAGTCCTTGATGAACCAAGTCTTCAATGATTGCGATGGTGTCAGGCACCGGAACTTTGGTGAATAAGGAAACCACATCAAAACTGACAAGCAGGTCGTCTGGGGACAGGGAAATGCCTTTGATTGTCGATACCAGGTGAGTCGAATTTAGTATCGCAGAGGTGGTTTTTCCAGTGAAAGGTCGCAGTATGTCAGCCAGAAAACGTGCCAGTTTATAGGTGGGGGAGTTGATAGTAGAGACGATGGGACGAAGGGGTGTATCTTCTTTGTGTATCTTTGGAAGGCCATATAATCTTGGTGGTCTGGCAGCAGAGGGTTTCAACGAGAACTGTTTGGTCTGATCAATTAATGCTGTTGAATCAGAGATTATTTTGTTCGTTTTGGTAACCAGGCTGTTGCTGGGATCTCTTTTTATTTTTGTATAGCTGCCATCGTTGAGTAGTTCTAGAATTTTGTTGTTATATTCTGTTTTGTCCATGATGACAGTGGCATTGCCCTTGTCGGCTGAGAGGACGACAATATCATCTCTCTTTTTTAATTGAGATAATTCAAAGCGTTCATCTTTGCTGATGTTGCTAGGTGGCATCTTAGCGTTTTTGAGGGTTGCAGCGATTTCAGATCTTGCTACGTCTGCAGAGATGTGACTTAAGCCCTTGAGTGCAACGTCGACATGGGCAATGATATCATTAACTGGTATGTGTCTCGGTGTGACAGCAAAGTTTAGCCCTTTAGCTAAAACGGATTTCAGGCCATCAGAAATGGAACTGTTACTGCGATTAATTACGATTTTTTGTTGGAGAGGCGATTAAATTTGGAAATCAAATTGTCCCTACATTTGGTCGCCATAGTGGCAGCCGAAGAGGTAGTCATATTGTCTACGTGTTCCCAATCCGATGTAGAGATTGTTGCTGTCAATGTTAAGTGTGATTTGTAGAGTATCTTGTCTAACTGATCTAGTTCGGTGCGTGTAAGTCTGATTTTTTCCGAGATAAGAGCTAAGGTAGATCTAGCTAGAATTGTGTTGTGGCCGAAACGTAGTGAGAATTTTATTGTCTTATTTTATTTTATTATTTTATTCTCATTCTACGTGACTTTACCGAAAGAACCAAAGAAGATGAATCCTTGCAGTCACGAAAGCTTTAAATCAAAATAAAGGTTTTGTTGGGTTATATCGCGTAAATATAAATGTGTCGTTAATGTCATCATATACATTGCAATGGATGATTAAATTGCTCCGGTGTCCAATGCTATAATGTGTCAGAGGGGACGAATTATTAGCATAAAACTAAAAGAACACCAAAAAAATATTAAATTCTCGAATACACAACTGTCGGCAATTGCAGAACATGCGTGCCAACAAGGACATTACATTTATTGTGATAATGTTTATGTTTTGTGTAAAACTAATTATTACTGGCCACTGCTATTTCGACAATCTATTGAAATTGAGAGAAATACAATTATTTTCACCGTTCTGATAGCTACAGGCTTGGCACTGCTTGGAATCGTATTATTAAGTAATACACCATTTGATCTTGATTTGAAGCTTTAGTGTGTATATCAGAATCAGCATATTTATACTGCAAGAGGAACCCGATGAGCAATAAATATCTTTTCCACAGGTGTCCAGTAGGGGCCGGTAAGAATTTTACAACAACAACAACAATACAAAACACACTAGAGTGCAAAGTAGACGAAAGGTAAACAAATCACCCAAACACATATACAAATACAACTAAACCATCCCCAGCCTACCAAGCAAAGCCTAACAAGGTATTAACTTATTTTTGAGAAGCAACCTGGCCACAAATTATAGTTTTTTTCCAATACCACTTCGGGTTGTTTTTTGCAGATGTCAGATTTATTTTTGAATGGATTGAAGTTTGCAGGCTTTGACTCCAGGTTCCTCAATTGAAATTTGGTTTATTTTTTACAGCCAGGTCATGGTCACCTTTAAACTTCCAATGCGGCCGTGGTCTGGAAGGTTATGACCGGTATAAGTAAACCAATTTCGCTGTACAATCTTGTCCTTTTAGACAAAGTACAAGTCTGGGTTTTATGTTCCTTATTCCATCAGGCTGGGTTGAATTGTGCCTGGCTGTTTAGGGTCGTATGTAAGGGATTTATTGTGCCGAAGACCATTAGAGTTTTCTCTCTTTTTTTTTTAGTAGCCCCATTCATTATACGCGTCAGCTATTGAAGTCGCCCAACACCAATAGCCCAGCGAGTGGCTGTTGGCTAAGCTCATATATACATTGATGTCCATCGTCAAATGACCAGCTGCGATGGTAATTGTCTGTGTCCTGATGCTTGTGGTGGCAGCGGTGCATTTGAGAGCGTGGGGAGCGTTCGTGTAGCGGTTAGCGCAATGCACTACAAACCCGGCGACCCGAGTTTACCTGCCTGGCACTTTGCTCGTTGTTGTGACTATCACTCCTCTGCTGCTGCTGGAGGGGACTGCCTCCAACTGCCTCGCACCAACCACAAACAACTATGGCTCACTTCCTAACCTTGGCGACGCGTGCAGGAGGTGGCGGTTGATGTGGAGGTTCCGTCCACATCACTGGGCGACGAAGTTCCCCAGCACTGGCTGCTCGAGGGACTGAGGGAGAGCTTCCAGCAATTAGACGAGTGGCAGGCTGCAGGGCAACAGCAGCAGGCCGAGAGTTCTGCCACCCCCGAGCAAGAAACACTAATGCACTCCTTTGTGAGGTTCGTGAAAGCTCTTCCCAAAAGCAAATGTTGGTCATTTTTTTCGTGTTATAAATGTTGCAAAGTTGAGCCACGTTGGTTAAGCATCGTCAAAGGCTTGAGTTTAAATATAACATAGAGTTAACCAGTGAGTCATTCAATTAAGTGAAGTATACTATAAATGTTACTGCAAAATTATTTTTGTTTAGTTTAGGACGTCCCAATGTCATATTGGAAATGAATGCTGAAGCTTCATGTTGGGTTCGTAACGCTGAACACCAGATCCTCCACTTGAAATCTTAAAAATCCCACCATTAACATCATGCTTGGCTGATTCCGCACATGAACACACCCATCCTACCACTTCTCGTGCCAAAATTGCGGAATATGACCGATGTCTTGAGTCTCAATGGGTCTAGATGTTATCTCCATTGTTAAGTAAAGACTTACAACTGCGACTACTTCTACACACTGGACTTGCAAACTACAGGTTGCCAGTTCAATTCCATATTCTGGCTTGGCAGGTTAAATGATGGCGCAAGTTTCTTAAATCGAAAAGTATAATCTAAACTTATTTTATTTTACCAGGTAAGGCCCACTGCGCTATTTAGCTCTTTTTCAGAAGTGACTTTGCCACAAATGATAGCGCAACAAAATGGCTTATCACGTGGAAATGTATAGCCGCCAAATACTCTAAACGCGTGGTGTTGATGCTAAATGTGGAGGGGAAAACCGGAGGACCCCGGTAAAAATTCACTCGATCACGGGAGAACATTAAAACTCCAAATATAGCCATGAGGGTCTGGATCGGACCCGCGACCTCATGTATACCAAGCGAGGTAGTTAACATCTCACCGCTGGGGCGCTGTCCATCGTGGCACCACCAGCGGTATTAAAGGACATGCCACAGTCGATCGACAAATCTGCGTGTAGTAGGGTAAAGTGTGGGTAATTCCCACCTCAGAGTGGAGGCGCCCTCCATCCGTATGGGTTGTGAGAAAGTAATTGCAAACGCTGCAACCTTCATCTGACCACTGTTTGTGTGGCGATAACGACGTGAGCCGCCTCGGCAAGAAGCAGAGTTGAACTCCTAGCTTGAGCACCTCTCTGTGTTTAACTCCTAGCTTGAGCACCTCTCTGTGTTTAACTCCTAGCTTGAGCACCTCTCTGTGTTGAGCTTGTACGTTCTCTCTCTCTCCCCCCTTGTTATTCACGGGGTTCCTCTCGTTTCTCCTGTTTCCTCCGAGAGCAACAACAAGAAACTGCACAATGTAACTGTTATTGGCCAATTTAACATGTAGTAGTCGGGCTTTCGGGACCAGTATTATCCATAATAGAGGTTTTTGGCTTAGATTCCGTAAATATAAATGTGTTGTTAAACCTGCCACCACCTGACACAGCCAATTAGTAAGGTTTGTCACGTAAACAAAATATACCAATTAGTTACTAGTTCAGCACACTAGTGTGTTTGAGAGGAAACCCACAATTCTGGCTGTCGCCTGATGATGCTGGTTGTAGTTACCGACGAAACGTCATGGTACTTGAATTGTAAATGTTGTGGGTTTACTCTTCAACACACAACCGGTGTGCTGAAGTAGTAACTATTTGGCACGTCTTTTTAAGTGACAACCCTTATATTTCAGCGATCTAACCCAAAATCCTCTTATGGATGTTATTGGCCAAACTTCCCAATGCTGAAACATTAGCAGACAATTATTCGATTGGATTTGCACAAAGCAACATCACTACTACGAGAATTTGGCATAATACAATGTTCTGGACCCGCTTATGTATGTGCTCCGTTATTAAAACCATCATCATGTACAAAACTCAATGCGCGTGTGGGTGGGCCAAGGGAACATCAGGAGGAGGATGCCAAGGGAGCATCATTGGGAGGGGCCAAGGGAGCATCAGGGGGAGGGGCTATTCTATATCCTGGCCTATGGCAATACGTTCAGCAGCTAAATGCCAATGTCTGCTTCTAGCCATGCGCGGGCTTCAGGAGAGAGAGTTTGTGTTTTTTCTGTTCCTACTTCATTGAAGGAGCGTAGACTACAGTGGTTTTATTATATGGACCGTAGTTAGGGTTGCACAGCCACAAACGTACGACTGCGGCTTGCCTTGAATTTTCTATTCGTGAAGGAGCTGCGTCGGTGGGTCTGTGCTCTTTTTGGTTTTGAGTCACCTAGGTTTCCGGAGGAGCTGCTAGGCTTTACAGCCAGAGTAAGTGAAGTCCAAAACTCGGTTACGTCTTCCCAACATTTTCTTCATGCAGAGTTCAGGGACTTTCGCAAGTGCCAAGTGTCTTTTAATCTCACTCACCAGTTCTGAGTAACTCTTTCAAGAGTAGTTCTGTTCCTAGTTGCCTAGGGGTTGTCACTTACGAGGAAGGGGGGGGGACACCCAGGGAGTGTGGCGATGTGGGACCGTCAGTGAAGAAGCGTATTGTATTTCGTGTTGCTAGGTTGACTAGAGTGTACTGTGTAGTGCTCAGCGTGTGGCGCTTTAGCGGGGCGCTGTCCAGCAGGTGGGGTGGGTGGGTGGGTGCTGAAGGTCGTTGTTGTTGCAGGGTTCTGTTGGGCTTGCCTGCCGAGACCTTGCTCACGAGGCCTTCAAGAGACGACGCCAGCCTTCGTGACCTCTTCAGCCTGACCAACAACGAATTAGTACGAGCAGAGATTCGTCTCACCGGCGTCTCACACACACACCACAGTCACTGCATCATTGCACAACACTTTCAGACACGCTTCAAAAGACACCTGGAATGCGCTTCTTCCGATATTAGGAAACCGCTGGAGCTACGCACATTTAAATCATCATCTAGATTGAAAACATTTTTTTAGATCTGCTTTTTGTGTTTAGTTTGTTTTCCTTCCCCGGCACCTCTGATTAGCACGGTTGGCTACGTACGGTGAGAAAGAAGTTCAATATACATACATACATACAAAGACACAGATAAAGTTCCCCCGTCTAGCCTCACCGGACTGTTGGGGCAAGTGCTGTTAGCGAGCATCTAGGCCGGCATGGCACACGAGGGAGTGGGTGGCCAGCACCGTGTGCGGCTGCGTTTACTGATGTTTTTTTACTGATATTACTGATGTTTACACACCGCACCAGGTACTATTTTTATTAAATGAGTCAACCTACGGGTCAACTCATTTCATATAATCGTCACTGGTGTTGGCAGTAAGTGGGAATTGAACTCGAAGGCTTGCTGGCAGGAGTTTATGGGACAGACCCAGGTGCCATGTGTTGATTTCCCGAGAATAACTGGCAGATGCACCAGCTGTGCCACTCATTGTGCCAACTTGCTGCATTTTAGCCACCCGTCGCTCAAATACAGCAAGTTTTGAGCGTTGCTCCTCTACCCTCCGTTGTTGTTGGATGACGACTGCCTCTAACTGTTCAGTAGCATCCTTCACGAGCCTCCAACATAGAGGCCGATCTTGATACCAATTATCGGCAAGTTCACTGAGCTCCACATCTTCCTGTACCACATCAGTCCATCTCTTTTCCAGCCTGTGTCGTGCCTTTAGAGCCCCCCCCTATCCAGCCAAACAGAAGCTGCTAGGGCATGCGATGGTTGGGCATGAGAGCTACATGACCCAACCAACGCAGCCTTGCCCGGCAGAGGAGCTCACTGATGGGAATGCATCCAGATCTACGCATAACAAACACACACACACACAAGCACACACGTGCTCAATGCACGTACACACATACTGTGGCCAGCTTAACATCGGAGGCAGGGGCCGACGATCAGCAGCAATGCGTGCATTATAATAAACCAGTGTTGGAATGTGCGTAGCTCCAGCGATTTTAGTTCAGGTACTTGGCGCCATTCAATAATGCTTGTTGACTCTACGGCATAGAGCTAAGCGTTTGTCAAATTTACTTTATTGTAAAAAATACAACCCTATGACAAACGGTGTACCCCAGGTGCCCACTTGTATAGCCTGAAGCCAGAAATTAAACGCAGAGCATGGCCTGTAATTGTGGTTGTCTGTAGGTGGATTTGGTTGTTGGTGTAGAAGCTGGTCCGGCTGTAGGTGCATGGCTGTATGTAAGCATGCGTGTCTGCGTGTCTGCGTGTCTGCGTGTATGCGTGTCTGCGTGTCTGCGTGTCTGCGTGTCTGTGTGTATGTGTGTATGCGTGTCTGGGTGTCTGCTTGTCTGTGCTAACTTTGTTGGCTGCTGTGTCGTCCTCAGAGGGCTTTCTGCTGCGAGGGCTCCATACTGCCTCAGAGCATCACTCTGCATATCACAAGAGTGAGTGCCTTGGCTCACAGCCACCATCAGCAATCCGTAGCTACTCGTCGCAAACACCACTCCAATGGCACCTACTTCAGGGTTACATTTTGGGACCTCTTGTTCAGCCTGTATATAAACTAATTAAAAACTTAACTATTTTTATTTTACCAGTTAAAGCCCACTGAGCTATATAGCTCTTTTTCAGAAGCGACCTGGCCAGAAATGATAGCTCAAAGAAGTGGTTTATGTGGAAATGTATAGCAGCCAAATACTCTAAACGCATGTTTCTAAATGTGAAGGGAAAAAACGGAGGACTCGGAGAAAAACCCACATGACTACGGGGAGAACATGCAAAATCCAAATATACAGGCATCAGGGTCGGGATCAAACCCAATACCTGTATACTGGGTGAGGTAGTTAACATCTTGCCACCGTGGCACATATACTACCGCTTGGCCAAATTTTTTTTATTGTCAATGGCTTAAATTTTAACTTTTATGTTGTTCTGCAGGGTCGGTTCTGACTATTCCAATGATTCCAAACCACACCTGGTCTGGAGTAATTGGAAGGCATAGGCTGCATAATCTCAATAACAACAGTCGGAGGCTGCTAGACTTCTGTGCAGCCCATGGGCTTGTAATCACCAACACGCTGTTCCGGTATCGGTGCATCCACACAAGATTGTGGATGGACGCCGGCTCCAAGCAAGAACATCTTCTGGATTAAATAGCATGGCCTCAATACTCCGCTAGCCTGTCACTATACTCTGCTAGCCTGTCACTTAATACTCCGCTAGCCTGTCACTCTTCTCTCACACCTCCACCCTGGTCCTTGCCCCCAGCAGGGCATCAGCTAACACCGCTGGGGAGGACGAGGTGTGGAGGGCGAGGTCCCAGGCTTCTTCTCCCCGACTCTTGTCCTCTTCGTCCCTTCAGCTCCAACCAACAACAACCCCATGTTGCTCCGCACACACCCTGATATCCCCCTCTTCATTAAGGGTCCTCAGTTACCCCCCATTCAGCTGGCGCCTCAGCGGCGCCTCCTGCACGTGCTCTCTCTCTCACCTTATCATCTCCCGCCTCTCCCACTCCATGTTCCCATGCTCGCACCTGCCTGTCCCCAAATGCACCCGCTGTTCGCAAACCCCGTGCGTTATGCCACTAGTTGTACAGCAATCACGATTATTGATGAGGGGGGCTCTTTATGTGGAGTGCCGTCACCTGCACATGATCATTAATGAGGGGGGGTGATCCATGTGGAGTGACGTCACCCACTCATTATTAATGTGGGCAGGTGGAGTGATGTCACCCGTACATTATTATTAATGACGGGGGGGGGGGGGGGGGGGGGGGGGTCCATGTGGAGGACCCCGCCTGTTCATGATTATTAATGAGGGGGGCTGGTGGACGTGGAGTGACGTCACACGCGTTACACACAAACAGACATTTTTGGTATTCTTAGCTCTTTCGGTAAAGTCACGTTGAAGGGAAACAATAAAATAATGAAATATATTTTATTATTTTATTGTTTCCCTTCAACGTGACTTTACCGAAAGAGCTAAGATTATGAATTACTGCAGTCACGAAAGCTTTAAATCAAAATTTAGACATTTTTGGCTCATTATATTAGTAATGATGATGACCCATAATATTTTTTTTAGGTTAGATCACGTAAATACATAAATATTAAATGACAGCCAATTAGTAAGGTTTGTCACGTAAACAGAACATGTCAATTCGTTACTAGTACAGCACATCGGTGTGTTGGCGAGCCAAGCTAGTGATGGGGGAGAAGGGGTGGTTACAAGAAGGAGCAGCTGAGCCAACCCTCTTCCTCAAATTAGCACGGCCGGCTACGTACGGTGTGAAAGAAGTTCAACAGCATACAACATACAGATGAGTGGGCAGGCATACGTATACTATCATCGGAATGGAATCAGAAGAAAACATAAAACTACTTTATTTTAATCCATGCGGGAGGGCATGTGGCACAGTTTGGGGTCAGCTATCATCGAGTGCGGTGGTCGTGTCGCTCTGGTTCTCTGCGGTGAGCACAACGTCTTTAAAAAAAATGGCGCTATGCCTCTCTAAATAAAATTAATGCAAACCGCTTGCATGTTCTGAGATTCAGCAATGAATGGGACCCACACCCTGAAGCTTGCATTCCTCTCGGTATGGAAAGGGTTAGTGTGAATGCGGTTGTGATGCGACGCACTATGTGCATAGACACATCGACCACGGGTAGCGCGGTGGCACGGAGGGAAACCGTGGCCCCGCGATATATGTAACTGCGTGTTTCTGGACCCCCCCATGTGTGTTATAGATTCATAGAATAACGTCAGCAGACAATGACGTCACATAATACAATGATGTCATGCTGTGATGCAATGACGTTAATACATATGTAGTGATTGACTCAGAGACACTAAGAGTAGGAGGCACTCTGTTTATTAACACGGCCTCACAGTAACATTGAGTAACTACAGTTCCCAGTCAGGACAGCTGGTAGACTGCCTGACTGGCGACGCCGAGACGGTGAAGCCGGCGACGACGGTGAAGACTCCAGCAGCACGACGGGATCCCACTCCAAACGACAGCCCCGAGGTCCCCTCTCGGGGCCCCTCTTATACTGTCAGCATGGCCTGGCTCTGCCTTCTGGAACTTACTAGCGGTTTCTCGATGTGCCCCTTCCGTAACCTTAGCCCTCGATCCCTTTTTGGTCTATCACGTGGCCTGCTTTCAGTCAGGGTTGCTGTAAGCTGCAGATGCCCTTCTCTGCCAGCAGCCAGCGCTATGCTGCTACATGACCGATTCTATGTCACTACACATACATCACGTGACTTCCTTAACACCTTGCTTCCCCATGGATAATTCGATTTCCAAGCCACGGTTAGTAAATTGGTGTACAGACAATAAACCGTGTGTGTCATGAATCTTGAAGTTGGAAAGTCCGCGCTTGGCGAGGGATTGCTGTATATTAATATGCGTGGGTGTGTGCGTGCATGTGTGTACATACGTGCGTGTGTGTGCCCCAGGGCATACTGCTCAAGTGCTCGCGTTCACCGCACTGCTACGAGGCTGTGGCCTCCGTGTGGCTCCAGCTACTGAAGTCGTCGCCCCTCCTGTTCGTCTCCATCACAGTGAGACCGGGGCTCACCTCTCCTCCACGCTCACCCCTACACCATCTACACTCACCCCTACACCATCCACGCTCACCACTACACCATCCCCACTCATCCATACACCATCCTCCCTCACCCCAGCACCATCCACGCTTACCCCTACACCATCCACGCTCACCCCTACACCATCCACGCTCACCCCTACACCATCTACACTCACCCCTACACCATCCACGCTCACAACTACACCATCCCCACTCACCCATACACCATCCTCCCTCACCCCAGCACCATCCACGCTTACCCCTACACCATCCACGCTCACCCCTACACCATCCACGCTCACCCCTACACCATCCACGCTCACCCCTACACCATCCACGCTCACCACTACACCATCCACGCTCACCCCTACACCATCCACGCTCACCACTACACCATCCACGCTCACCACTACACCATCCACGCTCACCCCTACACCATCCACGCTCACCCCTACACCACCCACGCTCACCCCTACACCATCCTCCCTCACCCCAGCACCATCCACGCTTACCCCTACACCATCCACGCTCACCCCTACACCATCCACGCTCACCTCTACACCATCTACACTCACCCCTACACCATCCACGCTCACCACTACACCATCCCCACTCACCCATACACTATCCTCCCTCACCCCAGCACCATCCACGCTTACCCCTACACCATCCACGCTCACCCCTACACCATCCACGCTCACCCCTACACCATCCACGCTCACCACTACACCATCCACGCTCACCCCTACACCATCCACGCTCACCACTACACCATCCACGCTCACCACTACACCATCCACGCTCACCCCTACACCATCCACGCTCACCCCTACACCACCCACGCTCACCCCTACACCATCCACGCTCACCCCAGCACCATCCACGCTCACCCCTACACCATCCACGCTCACCCCTACACCATCCACGCTCACCCCTACACCATCCACGCTCACCCCTACACCATCCCCACTCACCCCTACACCATCCCCACTTACCTCTATGCCATCCCCACTCACCCTACACCATCCACGCTCACCCCTACACCATCCCCACTCACCCCTACACCATCCCCACTCACCCCTACACCATCCCCATTCACCCCTACACCATCCCCACTCACCCCTACACCATCCCCACTCACCCCTACACCATCCATGATCACCTGTACACCATCCACGCTCACCCCTACACCATCCACGCTCACCCCTACACCATCCCCACTCACCCCTACACCATCCCCACTCACCCCTACACCCCTACACCGTCCCCACTCACCCTACACAATCCCCACTCACCTCTACACCATCCACGCTCACCCCTACACCATCCATGCTCACCCCTACACCATCTACGCTCACCCCTACACTATCCCCACTCACCCCTACACCATCCCCACTCACCCTACACCATCCCCACTCACCCCTACACCATCCACGGTCACCCCTACACCATCCCCACTCACCCTACACCATCCCCACTCACCCCTACACCATCCACGGTCACCCCTACACCATCCCCACTCACCCCTACACCATCTCCACTCACCACTACACCATCTCCACTCACCCCTACACCATTCCCACTCACCTCCACACCATCTATACTCACCCCTCCACCATCTCCACTCACCCCTACACCATCCCCGGTCACCCCTACACCATCCCCACTCACCCTTACACCATCCCCACTCATCCCTCCACCATCCCAATTCACCCCTACTTCATACCAACTTGTATCCCACTCACGGCCATCACCAGTGACAATTATTCGAATCAGTCCTGGGCCTTCCCGAGTTCGACTCTGCCTCAAATAAGTACCTGGTGTGGTGTGTAAACACCACCACTGCAGAGACAAAAGCGGCCGGGCTCGGTGTTGGCCATCCACCCCTTGTGTACCGTGCCGGCCTTCATCGGTGCTCACTAACAGCACTTGCCCAAACAGTCTGTTAAGTCTATATGGGGGATCTTTGTTGTGTGGATATGAGTAACGGCGGACACGAGCGTGGTCCTCTACTGAACCTAGGTTTTCACGGCAATGTGTCACCATCCCCTTACCTAAATCCCATCGAGGAATCTGAAATGGCCTACGCAATTTATGGAATGGCGTCCAGCCACTTGGTACTCGGGCTCCAAGGACACAGTCCCATCTATGAGCTCCTCTGGCAGGTTGAGCTTTCGGTGGCCGGGTTCATGCAGCCTGCATGCTCATGCCCAATAAGCTTTGGCCAAATAGAGGGGGATAAACAGGCGTGGCATGGGCTAGAGAAGAGATGGACTGATGGCGGTATAGAAGGATGTGGGGCTGAGTGGACTTGCTGATGATTGGTATCACTGGTGTCGAGATCTGCCTCTCAGTGGAGAGGAGGCTCATGGAGAATGCTACTGAGCAGTCTGAGCCACTTTCTCTGATGCAACAACGGAGGGCAGATGGGTGATGATCACAACAACAAGCAGAGTGCCGTGCGGCTAAAAGGCAGCAAGTTGGCACAGTGGGGGGGGGTGGGGTGCAGCTGGTGCATCTGCCAGTCGTTTCAATCAGTCAATCCATAACACCTGGGTCTGTCCCATGAGCTCCTGCCAGTAATCTTCCACACTTCTTGTGGCTTTAAGGTACACCTAGCCTGACATGAGCGCTTCGGTGACATCACCGCCACCTAGTAGCGAATGGCAGTGGTTTGTGTGTGTGTGCTTGTAATTGTTATGTCCTGTTGGCTGTGTGTGTATGTGGGGATCAGTGGTGACCTAACCTCAATTCCTGCTCGTGGTCATCATCAGTGGTGAACGCATCAACCAGTTTTGAGCTCCTATATGTTGACTCAGCCTTAAATGAGTGCCTGATGCGGTGTGTAAAAATCACCACTGGGGGTTGGGTGTGGTGCTGGCGACAATCTCTCTCGTGTGCCGTGTTGGCCTTCTTAGTTGCTCGCTTAAAGGCACTTATCCCAAGAGTCTGGTAAGGCTACATGGGGGATCTTTGTGTGTGTGTGTGTGTATGTAGGGCTGGTGGCTTCAGCTGAGGCCCGTGCTGTCCGTGCTATGTGGCCACTCGCCCTGGAAGGCCGGATTGCCCAATGAACTCCTCCGCCTGGATGAAGCCTACTCCTGTGCCCAGCAGTAAGATCCCGGCATCTGGAACAGACCCAGAGCGATGCCTCGTGAACAATCCTCAAGTTGGCGCATTCCTTGCCTGATAATTACGTTCTCTTGCCAGCCTCTTGACACCCCAGTTTTCTAAATTGAAAACTAATTTCTTTATCACTGTTTTTTGTGTTTAGTTTGTTGTCTCACCCACCTCCATTTAGCATGGGTGGCTATGTACAATGTGAAAGAAGGTTTAACATACACAGCGCACGCCTAAGCTCTTAACTCATCAACCTCCATCTCTCTACAGGGTTACATCCTGCAGTCAATTAATTGTCGAGGTCAGGCTGTTGTAGAGAGTGGGGGACCTTTTCCTTACTCCGAGGGCTGAATAGGACTTACAAATACCTTTGGTGGGTAAGCACACTATAAAACCATTTTTAAAAATATTTGTATTTTAGCAGGTAAGGTCCCACTGAGCTATATAGATATTTTTCAGAAACGATCTGGCCACAAATGATAGCTCAACAAAAAGTGCCTTACCATGTGGACATGTATTGCAGCCAAATATTCTAAACGCATGTTTCTAAATGTGGAAGTAAAAACCGGAGGACCCAGATAAAAATCCACGTGACAACGGGGAGAATATGCAAACTCCAAATATATAGCAGGCGTCAGAGTCAGGATCGAACCCACGACCTGTCTACCAAGTGGGGTAGTTAACATCTCGCCACCATGGCGCCCCTCTGCATTGGATAACACCTTGGCATTATCCAATAATGTGAAAAATAACAATGAGTGTCGGAGCATGCAGTGCTCTTTGTTGTGACCATAATTGCCTGAGCACTACTCAAAAATTATAAATGCAGTGGTATTGAAAACATTCTCCAGGACCTGATCAGATGCTCGCAGGGAAGGAATACATATTGTGTGTGGGCTGTTCCTAAGTGGCACGAATTAAAATCGCTGGGCACACGATCCACACCTCTGCTGCAGCGTTATACGTCATTAAAAACATTGTCGTACATACTGTCTGTTGTACTGTATTGGGTGGTGACGTAGTCCAGTGGTAGCACGTTCGCCGCTTGTTACGGACATTTGTGGTTTTAATCCGGCAGGCCTGACTGCAGTGTTTATTAACCATGAAATTCTACGCGTTGTCTGTTTCGCAACGTGGACGTTAAAGATCCCGTGATGTCATATGAAATGGTGGAGTAGGCAATTTGTGTGTGTGCAGCATCACGGTCCACATTTGCAAAAAAAAAAATCCCGCAAAAATTATCTCAAATTTGGGATTACATATATCACCAATCATTGTCACCCTCCTGCCAGACGAGTGCCCACTTGTAGGCTGGTGCCGAGCCACCTTCTGCAGCACAGGGGACGGGTAACACTTGGGGTGGCTAAGAGATGTTAACTCGAACCCACGGCCCTCTTGTATACCAAGTGAGGTAGTTAACATCTCCTTGTTTTCCTCTCACAAAGCCAAATTAATACTGAATTGGCCTAACGCAAACATTCAAATGCAGGACCCTCCTAAAATAGTCTTCCACTCAGTCTGGTTTCTTGCGTGAAAACTCTAATTCGCATTATATTTATATTGCTCTTTGTCTTTACTTTATGGATAAATGTTAGTCATATATAGTTATATTTTAGCATTGCATCCTGGATTATTTGGGCACAACGGAGGCGAGATGTTTTCATAATTCTTGGTTCTTTCGGTAAAGTCACGTAGAAGGAAAACAATAATAAAAATATAAAACAAAACGACTGCAACATAAGCAGTCATCATCAGGTGTGAAAACAACAACAAGAAAATTTGAAAAAGTGACCACTTTTTTCAAATTTGGCCACTTTTTTCAAATTTTCTTGTTGTGGTTTTCACACCTGATAATGACTGCTTGTGTTGCAGTCGAAACGTCGTGAGAATTTTATTGTTTCATATTTTTATTATTTTATTGTTTCCCTTCTACGTGACTTTACCGAAAGAACCAAGAATATGAATCCCTGCAGTCACGAAAGCTTTAAATCAATATGTTTTCAGAAGTTCATGGGATCGATCCTGACCCTAATGCCTCTATATTTGGAGTTTGCATGTCTTTCTCACCATGGTTGCGTCGGTTTTCTCCAGCTCCTCCGGTTTTTCTCTCCACATTTATAAACATGCGTTTAGAGTATTTGGCTGCTATACATTTTTACGTGATAAGCCACTTTGTTGATCTATCATTTGTGGCCACATTGTTTCTGAAAAAAGAGCTATATTGCTCAGTGGTCCTTACCTGGTAAAATATAATAAATGTTTGAGATGTGATATAAGTCGCTTATCATATGTAAAATAATCAGAGAAACTCTACATATATATAATGATTCATTATCTCAAATACCCTTGTGCGCTCTGGTGTCTTGAGCTGCACTGCATGAGAGCACAGTATCAACATGATATAATGATCATGAGGATTTTTTTATTGGGTGCAATTGTGAACAACAGCCATATCAGACATTATTACATCGAATCGGCATAATCATTGGTTCACTGCAGCTCAAAGACTCAGTCCTACAAGGCGTGTGGTGAAGTTAGGATATGCCCATGTGCTTGGCATCTGAACGCCTGAAGACCAGAATCGGTTATTTTGCCGACAATGTGTTCAGGGAGGCAGTTCCTTACCCGGACAGCAGAGTGGTGATGATGATGAGGTCCCGGCTGTGGGCTGCCTCAGCTGGCTGTGTCTTTGCGCCCTTTTTCAGGCTCGTGCAGGGCTGTGTTGGCTCCACTGTCACCGCGGACGTCCCCGGAGACAGAGCGTGGGCCTGGGCCGTAGCGCTGCACCGAGTGGCCGGGATGGCAGCCGCAGCCATTCTGCGCCGGACGAGCATCCTGTCGGTGAACGTGAGTGCATGCGCGTGATTTACACGGTGCGCGGAGCGTCGCACGCGGAGACGTTTACCCGCACAAGAGATCTCCACATTCCCCACAGAGCATTATTCTAGTTCCAGATCCCAGTTTAGTTGTGTGGCTGTGTACGTGCTTGTGATTGTTATGTGCTTTTGGCAGTGTGTGTGTGTTTGGAGCGTTGGAACCTTGATCCGTGCGCTGTGCTACAAACCCCGGTAACCCGCGTGCGGTTTCTGCTCATGGCCAAAATCTGTTACAAATATCTGAACTGGTCTTACGCCTCCGCTAGCTTCACTCAGCCTTAAGGAAGGACAACACACTAAACACAAGAAATTAGTTTTCAATCTAGGTGATTTAAAAGTGCATACCTCTGATGGCTTCCTAATATTGGAAGGAAGAGCATTCCAGATGGCCGCGGAAGTGCATCTGACAGCGCGCAATGCAGTCATCATCTTTTTAAAATTGCTAGCCAAAAGCCTCTGCTAGAATGATCGGATTTTGCGTGATGGTTTATGCTCCTTGACAATATCAGCAAGGTATTGTGATTCATTTGTCGTAAGCACTTTGTGTGTCATGAGTGTGACCTTATTCATAATGTATTCGTTTGGCAACTGGAAAACAATGCAGCTCGACGAGCAATGGACGGACCTGGTCAGATCTTGCGGCACTGCAGATACAAGATGCGGCTTGGCAATGTTTTTGCCAGATGTCCTGTGGAGCAGTGAGTTGCAATAATCGAGCCTTGTCGATATTATACTACATGCCACCGTGTTGGCTATGTCATGACTCAATAGTGGTCGAATGTGTCATGTAGAGCCCTGATATGATAATTGCAGCACCTGACTATATTTTGCACGTGGTGATCAAACGACATTCTGGTGGAGTATGGTGCTGGGGTTCTTTAGATGAGGATACATTTGAATCCTGGAATCTGTGACCACCACACCTGATCCTCCCACATTTTTTTTCGCCTGAGCCCAAGTGCCAACCAGCAAAATCTACGATTTTCCTGGATGAAGCAGCATTTCATTTCATGCAAACCTCACGTGCACTTCACGTGTACCGCTCGTGTGCAATCTTCGAGGTTATCGAGGCTCTCAATATCTAACTTTGACTTCACTGCAGTGTACAATTGTGTATCATCAGCTTGTTGATGGAACTTCGTGATGTGATGAGATGGCATCGGCGATCAGCGAGATATATGTTGATAAAAGGAAGGGCTCGAGGACGGACCCCTGTGGTGCACTAACTAGGCACGGCATAGGCGGTGAATGTTCGTCACCCAGCTTGACGAACTGTGATTGACTCATGTAGGTATGAGACTCATGTAGGTATCACTCAATACAACCCAGTGCCGTACACATTCCACTGAACCTTGACCTTAGCCGCCCATTGAGTCGATGGTGTCGAAGGCGGCAGAAAGATCGAAGCCAACCAACGCTGCGGTGCACCGGTCATCCATGATCTTGTAGAGGTCATCAGTAATCTTCAGTTGAGACGTCTCGGTGCTGTGGAACTTCCCGTACGCCGACCGCAATGGGTTTAATCTGCCTGTCGCAACGACGTGGAGAAATAACTGCTTCAGACAAAGGCGCTTTATGACCTTAGAAATCGTACTCAGGTTTGAGGTTGGGCGATAGTTTGTGGGGTCACTATGGCTCAAGCCAACTTTGTTCAGGAGTGGTGTTACCTGCGCCATTTTGAAACGTTCTGGGAAACAGCCCTCGTTGAAGATTTGCCAGGTGTTAGCACGTCCGTGCATGATTTGAGAATCGATGTGTGGATATAGGTGAGTGGCAGTGTCTTATTTGGCAGCCGTGTGATGAACATCGACACCTCTCCCACCGACGTTGGTGCCACGGTCTCGAGTTTTGCATTAGTTCCAGGTTGATCAAACTCAGATGGCAGACCGGGAGAATGCGTTGCCTTCAAGTTAGAAACTGCCGTCTTGAGCATCACTATTTTATTGGCAAAGAACATCGCAAGTACTGTGCACAGATCGGGTTGACTGGTTGATGGGTGGTTGGAGTGCAGCAGGACCCTTCGCGACATGCCACAAAGCTCGGGGTTGCAAGCCAACTCATTGACGTGCAGAGCATAGAACAATCTGAGACTCAATAATGAGTAGTTTGGCAGATCTGCAGGCAGCTCTGTAAGCGAGTCGGACAGTCTCGAAAACCAGTTTTCTTCCAAAGACAATCCAGCCTCCTCTACGTCTGCTTCGCAGCAATCGCTTCCGGTGACAGCCAGTTACCGTGTGCTTTCCCCATTTTTTTGTGCTTGTTCAGGTGGGCATGAGTTCATCAAGAACAGCAGAGATGTCAATTTCTAATAGAGCTGCAAATTAGTTTTATTCGGTAAAGTCATGTAGTTAAAAAATTAAATAAAAATGAAAATGACTTGATTAAATCACGACGTTTCGGGCGCAACACAAGTGTCCGTCATCAGGTGGGGACAAACATAGTGAAGACAGTTGCCAAGATATGGCAAAGAGATGGCTTTAACACGGGTTTATATAGCTGAGGAGGGTGGGGGGGGGAACGAGGGCAGGGTGGGTATGGGGGCGGGGCGTGGGCTGGGGGAGATGGGGATACAGCTCAAGTACCACAGGTGGAGCGGGGGAGAGTGGAATCGGACAAAACTACGACACAATTGGAAAGCTGCACCTCAAATTTCCTAGTGCTGTGCAAGGCTGGGAGTAAAAGACTGGTGATGTGGATATGAATATAAACTGTAAGGCAGCTAGGCTTTAAATTGATTAATAACATCCTTCCAATGATTGCTCAATTTGAATCCATCTTCTCGGTTGAAGTTATGTCTATGTTTGTATCTAGATGGTCTCATGGACAAACCTTTGGTGGTACCCAGACGGCTTGCAGAGCACCTTGGTCTCGGAAAAGATAATATAATGAGAGCCCACAGCATTGTAACAATGATCAGCAACGGCGGAGGAATTCGTCCTGCCGTGTTTCAGCTCTGCATTGTGCTCGCGGACACGGTCAGAAACATTTCGTCTCGCCAATGTAGCAATCACCACAGATGCAACTTAGTTTGTAAACACCAGGGTATTGCAAGTCAGGAATGACATCTTTCAAAGATGGGATTAGATCACGGGTTTTGTTTACTGTACTGAATCGGACCTGGATCTTGTGTTTGTTTAAGATTTTGGAAATCGTTTTGGTAACGCCTGCTATGTATGGCAACGTGATGGTTTTGATCGGAGTCTCAGGGGGTTGTTTCTCCATGGTTGGAGAAACAGTTTTGCGGATAGTACGGTCTGAATATCCATTCATCTTAAACCAAAGATTATGGATTCTTGCAGTCATGAAAACTTCAAATCTAGAAATTAATCAACCGTCGATGCGTTATTTAGGCACGCCGATGATGACCGGATCTTCGGACGGAAAGCATCGTGGTCCAGTCATTTCAAGTCTCTGTGTGATATCGTTGTGACAGATCGGCGAATAATCTGCAATTCCACTTTGCACATCACGAGATTGTGATCTGGAATACCCCACGTCTTCGGTAACTATGTCGGTCACAGTTACGGTATTGGCGGATGTGAATATTTAATCCATTATACTTCCCCGAGCGAAATTCTGTGCTGCTGACAATTCCAGGTTAAACTGTGACTGTCGATAATCTGGGCGAGTTCACTTTTGATTTTACCACAAGAACCGGTCAGTCCGGGACAGTTCAGGTCACCACAGATGACGTAGCGAGAGCCAAGTGACCCACAGTCTAGTAGACGGTCGATGGATGACAGCGATCGTGAGCCCCCACACTGCTGTACGTTATTTTTACACGTAGCAGCTAGAATGACGGTGATTGCTAATGAGTCGATCAGGACTTTCATGTCTTCATGGTGAAGCAGTGCAATCCCACCACCATGCGGGCTGCCGGTGCTAGGCTTCCTATGACGGTGCTGATGTACAATAGCGTACCCGTCAGGTGCGGCCTCACGCTTAATTACCCGTCACATACCCAGGTTTTGGTAACGGCCAATATGTCGAATGCACAATCGTTGATCAGATCCTGGATCAGTGAGGAGTGGTGAGTGTGAAGTGATAAAAGCGGAGTCTCTCACCCTAGGGCCGTGCTGCTCGAGTGATTGTGGATCAGTGCCATATTGTTGACTATGGAGCACGTGTTGACTGATCCATAGTTGAAGAGACCTGGTCTAGGGTTTGGCTCAATGCCCGCGACATCAGCAGCAGTATGGCTATGAAGGTGCTCTTCCGTGATCGTGTGGATGTTAGGGCGGAAGAAGAACTGATCAGATCACCATAGGAATATGAAATTTTCCCAAATACAACGGTCGACAGTGTGAGAACACGCGTGCTAACAAGCACACTCATTTGATTTTGGTAATGTTGATGTTCTGTTCAAAACTAGTTACTACTAGCCAAGACTAATTTGAGAATCTATCAATATTGAGAGAAAAAATTATTTTAACTGTTTTGATAGCTGCAGGCTTAATGCTGCTTGTAAGCGTATTATCAAGTATTACTACACTATATTCTTGGTTCTTTCGGTAAAGTCACGTAGAAGGGAAACAATAAAATAATACAAATATAAAACAATAAAATTATCACGACGTTTCGACTGCAACACAAGCAATCATCATCAGCTGTGAAAACCACAGCAAGAAAATTTGAAAAAAGTTTTTTTTAATATATATAACGTTAGCACCACGGAGAGCGATTTGACAGTTATTCAGATGGACGAGTACATCTATGTTCGGAAAAGAGGAGGGGGTAGACGAAAATAATGGATGTGGTCTGAAAGCCACCGTAAGCGTGAACAATCAATTAAGACCCGAAATGGTTTATCAAATCCTTCCAATGATTGCTAAGCCAGAATCCATTTTCTCGGTTTAAATTGTCTCTGTGTTTGTATATGTGGATAGCCTCATGAACGAATCTCTCATGGTAGCCAGATGGCTTGCAAAGAACCTCTGTCTTGGAGAAGTCAATGTCATGTGAGCCTGCTGAATTATAACAGTGATCTGCCACGGCCGAGGTGTTGGTCCTACCGTGTTTTAGGTCTGCTTTGTGTTCACGGATGCGGTCCGAGACATGGCGTTTGGTTTCTCCAATGTAACTGCGACCACAGAGGCAACTTAGTTTGTAGACGCCAGGGTACTGTATGTCCGGAATCGCATCTTTTACAGACGGAACCAGATCACGGATTTTATGTAATGTCTTGAATCGGACCTGGATCTTGTTGCTGGGATCTTATTGCTGGGACCTTGTTGCTGGGACCGTGTTGCTGGGACCTTGTTGCTGGGACCGTGTTGCTGGGACCTTGTTGCTGGGACCTTGTTGCTGGGACCGTGTTGCTGGGACCTTGTTGCTGGGACCTTGTTGCTGGGACCTTGTTGCCGGGACCTTGTTGCCGGGACCTTGTTGCTGGGACCGTGTTGCTGGGACCGTGTTGCTGGGACCGTGTTGCTGGGACCTTGATGCTGGGACCTTGTTGCTGAGACCTGTTGCTGGATCCTTGTTGCTGGGACCTTGTTGCTGGGACCTTGTTGCTGGGAACTTGTTGCTGGGATCTTGTTGCTGGGACCGTGTTGCTGGGACCGTGTTACTGGGACCTTGTTGCTGGCACCTTGTTGCTGGGACCGTGTTGCTGGGACCTTGTTGCTGGGACCTTGATGCTGGGACCTTGTTGCTGGGACCGTGTTGCTGGGACCTTGTTGCTGGGACCTTGTTGCTGGGACCTTGTTGCTGGGACCTTGATGCTGGGACCTTGATGCTGAGACCATGATGCTGAGACCTTGTTGCTGGGACCGTGTTGCTGGGACCTTGTTGCTGGGACCTTGTTGCTGGGACCTTGTTGCTGGAACCTTGTTGCTGGGACCTTGATGCTGGGACCTTGATGCTGAGACCTTGTTGCTGAGACTTTGTTGCTGGGACCTTGTTGCTGGGACCGTGTCTCTGGGACCTTGTTGCTGGGACCGTGTTGCTGAGACCTTGTTGCTGGGACCGTGTTTCTGGGACCGTGTTTCTGGGACCTTGATGCTGGGACCTTGTTGCTGGGACCATGTTTCTTTGACCTTGTTGCTGGGACCTTGATGCTGAGACCTTGTTGCTGGGACCGTGTTTCTGGGACCTTGATGCTGAGACCTTGTTGCTGGGACCGTGTTACTGAGACCGTATTTCTGGGACCTTGTCGCTGGGACCTCATTGCTGGAACCTTCACAGTGGCCCGTCTCTGTTCGTCTCTCCCTCCCGCCAGGTCCTTGTGGCTCTTTTTCAGCTCACCCTCGGGGACTCGCTGAGCCTCACCCTCTGCTCCAGGGTGAGTTTTCCCGCCGTGCTATCGTGAGGGGGGACATGAGGGCACAGATCCCCGTCTAGGATCTTGTATATCCCCTTTCGGAGTCAACTCAGCCAATCATCCTTTTCGGGTGGATAATATATGGCACCACTTTTTGGGAGTCGGTAGCAGTTGTGCCGTGGACAAACTGGCCCCTGCCATACCATCGTGGAATTAAATTTCCACCACTGGCTCAGGGCCACCAGTGGGACGTCCTATCTGAATTAGGAAGATACTGACTTTAAACAAGAATTTGTTTAATTTCCCTCAATTTATCTCAATTGTCTGATTATCATCATGAGACAAAGCATCCAATTCGGATCTTTTGGAAAACAGTGCAACCCTCCGTGCTAGAGAACGGCGGCCATGGAAGCACAGGTCACAGAGACACCTCTGAGATCCCTTCAGGTGGCCTCTGGTCCACACACACGGTAAGGGGCTGCACTTTTCCCACCCGCTCGGCTACTGGATTCTCACACTGTTAAACGACTTCGCCCAATCATGAAAAACGATACAAAAAGGGTGCGCTGCAGGCTGAGGATTGTATCTTAATTTAGCCTATCCCCAGCTCTGAGGGCTTCTCAGTCATGAGACACAGAGCCAGTGGCGCGTCTTCATAGCTAACAAGTGATGGTGGTAAGAGAGATCCCTAAAGGATATCAGATAAAATCACATGGTGACACTTCAGTGCCTTCCGATGACTATGGATCGTGCCTTGACCAATCCATAGTTGAGGAGACCTGGTTCAGGGTTTGGCTCGTTACCCGACATCAGCAGCAGCAGTATGGTGATCAAGGGGCTCTTCCGTGATCGTGTGGATGTAAGGCGGAAGAAGGACTGACCAGATCTCCAGCACAGCCGTGTGCGAGGCATTGCAGCAAGTGACAAACACAGTCGGGTAGGGCTCATCCTGTGTTGGGATTTTTTTTTACCAATACCAGTTGCATCCTCTTCAAAGTCAGACTCACACCTCGACGTCGTGAAGGGGTGAACAGCTAAGTAAGAGATTGCCTGTTGAGGCTATGCCATCAGGGGTGACAGCCTATGACTGAATAACCACCTAGGGCGTTACGCAAGGTGGACAGGCTCAACAGGAACTCTGAAAATAGTTGGCTAACGTGGGCGGCGAAGACTTGGGCATGTTTTCTATCACTAGTTGGGCGGAGGACGACATGTTTTGGCAACGGAAGCTTGTGAAGATGGAAAAGCATATCTAGTTCAACTGGTAAAATGCTTCCTTACTGCGAGATGGAAAGATGAGGGGACCTACCATTTCCCCAAACAGCACGACGGACAATCGAGAGATGGCCCATGGTGTGGCCAACCCTTGGATCAAGGATGGCTGAAGACAAGACAAGTTGCATTGAGTCACGTAGATTTGTTAAACATGCTGGGCTGTGGGATGGCCATTATAAATCTGTCTGTGATTTTATCCATGTTGTGTAAAGTGCTTATTTGTTTGGTTGTCGAATTTCTATTTGGTTCATTGTTGTACTTAGCTGTGATGTTCATGCCATTGTCATATTGCCGATCCAGGTCACTTTTGCAATGACTCATCCTGGTCTCTTGAGTCGTCTCCTGATCAAACAAACTTGAGACGGAGTGCTCTGTCTATGCTTAAACCGATTTCTGTCAACATGTGAATCACACCCAGTGTGGTGTTGACACTGATCACTGAGAGTTGAAGGGCATTGTGTTTATATATATTTGTTATGGCATAATGTCGTGATGCAATTTAAATGCAGTGGACAATATGAAGCCCAGAAAAAAAAGATTGGTATTATTGACCACTGCAAAGGTTTTCACGGTTGTGCCATCTCTAACTCCCCCATGTATTGTCCGGGCATGGCTGACTTTGCACTCCACCTGTCATGAGATACTTCTTCAGGGACCGTGTATACAACATGTAGAATAGCAGGGCTATAATTCACTTTCTGAAGAAGATCCCCAGCATGTGGAGCAAATTGTTGGGCACCGTGCACAGCAACATGAAATGACAATGGGGCAAGAAGGGCCTAGGTTCGATTCCTGCCTCGGGCGCCTCACTGTGTGGAGTTTGTATGTTACCCTCCTGTTCAGCACGTGATTTCCTGCAGGTTTTCTGGTTTCCTCTCACAGCTAAAATTGTGCAATAGTAACTCGCATTTGGCCAAGGTTGCCATGCTAAAGAATCACTTTACCTGTAAATTGTTCAATTGCGATTACACCACACAGCGGCATCGTTACCCCCCTGTGAAAACGTGGCAGGACCCATCTCAAAGAGAAGTCTTGAGACTCAATAAGACTTTGCTGGCTGAACAAGCGTAATAATATAATTTAAAAAAATGTGTTTTTCTCCACAGTTCACAGAAGACATCTGGAGAGAGAAGCTCGTGGAGCTGAATGTCCTCGCACTGGAGCTTGGAAGGAGAGGAGTCTCGTGGGTTTCATTCTTTAAGTCTGAAGGCGAGTGCTTGTTTTCTTATTTACATTTTTAAAAATTGTGGCTCAGGTGGCCAAATGGCTCGAGCTGTGTGACATCTCTGTGGGAACCGCTGTGAAGCGGCAACCGCTGCAACACCCTGGGTGCAGAGTTTTACTCTCAAGGAGCTGACGACTTCTGCCTTTGTCACCAAGTTAATATGTGACAGTGTTTTAGGATTTAAGTCTTATCGCCTGCCCCCTGCTGGTTTAATAAAGTTTGTCGTGCACAGAGAATTTGATCTGCTCGGCGTCATCGACGGTCTTTTATAATTTAGTACATCAGTGGCCATGGACAATTCTACATTACCATCCAGCGCCCACCACCTTAAATCTAAGGACAACACAAACAGCTCCGCAGAGCATCTTTGCGTTTCGTAACTACGCCTTCATGTTACATCGCAGAGACCACCATTGCCATGTTTTTTGGATTAATGGGCCAGTGTCATCCTGCACTTAGAGCTTAATTAAAATCACAACTTGAAGAGGTTGTCTTGCTCTAAACCATTGTCTCTCCTCCGGCCACTGTGGTCTGGAATTCCACACTGCTCCCCTCGTTTGTCTGCCTCCGCAGTCCTCTCTCTGCCCCGGCCCCTCCCCCCTCTCTCTATTTAAGGCCTCGGCACAGAGTCGTTGTCCTTCCGTTTGTCTTGGTGTGTGTCTCGCTCGGCGTGTCTTTGTGTGTGCGTCTCTCTGCATGTGTGTCTGCCTACGTTGTTTCCGTGTCTGTGTTTCATCATTCATTCTTATCTGATGGTGGTTGCTTGTGTTGCAACCGAAACGTCGTATTCTATTATTATTTGATTTTATTTTCTACGTGACTTTACCGAAAGAACCAAAGAGTAAAAGACAATGAGTTATGTACTCGCCAGTGCGTTCGGTTGGAGCTTGCGTCAGATTAACCACCTTTTTTCATAAATAAATGTTCCGCGGGATGCCTTACTAACCAATGGGATTACTCTAGCCACGGATTGCCAATTAATTGATACAGTGATTAACCCTCGATGAATCGATACTCTAACGTGGCTGTCGGATCGACTGTGAGCAAAATCGGTATAATAGACACCTCGATTCAGGTTCCACAAGACCACGTATGGGCTGATCCATGCAGGAACTTCCCTCTAAGACAAAAGATTGGAATAATGAAAGAGCATTATAAGCGGCAGCGCTATTAGAGGTATGCCTGTACAGTGGTCCCTCAGTTAACGATATTAATTGGTTCCACAAAAATCATTATTAATCGAAATTATCATTCATTGAATATTGGAATGCACGTTAAAGGCTTAATTTGTTCCAAGACGATTGCAAGTTGAACTTTTTCACCATAAAAACATGGTTTCTAATATTTAAATACGTAATTTTAATTAATAAACGTTATAATAACTTATTAAAGTATATATATTAATAGAAACATGGATAAAGAAAAACATGGCCGAAATTGGCGGCCGCTTGATATTGCAAAACATATCGTTACTAGAAAATATGGGACCTTATGGGAGGCGGATCGTGAATCTAAATATCATTAATCGATGGAATCGTAAACCGAGGGATCACTGTATTGAGATGAAATAACGATTTCAGCATAATGCCAAGAATCCACAGTGATATGAGGGCCCATATTGTGGATCCCGTAATCCTTGACACATCGTGGAGGTTGAAACTAAACTCGAAACTATTTTTTATTTTACCACGCAAGTCCCACTGAGCAATGCAGCTCTTTTTCAGAAGCGACCTGGCTATCACGAATGACATTTCAACGAAGTGGATCTGAACTCCTTTCTCTATTTACAATCTTAAACCTCTCACCTTCAGTCAAACTCCCCCTCGCCTTTCACTGTTTTCAACCAGGATCAATCCACTGCTGGATGAACATCTTCCCAGGCCCACTGCCACATCTCACGAGCCCGCAACATAACAGTCCATCTTGTCTTCACATATTTTATATCGCGCCTTAACCAAGGCACTTTAGAGAGAGTTAAGAAGGGTGTACAACGTGTGTGTGTGCAACGGTGGAGATGAGGTGAATATGATTGAATAAAGAGGAAGCAATGGGGAGGGTCGGTGATGATGTGTGAATTCGGTGAAAGCAAAATTGATGAAGGTGATGATGAATGAATTGAATGAATGGGGGGAATGATTGGTTGCCATTTAATGATAATACGAAGAGGGAACAGTAGCAGTAGTGGTGGTTATGGAGGTTATAAAGTGCACATAGCCTGGCACAAGCGCCGTCGTCACGTCAGCACCACTTAGTGGCGATGGTTTTTATGAGGGGGAGATTAAGGGGTCAGTGTACACGAACTGATTTCATAATTTCATCTCCTAGATGTGCATCCTCTCGGATGTTGTTCCCTGAACCTTGCCTCACCCTCTTCCCTTCTTCCCGACATGCCACCCCGTGCAGCAGTGGAGTCCAGGTTGGACTTTGGGCGATGGAGAAACCTCAACTCGGATGCGCTGCTTAAGGGAGCCCCGGTGATCTTCTTAAGGTGTGATATGACCACAGTCTTGCTGCTCCATGTCTGTCATTACTTTCTCTGTCTACTTAACGACACAATATGTGTTGCAGCATTGTATGTATTAAAGCTCTTGGCATTTATGAAGACCACCAGCTCAACAGAACTGAATTTGTGGTCATTTTGCCATTTTTACACCACTAATAATTTAGAAGTAATGAAAACTATTAAAATACCGTACATTGAGGGAGTAGCTGATAAACTCGCCAGATGTTTGGAAAAACAAAACATCTGAGTCAGATTTGGCACGGTACAGAAAATACAGAAAGTAATATCTGGTACAAAAGATGTATTACCGAAGCTATCAACAGGTGTGTAGCGGATTAATTGCACTTGTGGCAAATGTTATGTTGGGCAAACAGGATGAATGAGCAGCACGAGACTAAAAGAACAACGAAATAAATATTAAATTCTCCCAAATACAATTGTCAGCAGTATCAGAATACACGTGCCAACAAAAGAGTTACTACTGGCCAAGAATAATTATAAAATCTATCGAAATTGAAAGAAATAAAAATAATTTTAACCGTTCGAATTGCTACCGACTTAGTGTTGCTTGGAAGCAAATAATCAAATAATACATTGTTTAAATACATGCCTATACAGACCATCATACTTCAATAGGGATTACCTATGGTACGACTATTTTAATACACACAATGGACAGGAAGTACAAGATCAATGGGCTCACGTAATATGCATTCATAATGTACGTTGATTCATTAAGCCCCCCCCCCCCCACTTTGCGAAAGAAGAGCGGACAAGTGTTGTCATCACATCTATGCCTCTTTTTAAGGAACGGAACAGGTGGACTTCTCCACAAATGTGGCTGTCGCCTGATGAAGCTGGTTGTAATTACTGGCGAAACGTCATACTCAGATTATAAATGTTGTGGCTTGGCTCTCCAAAACACCGGTGTTCTGTACTAGTGACGAATTGGCACGTTCTGTTTACGTGACAACCCTTACTAATTGGCTGTGTAGGGTGGTGGCGGGTTTAACAACACATTTATATATTTATGCGATCTAACCCCAAAAAACCCTGTATTATGGATGATATTGGTCGCGAAAGCCTACGTGTTAAAAAGTGGAATACAGCGTTTGTTACGTATTGGAATACAATTTTAGTTTTTTTTTTATCTTGTTGGCCACGTGGTCAATGTGTGGATCTTGAAGGACAATTTTGAGTCCATGATAATGCCGAGATATCTAAATTTATAAATCTGTTCGATAAGGTGTGAGTCCAGCGAGCCACAATATGCACAGGTGGCAAGACAGGTTTGGGGCAGCCGGAGTAATAACATAAATTTGGTCTTTTTAACATTGAGGACCAGTTTTAGGGCATATAAGTTGAAGTTAAAGATGATCGAAGTGCTGTTGTAGATGCTCATGACATTTCCAGAGGCCATCGGCGTTGTCATCAGAAGAAATGTTGAGGTCAGTGCAGAGATTGGAGATGCCTAAATTGTTATTGTATATAGAAAACGGGATAGGAACAAGCACAGAGCCCTGAGGAACTCAATATCAAACTATTTAAACTATTTTACCAGGTAAGTACCACTGAGCTATATAGCTCTTTTTTAGAAGTGACCTGACTACACAAATGAGAGCTCAACGAAGTGACTAATCATGTGGAGATGTATTAGAGCCAAATACTCTAAAAGCATGATTCTAAATATGGAGGAGAAAACCGGAGGACTCGGATAAAAATCCACATGACCACGAGAACATGCAAACTACAAATATACAGCAGGCATCAGAATAAAATACCATGACCTCCTGTATACCAGGCGAGGCAGTTAACATCTCGCAACGTGCCCTCATTTGTCAGCAAATGCATTGTTGATGGAGACAATTTGAAATTACAAATCTTGTTGATTGCACAATTTTAAAAACTGAGGCATTTTAGCCTTTTCAACATTACAGCATGATTCACAGTGTCAAATTCTCCAAGGAAGTTGAGAAATAAGACGGAAAGATTGTAACGAGTTTCAAGGCTAAAATCCAGATTGCTTAGAAACAGGGCATATTGTGAGATAAAATTTGTTGTTTGTGATTTTAAGATCTTTTCAAAGCCCTTGATGAGAGGGGAGAGGATTGAGATAGGGCAATACATATTTAGGGTCTTTTGCACTTTTAACGAGTGTATAAGAGCAGTTTTCCATTCACGGTGGGTGGGGGGGGGTGCGGAAGGATGCCTCTGGAATGTCAATGTTGGATTGTGGGCTCTCAGTTTTACCATGAAGTTCTCCAAAAGATGGAGGGGAAATGGCGTGCAGGCCATCGGCACCATCACCAGAGGCAGTTTTTTTTAGTTTAGCATGGAGAGCAAGGTTAGGACTTCAAAATCCGAGATTGGGAAGAAAATCAATTTCTGGCTAGGAAGGTGGGGGAGGGGAGTGAGGAGGGCTTGAGCCAAGAGGCAGGTGATTGGCCATTACACAAGGCTGGGTATTGGTGTTGAGGATGCGGCCTGCAGATGCAACACGTGTGTGTAACTTAAACCCAATCAAGATTATGGTTTTAATCAGAAGAGGCAACTGCCATTGAGCAAAAGCCTCAGTGGGGACATTGTAGTCACACGTTTTATCCCTCAAGGGTCTTTCTTGGCTTTCCAAAAAGCCATGGGATCATCTTTGAATCCAAGAGGGCATATCCTAAAAGGGACGGTTTACAGTCTGCCGAACTTGGTGCAGTGGTTCCCTTAGAACTCTATATTTGATTCAGTTTGAGTTCAAACCAAAATTTTTCTTAGCAGGTTTCCAAGCTGTGTTTCTGGAGTGGGACGAGCTGGACAATGTCTGTGTTGAACCAGATTACTTGATTCCTCCTGACTAAATTTGTTTTAAGGGGCATGTTTGTTAACGATAGAAAAGGAAGGTATTTCGGAAGAAAAATCAAGCGGTGGCCAATATGGGAAATTCACGGACGTAAGGTACCTCCGATTAGCACAGTTGCCAACGTACTGTGCAAAATAAATTCTAAATACATTCATATCAGAATTCGTGACATCGTGGATGAAGGCCTGATGTTCAAATGATTGAATACATCATGCATGTACATTATGCATGTACATTGTACATGTATTCATAGTAAAGGTCTTTGGGTTTGATCACATAAGTATAAATGTGTCATAACCCTCCACTACCTGACACATGTAAACAATGCTCCAATTAGTTACTACTTCAGCCTACCGGTGTGTTGGAGAGTAAATCCACAACATTTACAATTTGAGCACGGGGGGGGGGGGGGGTGGGGGGGGTGGAACGTGCCTCCCCAATGATTCTATCGAAATTAGGGATTTCGATCGGAGTTTATTCGTAATAAATCGGCATTTTGCGACCCCCACTGCCACTTTGTAGCATATTATTATATGCCAGGGACTCTATGAGATGATAGGACAATAGTCTGAGTCCATAATTGGCAATAAGTAACGGCAAAGCAGCTATAAGTGACTCAGAATTGTGCGCATTTGCGTATACAGTACTTCCCTGAAGGCATTCACCTTCAGCGAGCGCGATGCTGATCACACAACACGGTTCGAATTCGACCCTCGATCGATGGCTGCGCCATCGCCGCACACGCGTTGAATAAAAAGCAAGGGACAAGTCCTTACTTACTAACAACTTCTCTATCATTTTTCATTGCTGGAGGGGTTGCCCCCCCCCTACCTGAAAATCCTGGCTCCGCCATTGAATTTGAGTACGACATTTCGCTTGTAATTACATCCAGCATCAGGCGATTTGCCAGAACCTAAAAACCTTTATTACGAATAATATTGGTCGAGAATGCCTACGTGTTAAACATTATGCATGTACATTGTACATTATGCATGTGTAGTGACATAGAATGGATCACTACGGCGCGTAGCACTGGATACAATTGAATAAGGAAATATGGGTGTAGCAGCCAACACAGCATGTAATACCACACAGTGAGTCGCTCGGGTGCGTGGTGCTGGCTGCTGGCAGGGAGGGGCATATGAGTCCTACAGACAGAGCATGGTATAGCAAGCTATGCCACCTACACAGCAGGTAATGCCATGTAGTGGGTCACTAGGGGGCGTGATACTGGCTGCTGGCAGAGAGGGGCACGTCACCCCGGCCGGCTGGCAAAGCTCGTGATGGGTGAAGGATGTAGGGCAAAGGTGACCGAGGGGACATGGGGAGCATGGCCCAGGACCTTCTGGAGGGTTCCAGGAGGGGGCGTGGTTAAGAGCGGAGCCGGGCAGGTGGCACGTGGAGGTCAGCCCAGGACCTCCTGGAAGGTTCTAGAAGGGGGTGTGGCCGAGGGCAAAGACAGGCCACGCTGAGGGGCATAAAAGGGAAGCCCCGAGGCTGAATCTGGGCTGTCTACAGGTGGAATGGAACCCGAGGTGCTACGTCTTCGTCTCCGGCGTCGTGGGTCAGACAGCATGTTGGCTGCTCTGACTCGTAATTAGTTATCCCGTGTGTGAACAGTGTGTCAGATATATAGTGTAGAATAAACGTTGTTGCCTCCTAAAATAGTGTCTCAGAAGTAACTCACTACATATGTACATTATGTATGTGTAGTGATGCCGACACACCACACGTTATTGTTTTATTAAGAGCCTTTATTCGGACACGACTCTATTTATAGGCCCGGGCTTCGATTCTTGAGACTTGAACTTCGTCTTCTCTCCAACCGTCCCCTCCCCTTGTGCTGTCCCCTTTTATATTGTCCGAGCCCCCTTTCTGGAAGCTTCGCTGACCCCATTTCTTTCAGCCAATCCTCGTCCTCCTCCTCCAACGGTTGTCAATCGTCGCCCCTACAGTCAACTTTAATTCCCCGCCTTTTACGTTTTAATCTCTCCTCCAATTTACTTGAATCTCTTATCCTAACCAATCGTCTTTGAGGCCTCCCTGCACCAATCAGAGGCCTTGATTTACTTCGTGACTGTTCATTCACATGTACGCTTATGTGAGGTAAGTAGTCTGTTGCCTCGGTCATTACATATGTATATTACATATGTATATTACACATGTGCATTATGCATGTGCATTATGCATGTGCATTACTCATGCGCATTATGTATGTGCATTCTGCCGTTGTGTCCAAAAATCGCAGTACCTGTGTAGTGGGCACAAACGGGGACACTAAGACGTACAGTTTAGAGGCAGCACATTTATTTAACCAACGCGCTAACACAAAGGGGTAACTGCCCCTTTACCAGATATTAACATATGGTGGTGGTCCACCAGGCTAACTGCGCTGACTGCACTGGGGGTAGCTGCGACGGACAGGGACCCCAGCTTGGGTCCAGGTCCCGTGGGTAGCACGTAGATTTCTTCAGGATCGCAACAACAGCCGGTCCCACTTGGAGACCTGCTTTTATCCCCCGTGCCGGGGCTCGCTCTGCCCCTAGCCACGAACCCCTTCTCGAACCGTCGAGAAGGATCCCTACTGGACACGTCCCCCCAGCACCCCTTTTGGGGGTCCTCGGGTAGACGCCCCCAGTCACATGTCCTCCGGGTTCAACTAGAGTGCCATGGCCCTGTGGAACCCCGTTCCCCGACCCGGCACCCACCCCTTGCACCCAATCCTCTAGGGCTGGCATTGCCCCCAGCGCAGGGTGCCACTGGTTGCTGTCGGTCTGTGCTCCTTGAGCTCCACTGGGGCAGGTACTGCTTCTGCCTTCGGTGGTGTCTGTGTTGAGAGGACATTGTGTGGCGTGCCTTTACCAGGCTGGCCACACACACAGCGACATCCAGCGATGTCGCTACACCTGTTATCGGCTGCACACAATTAATCAACGTCGACGTTGGTGACCTATATAGGCATGCACAGTCTAGTAGTATCACTTGATAATATGCTTCCAAGCAGCACTACGCTTGTAGCTATCAGAACGGGTAAACTTTTTTTTATTTCTCTCAATTTCAATAGATTATATCATTAGTCTTGGCCAGTCATAACTAGTTTTGCACAAAACCTCCACATTAGACGTAATCTCGCCCGATGAGTAGGAGGAGCAAAACTTGCAGCTTACTGAAGGATTTTCGATTATAGAAACAAGAGGGCCCTTCATCACATTGGTTTAGTAGAACAGGGAGGACCCGTTAGGAGAAGTAGACATGTGGGCAAGTAACATGTAGAATAATGAAAGGGAGAGTGTGGGAAAAGGGGACTTAAAGAAGAGAGAGAGAGAAAGGGGAGGTGCACGGTTGGGAGGAGGGATTGGAAAGTATGGGAGAAAGGAAGAGGGAGTAGGTGGAGATAATGGAGGGAAGGATGGCAGAAAGGTAGGAGGGGTGAAAGGGAGGGATAGTGCAGGGGAAAGAGGGTAGGGAAGGTGTGTGACGGAGGGGGATGATGAGAGAGGTAAATTTGGAGCAGGAGGGGAGGGAGAGAAGCGCAGAGAGATAGAGGATGCCTTAGTGGGAGACAATGAGCAGAGAGATGGCTGGGGTCAACGAACATTTTCAGACGGTCCAATAAAATGGCTTAAGAGTTACCTTTCAGACCGTTCTCAAAACATTCAGAGTGATAACATCTCGTCCACAAACATTAAAATAGCAAAGAGTGTGCCACAAGTTTCCGTGTTGGGTCAAATTCTGTTCTTATTTAAACAATCTTGGACTGAACTGAAATCACTCAAAATGAAATCTCTTTGCTGATGACGCTGTTATGGTAGTATAAGGTAAATTTCTAAGTGACGTATCACTCAAATTGCTCCCAAATCCCCCAGTTGAATTTCCCTTCACTTATGACAGATATGAGAAACAACATCATTGAACAAACGGAGTGCTTTAAATACTGGGGTGCCGTGGTGGCTAGAAGATGTTAACTACCTCGCTCGGTATACAGGAGGTCGTGAGTTCGATCCCGACCTATTGCCTGTATATTTGAGGTTTGCATGTTCTCTCCGTGGTTGCGTGGGTTTTTCCCTCCACACATTTCGAAACGTGTTTAGATTATTTGGCTGCTATAAATCTGCACGTGACAAGCCACTTCATTAGGCGATCATTTGTGGCCAGGTCACTTCTGAAAAAAAGCTACATGGCTCAGTGAGCCATACCTGGTAGAATAAAAATTGTTTTCTTTTTTTGAAAGAGTTTAGTTTTTTTGTTTACTTGGAAGTGGCGGTGCTACGGTTAGCGCTGCAGCGCCTACAACTTGGTGGCTCAAGATCGATTCCCTGCTCAGTCGATTGGCAGGTCTTGTGTGGTGGGCTAAAGTGTGGGTATGCCCACCTCTTCCAAGATGTCTGGCTAGCGCGAAAAACAGACCAAATACCCTCGAAGCTTCCTCCATTAAAGGCCCTTCTGCCAGCAGTGGTGTTAGCGAGCAAGCAATTGAAGGGGTTGCATGGCCCTGATAAAATAAAAATTCTTTAAAATCCAGGTGAGGCTCTCCTGGGTAAACGAGTGTTATAGTAACAACGTGGTGTATGCACACATGGAGTGAACTTGTGCTCTCGTTACGGGACTGTTTCTGGTGCTGGGCAGCTTGCTGGAGGCTCTTGTGGGCACGTGGCTGGGGGGGAGCTCCGAACCGGCTCTGCAGCCAACTGTGACTGACGTGGACCTCCTGGTGGTGGCCGTGGAGATGCACTCATCCCTCGCCTCCCTCTTCGCATCCCCGCAGAGAGAGAGCACAGGCAGCCTGCATTTGTCAGACACGGTGTGTTCTATTTCGCTCGCTACTCACTCGCTCGTCCACCCACCGCTCATGGACTACCCTGTTGTCTTGCCGTCGGACTCGCCGGAGGTGAAACTTCTTTCTCGAACTCAACGCAAGAGCCTCACGATGTCGCGACAGGGAACGGGCCCGGAAGGTGACGTCACACAGACGCACTGATGATGCGTCTGTCCAATTGGCATTTTTTTTTAATCCAGCTCCACAATGAGGCTCACTCGCACTTTATGCAGTGGCATTTCAACGGAGTTCTTCGGGATGAATGCTCTCTGCTCTTTTGGTTCTGAAATCTTTTGTGATCTTGACTTAAAACTTTCATGAGTGCAGGAATTCATATTCTTTGGGTCTTTTGGTAAAGTCACGTAGATAGGTTCAAATTAATAAAAATTAACTACGACGTTGCGATCACAACACCAGCGATTGTCATCAGGAGGAAGAAAGAGGGGGGAAGCTGCTGAGGCACAGACTGTTTTTGACGGTCTACTTCAGCAGCTTCCCCCTCTTTCGTCGTTTCTTGTTACTTTTATTTTTATTAATTTGAACCTATCTACGTGACTTTACCGAAAGACCCAAAGAATATAAAAATGTTGTGGTACAGACTTTCAGACAAACAGTTGTGGAAACACTGAAACATTGATTTAAAATGTTATACCTTTAGACATGCATGGCCAATATTATAAACAATTAGTTTGTTCACTTGGTGGCAGTGATACCATGTGTACTCCCAATTGACACATTTTGCGGGTAGTTTTTCAGCATTTTGAACCATAATTTTTTTGTCATACTTTGATACTGCCAAAACAGGTCTCTTGATATAACTGCACAACCCAAGCTAGAAGTGTTCTGATGCGTGCATTGTCTGTGTACTGTTCGCCATTTGGTGTCCTCTGCTCTGACACTGGTGGTGATACGAGGCCATAAAGAAGGTGTAGGCCAATCAGTTTCAAAGACAATGCAAGTATATTATTCTCAGAGCAAGTTTGTTTGCATGTTCACCACGTACTGTGTGTGGTTAATGCAGACTTGATTCCTTGTAAAAGTTTTCTGTTTTGTGTTTAAACATCTTAACACAACTCTTGTTTTATTGCCAGAAAGGGTAAAACCTTTTCTTATTTTTCATAGCATTGGAAATGTTGGCCAATATCTATGGGGGATGGGGGGAAGTCGACAACCCTGAGGAAACCCATGCAGAAGAGGGGCAGAACAAACACACTCCACACAGGGGCTCGAGTTGAGAATCAACCCCAGGCCCTCCTTGCTATGAAGCACAAGTCATACCACTTTGTCTTACCACCGTGTCACCATCATTCTCACTGTAGTACTGTAGTCCTTCGGTTAACAGTGACATCGGTGAACGGTTTATAGGTGAACTTTTCGCCTTGTCTAGGACGCCCCCCCACCCCATGGTATCGATTCACGTTAACATTTTGACTAGCGGTACGCTTACGTTATGCACGTGGGCGCCAATTTCGGCCAATCCCAGTGCTCGTAAGTAGGGCTGAGCCATGCCCTCAGCCAATCAGCGACGCCCATTCATGAGCGGTAAGTCCTCAACTGGCTTTGTTTACATTACGTCTTATGATTTAAAGCTTTCGTGACTTGCAGGGATTCATATTCTTGGTTCTTTCGGTAAAGTCACGTAGAAGGGAAACAATAAAATAATAAAAATATAAAACAATAAAATTCCCACGACGTTTTGACTGCAACACAAGCAATCATCATCAGGTGTGAAAACCAACTTTTTAAAAAAATTCTTGCTGTGGTTTTCACACCTGATGATGATTGCTTGTGGTGCAGTCGAAACGTCGTGAGAATTTTATTGTTATATTTTATTATTTTATTGTTTCCCTTCTATGTGGTGACTTTACCGAAATAACCAAGAATATTACGTCTTCTGTTTTAGCATTGGAAACAGCTATCTTGCAGACTCGGTGATTTTTACTTATTTTAAACTGAAAAATGAATTCGATTAACAGTTATTTCAGTTAACAGTAGTTTTCGTGGAACAGATTAAAAAGCGTTAAGCGAGGGACTTCTGTTTTCTCACTCAGTCTTTCTCCGGGCAATCCACTTCCTTCATTCTCACCAAACTCGTCTCCTGTCTGCAGTTCCTGCCGTTGGATCTGATTCACAGGAGCAAGCAGCTGCTTTTGAGGCTCGTTCCCCGGTGCCCCTGCCCAGCGCGCACACACGAGGCAAGTCTTGTCAGCCGCATCTTAATCCACCAGCCACATTCTTTACATGTTAGAAACGTAATCCAAATCATGCTGTTGGTGTCTTGCCATGAGACGTAGTCATCTTGATTTGAAGCTTTCGTGACTGCAGGAATCCATACTCTTTGGTTCTTTCGGTAAAGTCACGTAGGTATAAAATAAAATAAATCATGACGTTTCGGGCGCAACACAAGCGTCCGTCATCAGGTGGGAAAGCGTGGTCTGCTGCTGAGGCAGACTGTAGTATCCATTCGGATCTCTTGCAAAGCAGTGGCAACCCTTCGTGTTCGAGAACAGACTAAATATGTACATATTTTTTACTTCTTTCACATTGTACATAGCGAACCATCGCCAATCAGAGGTGCGGGGGAAGGACAACAAACTAAACACAAAAAGCACTACAGAATTTAATATCGTAGAGCCCTCTGGTTCTTTCGGTAAAGTCACATAGAAAGAAAAATACATTAAATAATAGAATACGACGCTTCAATTTCAACACAAGCAGTCGTCATCAGGTAGAACAAAATTTGAGAGAGAGACAAAACACAGACACGGAGACACACAGACACACAAGCAGAGAGAGACAACAGAGACACACAGAGAGAGACACACAACATAGACACACAGAGACCAAATGCCTCTGTGTCGTGGCCTTAAATAGAGAGGGGGGGGGGGCAGAGAGAGGTGGGTCTGCTGGAGCAGAGAAATTAGCATGTCAATGAGAGAGTTGTGTGGAAATCCACCCCGAAGCGGCCGGGGGAGAGAAAGAGTGAATGGACCGATGAGAGCCTCGTACATTTAGAGAAAGAAATAGGAAGTTTGAGAAAACAAACTTAGAATTTTTTTGGAAATGTAATGCAATGCAACGCAGAGAGTTGGCTTACACACAGTTATAGCTCTTTGAGATCCACACGGCACTTTTCCTCCTGATTTTCCATATTAAAGTAATGTTCATCGCATGACAGTAAAACTAATAAAATCACTTGCTAGAGCTGGAAAGCAGCCAAAATTAAGCACAGACCATGGAATGTGTTTTGTGCAGTCATTGGGGACCATTGCTAGAATCATGATCTCACAACACTTGATAATCGGGTTTAAGCACAGGCAACTGCTGGAATTCAAACCAGAATCTCAACGGTGCCAGCTCAGTGTCTCTGAGCCACTTGGCCACCTGCTTCATCCTTAGCAACATTCAAAAGTTGATCACTCAAAGATTGCATCCAAATTATTCTGATGATGCCGATGGAGCATTATAAACAATGACTCGTTGATGATAGAGCGCCCATTACGCCAGGACAGCTCAGAGTAGTGCCTGCGATAAGTGACTTGCAGCACGTCTCAAATATTATAAAAGGGGACCCCGCAGTGGCAGCTGTCCCTATGTAGCACAAGGTGACTCAGCACCTAGCTAGCAAGCAGTCGTTACTCTCCCAGTAGGGGGGGGTTGATTGCTTTGTTTGGCAAATTTGAACCGTTATGCCAACATACAATGGCCTACAATTTTGAATGACGCCAGGGGATCTTTAACATCCACTGTGAAGCAGATGGTGTGTAGTATTTATGGTTAATTATACCCTAGATTTAATACACAAAGGTGTGCATTTCACGCACATAACTCTCAGCCTTAACCAGACCACCATCTCAAAATACACCCCAATAACCAGGGCAGCGTGCTGCATGTGAACCGCAAACGATGCAGCACCATTCACAAAAGGCCCGCACTTCGCTTCAGATTAAATAAACCAGACTTTTTAAAACACTTAAATACAACTGAATAAAAACCCTTGAAATAAAACGCAATGGAAACCCTAAACAAAACAAAAACCCCTGTAAAATAAAACTAAAAAGAAAAAAGCAATGTAAAAGGCACATAGCCTACACAGATGGGTATGCAAGAGAACCCGAATAGGTTTCAAAACGATACCCAAAAGACTCAACGGACTGCGAGTTTCTAATGTTCTAGAGAAAAGTGTTCCACAAATGAGGTTCATGGCTGCTGAAGACTCTTATTGATCGCAACTTTGTCTAAGGCACACACCCAGGTTTTCTTGTTATCCGCGGACTGACGTCGCTGCACAAAGGAGTAAGGTTTCAGCAGATCAATGAGGTGTATGGGAGACAATCCCCTTCAGGGCCTTGAACATCAAACCAAAAACTGTATTCACTCAATCCATTTATTATCATTTACCGTCATCAATTTTGCTTTTACCAAATTCATGCATCATTACGGACTCGCCCCCATTGCTTTCTCTCTCATTTATTTTATTCAACCTCATCTCCACCGTTGCACACACACACACACACACGTTTTACACCTTTCTTAACTGTCTGTAAAGAGCCTCGGTTAAGGCGCTAAATAAATTACGTTAAGATAAGATTACATCAAAATAGAAAATACTTTCGAAACCTCTTTACTGTCAATCCCATGCAGGTGGCCTTCATTATGTCTTGAGCAGGAGGAACCTGTGACAGAAACGTGAAGACCTATAACCTTGGTGTTTCTGTGTCTGGTGTTCACTGCAGACGTGGCTGACAGCTGTTGACCCAGAGCTAAGGGCTGCCCTGGACCACTTCTCGCAGAGAAGCTGACATGGAAGCACAAAAATCCTCCCGTCTGTGCCCATGAGCACACCAATTTCAGCTGGCCCACCGAGTGGGCTGCAATGGTGGCGAGATGTTCACTACCTCGTCTGGTATACAAAAGGTTGTGGGTTCGATCCCAAGCCTGACGCCTGCTGTATATTTGGAGTTTACGTGTCTCTCTCCCTGTGATTGCATGGATTTTTATCCAGGTCCTCTGGTTTTCTCCCTCCACATTTAGAATCAACTTGCATTTAGAGTCTTTGTCTGCCATACATTTCCACGTGATAAGCCACTTGGTCGAGCTATCATTTGTGGTCAGGTAGCTTATGAAAAAAAGCTACATAGCTCAGTGGGCCTTACCTGGTAAAATAAAAAAAGGTTAGTTTAGTTTACTCTGGCTCGGGTCCTGTTCGTGTTGTGGGGCCACTTTAGAGTCATAAGAGATGCTTTCTAATACCACTCCGGGATAAACTGGAAATCAAATGAGTGGCATTCATGAAATAAACAGTACCCACACATTTCTCTACAAATGCTCACATGTGATTATTCATGCGGTGGTCACTGACACGCTCTGATCACCATTGAAATCCGTCTTGTACAAGACACCCCAAACATGTAATGAATCAATCAAACAATTTGACGAATTATTCCCCGAGGGGCAGGACGTGGGTGAGGTGGATGTGGGTCAACTGACCAACCCATGTGGCTCCCTCTGCATTCGTCCATGTAAAAAAGTTTCTGCTGCTTGGTGCATCATAAAATATTTCGTCTCAATAAAGCGGCTTTAACATACGTGAGAAAGCAGAGGCACACCGTCTAACGTTAATAGGGACACAAGTTCGTCCTATCGTGTAGTTTTCTTCTCGTCAAGAGTCTATATTGCCATTTGCAGATTAACATTAAAAAGATACCACTCTGTTAAAGAGGGTTCGAGGGAAGAGGACGATGACTTGGATGAGGTGCCCTATCGAACCAGAACGGTCTAGAAATTAAAGATGAGCCTTACACAGCAGTGGATGAGGCATTTGGCTAAGCATTTCCTTCATGAGGACATAGAGCTGTAGAGAAAGTTGTTGTTGATAGGCTTGGAAGTTTTACCTACTCACTCAGGCAGTAGATAAAACATATAAGCTAAATATGCAACCGGTCTATGATGAACCAGCTCCCTTAAAAGCCAAGTGCTTCCCCTTGGATCGGCATATGCCAGACATGCTGCGCTATTAGAGGGGGGAAGCTGGGAATTTCTTCTTATAATTCCTGGGGTGGTCGAGAAGAAGTACAATAATGACCAGAGGAGGCTTTAATGCTACTTCAATAAGTGGAGTCAGCCATAGCTCAGTGGATTATGCTGCATAAAACCCTCAGTCACAGAGGACCCAAGTTTGCTGTTACACGATATGTAAGACAAGGCCACAGAGAAGTAATCTTAAAAAAGGCATTTGGCTGCCAATGCTTCTCTTAAATCTGGGGCTTGTGGCCTATCTATTTGGAGAAATTGACCCAGAAGGTCATACTGAAGTTCAAGAGCATAGTCAAGTACCCCCGGTCCCCCCCCCCTTTCTCCCTGCCTTGCGTTTGCTAGAGGAGAGGGGGAGAACATGCGAGCCAACGACGGCTCTTGACGGTGGATCACTCAGCTCGTGCATCAATGAAGAACGCAGCCAGCTGTGAGAAATAATGTGACTTGCAGGACACATTGATAATCGATACTTGGAACGCACATTGCGGCCCCAGGGGCCACGCCTGTCTGAGGGTCACCCATTTATCAATCGCTCTCCTGCTCAAAAGTGGGTGGTGTGCAACTGGGGTGTCGCTTCGTTCCCTGAAGGGGAGAGACAGCGGACTGACACACGGCGGCGGGTGGCGCCGCGTCTGCCGCGCTCAACGGTGGGCCGCAGGAGAGAGGCGTGAAGCCGGTGGACGCGTCCGGTGCCCTCGCACATGCTGGAGATGTGCGTCTGTGCTGAGCCCCGTCGCACTCGTGTGTGCGGGCCGGCCCTCGGGCGCTCTCCGTGTGCGAGTCCCTGTGACTTGCGCGTCGCGGTGCGACCTCAGATCAGAGATGGTGACCTGTTGAATTTAAGCTTATTGCTAAGAAACTAACCAGGATTCCTCCAGTAATGGCAAGTGAACAGGGAAGAGCCCATCGACCCAGTGAGTAGCACTGAACCCTATGGGAGCCCAAGTACATAACACTGATCCATACTCTTTGGTTCTTTCGGTAAAGTCACGTAGGTAGGAAAAATAATAGATTATGACGTTTCGATCGCAACAACAAGCGACCGTCTTCAGATGAGAGAATCAGACTGCTGTGGACGAGGCATTATATTGACCCGAGAGGGGGGAGGAGGGGGGGTTGCCGCATCGGTCAAGAGGGTGGGGCCAGCGATTGTGGGAGATGGACTGTAGGACATGAGCATGAGAGTGCAATCCAAAGGACACGTGAGCACGAGAGTGCAATCCACAGGACATGTGAGCATGAGAGTGTAATCCAAAGGATATGTGAGCATAAGAGTGCAATCCAAAGGACATGTGAGCATGAGAGTGCAATCCACAGGACATGTGAGCATAAGAGTGCAATCCAAAGGACATGTGAGCATGAGAGTGTAATCCAAAGGACATGTGAGCATGAGAGTGCAATCCATAGGACATGTGAGCATGAGAGTGCAATCCACAGGACATATGAGCAAGACAGTGCAATCCAAAGGACATGTGAGTATGAGAGTGTAATCCACAGGACGTGAGCATGAGAGTGCAATCCAAAGGACACGTGAGCATGAGAGTGCAATGCAAGAGATCGGCTGTAGGGTGGGGAGAGAAGGGGGCGGGAAAGGGAAGAAAGTGGGTCTCTGCAGCAGCACTTGAGTCACTGGGGGAGAGATCTAAGAGAGAGAGAGAGCCACAGAGAGTCGGAAATAACAGTTGACATAGGCAGGTAGGATGGAAACATCACAGTCAGTTAAGACTTTACCTGGTTCATAACGTCTTTCCAATGATTAAGTTGTGTATGTGTTTATATATCTGAATGGCTTCATGAACAAATCTCTGATGATTGCAGTGGGTTTGTAGAGTACCTTCATCTTGGAAAAAAACATTTCGTGAGCCCACAGCGTTAAAACAATGATCAGCAACGGCAGAGGTATTGGTCCTACCGTGTTTCAGATTTGCCTTGTGTTCACGAACACGGTCCAAGACATGTCGTTTCGTTTCTCCAGTTCTTTGGATTGCACTCTCATGCTCACATGTCCTTTGGATTGTACTTTCATGGTGCTAATCTCTCATTAACACTGCTGTTGTGCGCATATGCGGGCATGATACTCTTATGCGGCGACGGAAGCTCATGCTAATCTCCCTCCCTAATCCCTCTCTCCCTAATCTCTCTCTCCCTAATCTCCCCCATTAACACAACTGACGTGCTTGCGTCCGTGGATGGAATTCCTTTCCAGCTCAGTCCCCGCTTGCTTGCCCATCGCCACGTAAATAACCTCTTGTTGTAACAGCTCTCTCGCTGGTTCAGCAGTTCCACTGCTGGATTATATTTCTCCGCCTAAAGACGACCGCGCTTGTGTGCGCGCGCGCGCGTCCATGTGTGCGTCTGACAGTCTCCTTTTCCAGGTAAACAGGCAGCAGCACGAGTGGTCGGCCGGAGCGAGCGACGACTTGTCCGATGCCATTTCTGATAAATACTGCTCCGTCAACGAAATGGTAGCGTTGCACGTTCATTTGACATTTCTTTGTTGTAAACTGTGAATTTGTTTTTTTTTGTATGTGTGCTGTTTACGTGTGTTTTGGCTTGCATGTGTTATACATGGTGTATACATTCCTTATAATGGGGGGCAATAGTGTAGCGGTTAGCGCGCTGCGCTACGAACTTGGCAGATAGGGAGTACAGTAATACCTCGACGTATGAAGCAGATGCGTTCCTGGAGCTTCGTTTGTATGTATCGAAACTTTGTAACTACAGTGAGGGAAAAAAGTATTTGATCCCCAGCTGATTTTGTACGTTTACCCACTGACAAAGAAATGATCAGTCTATAATTTTAATGGTAGGTTTATTTGAACAGTGAGAGACAGAATAACAACAAGAAAATCCAGAAAATCGCATGTCAAAAATGTTATAAATTGATTTGCATTTTAATGAGGGAAATAAGTATTTGACCCCCTCTCAATCAGAAAGATTTCAGGCTCCCAGGTGTCTTTTTTACAGGTAACGAGCTGAGATTAGGAGCATACTCTTAAAGGAAGTGCTCCTAATCTCAGCTTGTTACCTGTATAAAAGACACCTGTCCACAGAAGCAATCAATCAGATTCCAAACTCTCCACCATGGCCAAGACCAAAGAGCTCTCCAAGGATGTCAGGGACAAGATTGTAGACCTACACAAGGCTGGAATGAGCTACAAAACCATTGCCAAGCAGCTTGGTGTGAAGGTGACAACAGTTGGTGATTATTCGCAAATGGAAAAAACACAAGAACTGTCAATCTCCCTCGGCCTGGGGCTCCATGCAAGATCTCACCTCGTAGAGTTGCAATGATCATGAGAACGGTGAGGAATCAGCCCAGAAATATACGGTAGGATCTTGTCAATGATCTCAAGGCAGCTGGGACCATAGTCACCAAGAAAACAATTGGTAACACACTACGCCGTGAAGGACTGAAATCCTGCAGCGCCCGCAAGGTACCCCTGCTCAAGAAATACATATACATGCCCGTCTGAAGTTTGCCAATGAACATCTGAATGATTCAGAGGACAACTGGGTGAAAGTGTTGTGGTCAGATGAGACCAAAATGGAGCTTTGGCATCAACTCAACTCGCCGTGTTTGGAGGAGGAGGGGGAATGCTGCCTGTGACCCCAAGAACACCATCCCCACCGTTAAACATGGAGGTGGAAACATGCTTTGGGGGTGTTTTTCTGCTAAGGGGACAGGACAACTTCACCGCATCAAAGGGACGATGGACGGGGCCATGTACCGTCAAATCTTGGGTGAGAACCTCCTTCCCTCAGCCAGGGCATTGAAAATGGGTCATGGATGGGTATTCCAGCATGACAATGACCCAAAACACATGGCCAAGGCAACAAAGGAGTGGCTCAAGAAGAAGCACATTAAGGTCCTGGAGTGGCCTAGCCAATCTCCAGACCTTGATCCCATAGAAAATCTGTGGAGGGAGCTGAAGGTTCGAGTTGCCAAACGTCAGCCTTGAAAACTTAATGATCTGGAAAGAGGAGTGGGATAAAATCCCTTCTGAGATGTGTGCAAACCTGGTGGCCAACTACAAGAAACGTCTGACCTCTGTGATTGCCAACAAGGGTTTTGCCACCAAGTACTGTCATGTTTTGCAGAGGGGTCAAATACTTATTTCCCTCATTAAAATGCAAATCAATTTATAACATTTTTGACATGCGTTTTTCTGGATTTTGTTGTTATTGTGTCTCTCACTGTTCAAATAAACCTACCATTAAAATTATAGACTGATCATTTCTTTGTCAGTGGGCAAACGTACAAAATCAGCAGGGGATCAAATATTTTTTTTCCCTCACTGTAAGGGGATGTATCTTTGAACTTCTTTAGCACTGTACGTAGCCCACTAATCGGAGGTGCGAAGGACGAAAATTTTTACACAATCAGTTCTAAAGAAATGAGTTTGTCCATCTGGGTGATGATTTGAAAGTTCACAGCTCCAGCGGCTTCCTAACATCGGAAGGAGGAGTGTTCCAGACGGCCACAGAAGGGCATCTGAAAGCGCACGATGTGTTGACCGTCTTTGTTCTATGGTCAGCCAAAATCCGCTTGCGAGGATGACCGGAGTTGGCGGGATGGTTTATGTTCTTTAATGAGATCAGCTCGGTGTCGTGGTTCATTTGTGGCAAGAACTTTGTATGTAATGAGCGCGACCTTATAATGCATTTGTTCAGGAACGGGAAGCCAATGCACCTCGGCGAGCACAAGACGGACGTGGTCAGTTCATGCAGTACCCGACACTTATCAAAAAAAATTATACACTGCAGCTTGGTAATGTTTTTTTACCAGACGTCCCGTAGAGTAGCGAGTTGCAATTATTGGGCCTTGTCGATACTATGCTACACGCCAACCTGTTGGCTACATCATGACTCAGTAGTGGCCGAATATGTTGTAGAGCCCTGATATGAAAATTGGTGGTCACACGAGATCTACTGGTCGAGTGTGGTGGCAAGGTTCTCTCGATGAGTAAAAAACTGAATCCTGGAGTCTGCAACCACCACACCTGGGGTCCTCCCACTTTTTTCGCCCGAGCCCAAGGATGCGTTCCCAGCCTTCGTAACGAACCATTTCATTTATATTGCTCAGCGGTTGAACTTACGACTATGATAAACACTTAATAACTTACCATTCATATTGAACATTAAAATAGATTTTCTACTGTACAGATTTTAAATGTAAAACTAACATGAATAAAATAAAGTGTTCTTTATCGTAAAATATCTTCACACCGGTGTAGTCTTGGGTGTAGTCGTAAGGTTGCATGGCCCACCAAACACCATAGGTCCGTAACGTAGCGCGTTGCTGTGTGCTGATTGGCCGAGACGAATGTTAAACATTATATGACTCATCGCGATGTGCAAAGCTCAAGAAACAATTTTATTTTTATATTTTTGTTATTTCATAGTACTTATTATTTAACTTTAAAAAAAATCCATTGATACAATAATAAATCCAAAGTTCATTCCAGGGACTCCTCTACTTACGAACGAGTTAGGTTTCGGAGGTCTGTTCGTAAGTCTATTTGTTCTTAAGTCCAACTTTACTCCTGTAGATTTCAAACATGTTGTACGCCATGTGCATTTAACATGGGCTTTAAAAGTTGGATCATCTCCTGCAGATGTAGATGCCATCGGTTCTTCATGCTCTGCCAATGTAGATACCACAACCGCTATCTATTGCTCAGCGGTTGAACTTACGACTCTCTGTCCGAACAGGCAACTGGACATACGGACAGGTTTATTCATATCTCTGAAAGTTCACAAGTCGAATGTGCGTAAATCGAGGAACTCCTGTATACTGAAAGTTCCTATATCAAATATTCGCATATCAAGCTATGAATATATTAATCAGGCCTGGGTACGAGCTGCAATTCACTGAGTTTCCCTTTGTGTACCCGTGGAGCAACGGAGACTTATGGACATTCAACATCCCGAGTCTCGGAGATTGCAGCTGTACGAGAGATGTCGAGGGTGCAGCGCAAAAGTCGGGTTCCTGCTCACGATTCATTTGGATCCAAAGCATCTGGGGGGTTACAGAGTCATCCTGGATCTAAGGAGGCTCAGCAGATTCGCCAGATACTGCCGTTGCAAATCCCATTTGTTGACATCGATTGAAAGGCACGAACCAGCCTGTGCATGTCGATTTTCAAAAGCAACCGCGAGTTTTTGCGTTTCAGTATCGCAGGGAGACGCTGGGACTTCCTGCTCTTTCCATTCAGACTCTCATCCTCCCCGAGGGTATTTAATTAACTAAAGCTAAACCATTTTATTTTACCAGGTAAGGCTCCCTGAACTATATAGTTCTTTTTCAGAAGTGACCTGTCACAAATGATAGCTCAACAAAGTGGTTTATCATGTGGGAAGCCAAATACTCTTAAACGCACGTTTCTAAATGTGGAGGGCAAAACCGGAGGACCCGGAGTAAAATCCATGCCATCACAGGGCGAACATGCAAACTCCAAACATACAGGCGTCAGGATCGGGATCGAACCCACGACCTCCGGCATAGCAGGCGAGGAGGGAGTTAACATCTCCTAGCCAGCGCGAAGATGTTGTCATCGCTCACCTGTGAAAGGACCGCATCCACGTGTACCCAAGACTTTTGTATTTGGGGGGGGGGGGAGGAGGGGCACAATAATGGATATATTTTGCACGGCAAGTGAGCGGTAACGTCACATCTGTGATGTCACCCGCATGCGGCAGCATCACGCAGTGTGCCTGCTGACGTGACGCATCCCCCCCCACACTCCGCGTAGGCCGTGTATTACTCCAAGACAAGAATCCAAGTCTCGGGCGAAGCCGGGTAGTAAAGCTAGTACTGTATATATTAAGTGGTTGCACAATGTCACGGTGAGAATTGTTTCAGATGATGGATGTTATGTTTCAATTAGCCACGGTGTGTGCCGTGTGTGATGGGACTAGGGTTGCCACCTTTTCCACTGTAGGCCAAACCCAGACGTATTTCTTAGCCAGCACCAAGGTCTATCAAAACTGTCCTCTATATTATATTAATAATAAAGTTCAACAACACAACACCAGTAATTAGGTCTCAGTAGAAATCAATTCCCGTGGCCCGAACGCAGATGCCAATTGTTGGACTGTCCGGATCAAACCCAGGCAAGGTGGCAAACCTCGATTAGGCTGCCATTAGACAGCAACGCTGTTGGGGATGCGGTCTGGGGACAGGTAGTAGTAGGGAAGTTTCTTCCCCCGGTTCCTCTCCGTGATTCTGGAGGTGATTTCCTGGAGGCGCTCCTTGAATCTCGCGATGGCCTCCAGGATTGGCATCTCTGTGAAGTGCTGGTCGGGGTAATTACCCAAGAAAATCTGTAAATTAAATAAAATTGAAAAAGTCCTTTAAAAAATTCCCCACTGACCCTCGTGAGACATTTGTAGATGACATGTGCCCATCATGTTGGTTCAGTGCAAGTTTTATCTTCATAATACTGCAGCAAAGGCAAGAGGTAAAGATGCAGCCCTGCAATTGCCTGCTAACACCACTGTATGTATGCTGAACTTCTTTTGCACCGTACATAGCCAACCGTGCTAATTGGAGGTGCACTGCTGGTGGAGGGGCCTCCACTAGAGACTGCTCTCGAGATCCCCTCGAGTGGGTATTTTGGCCTACTCTTCCACAATGGACAGACCATCTTGGAAGAGTTAGGAATGCCCACACTTTATTCCACCACACGTGACTTGCCAATCAACTGACTGTGCCGTACCCCTTTATAAAGCTGGGTTCACACAGGCGGTGGGGATTTAATGAACTTGCACAGTTGCTTGAACTGCCACGCTAGGAGATCGTGCCAGCGACCTCTGTATTACACCAAATCTGGCTGGTAGCCACACAACATAGCATATATGGTAACCCTCTTTGTGACATTTTTCAGGAACAGCTGTCAAAATGGTCCAGAAATTATCAGTGAGAATTATTTGGATAAGGTGTCACTATTTTTACAGACTCAGGGCTGATGGCACAGCCAGAATGTGAAACTGTCTCCTGGATTCTACGACACCCTTTCCCCCTTGTAATTTGAAGCAACATTTTGGATGCGTATTATAACCTGGTCGCTGTGTGTGTGTGCAATATTTTGACACCGGACACAAATTTAGGGTGCATCTTACTTTCCAGAGCATCTTATAATCTGGAGAATACGGTGTTCAGATTTGTTTTTTAAATGTTGAATGTTCAACTCTCCTCATTTCGCATGAGTTGTCATGGTAAAGTTCCCACCAACCTCATTCTCCTGAAACTGGCTGAGGGCCCAGACTGCGCCAAGGTGCCAGCAGGAGCGACCGCGGTCAGCCAGGCTGGCGATGATGTAGTCCATGGTTGTCACTCCCTTCTCAGTCGGTGGAGGTTGTCTCATCGTTGGAGAGGCGTTCGGGATCCAGGAATACCAGTCGTACTGGGAACGCGCGCAACACAACGGCCACACCGTGGACCTGATCTGGTGGAGTTTGAATCTGCACATTTTCTTAATTTCAGCATTGTGCGGTAACTTGGAAAAATTAATTCCGCCAAATTCACGTGATAGTTTTTGGCACATTTCACCGTGTGAAATGGGTGGCGCTCCATTCCACAAAATATTGTGACCAATCAGCGGCTGGGAGAGGGCTGACTGGAATTTGGGGCCGTGAATGGTGACGGCACGCTCACTCCACCTGCTGGCCGAGCCAACCAATCGCGCTCGGTCTGCAAAGCGGATGAGACGGGTTGGAGCAGCGCATTCCTGCCCCACCTACACTCACAAATGGATGCACAATAACGACTGCAGCGTCTCATCAACCTGTCGTACGACGGCGCTGTCCTTCAACACTCTTACCCGAATAAATAACAAATTTAGCCACCCGAGCCAGACTGCGGGAAGCGACGCTACGGTACTCCACTGGGCAACGTGGCCGAGCAAATCAAGTAAGCGCATAGGCACTGATGGTGTCGTGCATGTTGGATCTGGATTCTGAATGCGATTTGAACAGTGATTTACGTGAGATCAGTGAAAATATACGGAGAGTTTGACATCTGACCTTTACAGCATTGTAAATGAAAATGATGACGACAATGACCGTCAACAATATTCAGTTTAAGTTTCACGCGAATTTTGGAACTGATGTGCAACAGTTTCTCAAAATAAATAACTGCTAAAGACCTTGCCTAAAAGAAGTCCATTTGAACCAGTAATGCTAAGCACTGGGTCAGTGAGCCCAGAAGAAATGTAATACCAAGTGGTTCTTTGGGACCACTCGGTATTTAATTGTGCAGTAAAATGTTTTGCCAGAAATGTTCGTGTACAGCTCTCACCTGCCCAAAGTTGACAGCGGCATGATTCGCTGATGTGGCAAATATCACCGTGGTGATGAACAACTCCAGCTCCTCCAGTGTTTCAAACGACTGGGGGATTCCTGCAACACGCCAACATGGCACTTGTATCCACATCAATATACCCAAATATTCAGCAAAAGGTACTCAATATGTAGTGAGTCACTTCTGAGACACTTTTAGGAGGCAACAACCACTGGCAGAGCCAGTGGGGGGGGGGGGGGGGGGGGGGCACGTACCTCCCCCAAAAGATCCGATCGAAATAAAACATGCTTAAAATCGCTTTAAACTATTGTCATTGTAGTGCGTATTTAATGTGGTGCTGCACTCTGTTGTAGGAGAAAACATTTATTAAAAAGTCTATTTAATTAAGTAGAACGTGTTGTCTATATTTAAAGTTGCGCATTTTGATGTGACGTCAAATTTCTCAAACCCCCCCTCCCTCGTCACACATCCGTCACAAATGTCTGACCCCCCCCCCCCCCAGGTGCGTGACGTCATTTATGGACGGCCCCCTGGGCCATGCTTCCCGTGTCCCCTCGGTCAGCTTTGCCCTACATCCTTTACCACGTGCTTTGCCAGCCGGCCAGGGTGATGTGTCCCCACATGCCCCTCTCTGCCAGCAGCCAGCACCACGCACATGCTGTGCTGGCTGCTTCACCCATATTTCCTTATTCTATTGTATCCAGCGCTACGCGCCGTAGTGATTCATTCTATGTCACTACACATACATACTTACATACAAAAATGAATGCCACATAAACGTCTATCTGGAAGTCATCCAAAATCATATGGCAAAATAATTGACCGATACTTTATTAATTTGTCAATAATGCTGAGTTGTATTGGTTAATTTGACTCTATAAACATTACTTGAGCTATATGTATACAAGGTATATTTGTCAGTTTAACACGGAGGAGGCTTTCGTGACCAATATCCTTATTGCAGGTGTTTTTTGGGGTTAGATCGCATTAATAAATAAATGTGTCGTTAAACCCGCCACCACCAAACACAGCCAACTAGTAAGGTTTGTTACGTAAACAACATGCCAATTCGTTACTAGTACAGCACACCGGTGTGTTGGAGAGCAAAGCCACAACATTTACGATCTGAGTACGACGTTTTGTCAGTAATTACAACTAGCTTCATCAGGTGACAGCCACATTTGACCCTCCTGACAAAGTCTTTAGAATTTACCGAAAGAGCTAAGAATGTCTTTAGACTCATTGAGGCTTTCCTGGGTAAACAAGCGACATAGTAATCACATGAACTGAATTGCAACCCAGAATTGCCACAATGTGTGTGAAATCGCCAGGGAGTGAATCTAAACACTAATGGTGGATACACTTCTTCCTATTCCATTATCTCTTCATGGATGTATGTTGAACTTCTTTCGCACCGTACATAGCCAACCGTGCTAATCAGAGGTGCGAGGGCCCTGCCAGGTTTTCTTGCTTGCCTTTTGTGTTTTTTTCCCAAAACGTGTGCATCCGTCTGACCGTGTTACATCGGCGTCAAAGCATAGTGATTGACGATCGCATGCAGCGATATGGATTGTAGTAAGGAATAACTACAATGACTTGCGTCTGATCGTCACCCTCCTTGACACCAGGATGTTTCGGAGCACCGCATACGTCTTCTTTGGTTCTTTCGGTAAAGACACGTAACCAAAGAAGATGAATCCTTGCAGTCACGAAAGCTTTAAATCGAAATTTCACCGCATACGTGATAGGTCACTTGCATTACATCTAATCTCAACACATTTGTAAGGGAACCCCCCCCGGTGGTATCTGTCCCTGTGAGCAAAAGGTGATTTCAGCAGCTGGCCTGAAAATGGGCACATGAGTCTGCCGGTAAGGGGGCGATGATCGCTGTGCGTGTGATTCCAATCGAGTAGAAAGGAGCCGTGCACAACGTGTGTATTTGCTGTCGACACTACGAATCACGCTGCAGGGAGCTCCGTCTACCTGAATCCTTGTTGTTCCGGAACCCGTAGACAAAGATGTCATTGATCCAGGCCTGCACCTCGGAGTCCATTTTGACGGTCTTGTCGTCGGGGTAGTAGACGGCAAGCACTTCCTTCACAAACCTGCAACGTACACTTGGCTTGATGCAAACCCAGCCCTCTGTGTTCATGATGATAAACCCCATCGCAGGAGGAGAACGAGCGCAGGCCAGACACAAATATCAGTAGCATCACGCACAGGCGCTGCTAACACCCAGCAGGGAGGCATAACACCCACCCATTGGCCACGTGTGCCTGCTATGTGACAGCCACATCACATGTGCAATGCTCTCTGCCTTGTCTAGACCACCAGCTCAAGAGATTTAACAGCACGCCCAGGTGCTGCTCATAAGCAGCAGGAAAGCACAACTCCCATCATGCTTTGCATGTGTAAGGGACGCCAAGAGGCGATCCCCACCTAATTAGAGCCGCCCGCATGCAGCACAGCTTCACTAGCTCTGTCAATTTAAGTGGCGCAGGAAGTCTTCACCAGCTGTGTGCAGAGCCTGCTTAGCCCTGATTGGATCACTTGGCTTTAATGTCTGGATTGGCTAAGGACCACTTGATTGCCTAGCGGGTTTGAATGGGAAAACGAGGGGGACTTAAGAGAGCCATGAGGTAAATCAAAATATCCTGGAGTGGGGGGTGGGGGAACAGAAGTTCGGGACTTTTCGTAATTTTTGTATTACTTAATTACCCAGGAAAGCCACGCTGAGTCGTCGGACTTTTGCAGGAGGTGTTTGTTAAGTTGTTTTCAGCCAATGAATGATGAGTGTTTATACAAGTGGGAGGAAACCCACGTATGGGAGGGGACAATGCTATGTCCCCGTACAGATGGAAACAGATGGCGATTAGTCCACTTGCTGCACTGCCTTCTTCTGGAGAGCCAGAGGATGGCACATTGAAAGCCACGGGAAGGGAGTTTCACAACATTTGTGCGGTGATCCACCAACCCTCACTGCCTCCACGGAACTGGATTACAGGCGAACGTGCATAGCCACTACCCCGCCGCGTTGCACTTGTCAGTCAAAGACTGGTTGGGAGACGCCCCTCGTGTGCACCGGACTCCTCTATTCACTGCTCTTCATATTCACGCCATGTGACCACCACAAGTGAAGTGGCCTCACACCGACCCACTGTGTGTGAGCAGCAGCAGCATCGTCAGGATGAAGAATTCCCTTGTGGCTCATAAAAGAATGCACACCTGGGAATGAGTGAGTAGTGCGTAGGAATGGTAAAGCAATGGCACATACTGCCATGGACCATGCATCCCTTTGCTGCAGGTGAAGCGTCGATGATTGATTTGTCTTGCAATTGGCTATCAGTGTCTATTACAGTTTGTATTTGTTTTATGAGCCACAATGCTCCACAACTGCGCTCGGTGGGGTACGATACGAGGCTGTTGCTTGCGGTGACAGCCCACAGTGCTGAGGATAATGATGGAAATGCGCGAGGTGCGATGCATACTCCAGGATCGAGAATATCTGATGGTAATGACGCCGGTTCGGCCTCGTGTATATCGCCCTTACTGTGCCGTGCAGTTCCAGACTTGCTGGCCATCTTTACGGTAGAAGTAATAGGGAAGGCTCTCCTCGCTGTCCACGCCACGCATCTGGATGTTCTTGGGAAATTGCAGATGTTCGTATTTTAATTCTTTCACAGCCCTCTGCACGAGCTGCACATGGCCGCCTCCCCCTGTTGCATTCGCCTGTAACACAAGGCGCAGACGGTGTTATCACAGGAATGCCGTGTTTAAGAACTCAACACGTTTGTCAGAAACACTGTGGTGTGTGTGTGTATGTGACCTTAAAGGAAAAATATTGAATAGATGACATTTCCGGCCATGGACCTTCTCCATAGCACATACAAATAAAAAGGGCCATTGCCCAAAACGTCTCCTATGATATATTTTTTTTTATTTTAAGGCAAGTCTTATTGGCGAAAGTTTATATGTATGTTGAACTTCTTTCGTACGTAGCCAACCATGCAAATCAGAGGAGTGTCTGCATAACTGGAAAAGCAGAATCACCAAATAATCTGTTTACATCATCAGGATGGTTGTTAAAATATTTTTTTGCACAACCGATATATAAAATGTAACATTTAATCAAATGAGAGAAGGAAATGCGTTTTGGTAATAAAACAGGAGGTATTAAAATGTTAAAACACCAACTAAACACCTATTACAAGGCATTAAGTCTGCATTAAATGTTAACAACCTCGCTACATTTAGAAACATGCGTTTAGAGTATTTGGCTGCAATCAATTTCCACGTGATAAGCCACTTCTTTGAGCTATCATTTGTGGCCAGGTCGCTTTTGAAAAAGAGCTGCATAGCTCAGTGGGCCTTACCTGGTAAAATAAAACAGTTATTAGTTTTTACTTGTGATAAAACATGCAAACAAATATGTTTAGATAATGTGGGCATTAAATTTCGATTTAAAGCTTTCGTGACTGCAGGGATTCATCTTCTTGGTTCTTTCGGTAAAGTCACGTAGAAGGGAAATAACAACACAAGCAGCCGTCCTCAAATGAAGAAACAGAACTGTCGGAAAGACAGCGCTGCAATGAACACTGCTAAGTTTGGCAGCGTATTTTAAGCTGGGTGGGAGGAGCAGAGCACCTTGACAAAGGAGTTTACATATCAACAGAAGAATTTAGCATTGAAGTAGCTGTGTTAATGTAAGAGATTAGCAGGATTCTAGATTTAAAGCTTTCGTGACTGCAAGGATCCATACTCTTTGGTTCTATTCGGTAAAGTCACGTAGGTAAATAATAAAACAACAATAATCACGACGTTTCGGCCACAACACAAGCGGCCTTCATCAGGTGAAGGGACGAGCCTGTCTGGAGGACAGCGCTGGAGTGGAAGAAGCCACGCTTAGATCACGACATTTAAGCTTCCGCGAACACAAGCTTAAATGTCGTGATCTAAGCGTGGCTTCTTCCACTCCAGCGCTGTCCTCCAGACAGGCTCGTCCCTTCACCTGATGAAGGCCGCTTGTGTTGTGGCCGAAACGTCGTGATTATTGTTGTTTTATTATTTACCTACGTGACTTTACCGAATAGAACCAAAGAGTAGATTAGCAGGATGTTAAGGTGAGAAATTAGCATGAGATTAGCATGATGTTAATGTGAGGAATTAGCATGTAACTGGTCACAGAAGTAGCTATGTTAAAGTCAGAGTTCACATATCAACATAGGCATTTAGTATATTGATGCTATAGAAGTGCAACTACCCAACTATCATACAATATTTAACTAAATATAAACTACATCAATATAATCAATGTACTCAATATATTCTCCACTAAGCTGAGCTACTAAGAATAAGTCATTATACATTACACTTCTATGTCGCAAAAAATATTTTAATATGCCTCCAACTAATATTTTTATTATAAACTGCCATAGACAGACCCAAACATTGAATTATACACTGCGTTACTATACACTACCTTATTTATACCTTAGATTATAATAATATTAGACTTGTAATATTACAAAATGTATCATTTTACCAACCCTAGTGTATACCACACTGCTGTATATTCGTTGTGGTCAGATGAGACCAAAATGGAGCTCTTTGGCATCAACTCAACTCGCCGTGTTTGGAGGAGGAGGAATGCTGCCTATGACCCCAAGAACACCATCCCCACCGTCAAACATGGAGGTGGAAACATTATGCTTTGGGGGTGTTTTTCCGCTAAGGGGACAGGACAACTTCCCCGCATCAAACGGACGATGGACGGGGCCATGTACCGTCACATCTTGGGTGAGAACCTCCTTCCCTCAGCCAGGGCATTCAAAATAGGTCGTGGATGGGTATTCCAGCATGACAATGACCCAAAACACACGGCCAAGGCAACAAAGGAGTGGCTCAAGAAGAAGCACATTAAGGTCCTGGAGTGGCCTAGCCAGTCTCCAGAGCTTAATCCCATGGAAAATCTGTGGAGGGAGCTGAAGGTTCGAGTTGCCAAACGTCAGCCTCGAAACCTTAATGACTTGGAGAAGATCTGCAAAGAGGAGTGGGACAAAATCCCTCCTGAGATGTGTGCAAACCTGGTGGCCAACTACAAGAAACGTCTGACCTCTGTGATTGCCAACAAGGGTTTTGCCACCAAGTACTAAGTCATGTTTTGCAGAGGGGTCGAATACTTATTTCCCTCATTAAAATGCAAATCAATTTATAACATTTTTGACATGCGTTTTTATGGATTTTTTTGTTGTTATTCTCTCTCTCACTGTTCAAATAAACCTACCATTAAAATTATAGACTGATCATTTCTCTGTCAGTGGGCAAACGTACAAAATCAGCAGGGGCTCAAATACTTTTTTCCCTCACTGTATAATTGAATGTTGGGGTCTGTTTATGGCAGTTTATAATACGGGGTATAGTCGTGTCATGTAAAAAAAAGATTAATTGGAGGCATATTATAGTAATTTTGCGACATAGAAGTGTAATGTATAATTACTTATTGTTCGTAGCTCAGCTTATTGGAGAGTATATTGAGTATATTGATTATATTGATGTCGTTTATATTTTATTTTTTTATCGGTTCACTATATGGTAGCCATTATATAGTGTAGTGTATACCCAGTTACTTAATGTTAATAGCTCAACTTATTGGAGAATATATTGAGTAAATTGATTATATTGATGTAGTTTATATTTAGTTATTTCACATCGGTTTATTGTATGATAGTAGGGTAGTTGCAGTTATTTAGCGTCAATATACTAAATGCCTCTGTTGATATGTAAACTCTGACTTTAACATAGCTACTTCCGTGACCAGTTACATGCTAATTCCTCACATTAACATCATGCTAATCTCCCAGTTACATGCTAATTTCTCACCTTAACATCCTGCTAATCTCTCACATTAACACAGCTACTTCAATGCTAAATTCTTCTGTTGATATGTAAACTCCTTTGTCAAGCCGCTCTGCTCCTCCCACACAGCTTAAAAGACGCTGCCAAGCTTAGCAGTGTTCATTAGGATGCTGTCTTTCCGACAGCTGTGTTCTTCAACTGAGGACGGCTGCTTGTGTTGTGGCCGAAACGTCGTGAGAATTTTATTTTATTATGTTTTATTTTTATTATTTTATTATTTCCCTTCTACGTGACTTTACCAAAAGAACCAAGAAAATGTGTGCATTGTCCTTGAAACTGATTGGCCTACACCAGAGACAGCCTCTACGCCATGTCTTCTTTTTATCATCATCTTAACACTGGAAACAAAAGTCCCATAGATGAAACGTAGCGTCTATGTAAGCATCTCCGAGAGAGCAGTTGCGGAGCACATGGGTGACCGGAGCATCCAAGGGAACAGGTTCACCCTGGATTGCATCGGTTCATCACATCATCTGGTGATCACCTGTTTGCGCAATCACTTTTTTATATATGTATTTTCTAAGTACGGTAAACTAAATGGATTTTAAAATAAGCTAAATGGCTATATAACAGGAAGTGAAATGCTTGCAAGTGATTTATAATAGCGATGTAGAGCACGAGATCCATCACTGTGAGCGCCACGCTGCGTCCTATTGCGCGAGACTCATTGTGCATGTTCCGGCCAGAGTGGTTTTGTCTATTTTTGTTGTTGGTAGCCTTTTCCAGTATGGTCCCAATTCCCAGCTTGCTCGTGTCCAGATTCCAGATGTTTTTGTGGTAAGTGAAATGCGACTAACCCATATTTGTGTTTGGGTTAGGCAATGTACAGCAGTAGTTTTATACCAAAATGATTGTCACGAGCCCTCTACCACCCAAATACGATTGCCACACTTACGATTATTTACGAGTGCCAATGTAATGATCAAGTTCTCACCGAAAGAGCTCCTCCTCAAAAGTGGCTTGAGAATTCTTACGACTTAATTCAACATCAACGGAACGTCATGTTTTGCTCAAACTCCTCGGCCTTCGCCCGGCAGCGAGCTCGGAAGTGGAGCGGTGATGGTGGAGGTGCGGGGAGCCTGCCCGTCGATGGACTGCGGTGGGCTGTAAAATGCGCAAACCCCGCTACCTTGTCGAAGAGGCCACACTTGCAGATGAGCTCCTCCCTGGCTTTTGTGTTGATGGCGATGGTGAAGCGCGTGTGATGCACCAACAGCTGTAGGGACATGCGCATGCTACGCTGCAGGTCTTTGCAGGAATCTCCTTCACACACAACCAGCTGCTGTTGCTGCTGCTTGTTGCAATTCGAGGCCAGAATGTTTGTTTCTCAACTGCTTTGATGTATTATTATTTATTATGACAGTTTCAGTTTATTTTGGTATAGCCCTGTGAGCCATTCGGCTCTTGAATCGGGTGCAACCACAACAAACACAAAACATGAACAAGAAAACATCTTAAAGTGACTATGTGACTGTGCAAACAGAAAATCCATGAAAAAAACAGCAAAATATTCCTGAAAAAATCACCGTACACCAACGCTGTGTGCAAAAAATCCCAGTGGGATGCAAGTCAAACAACAACAACAACAACCACAAGAAAACTTAGATTAAGGCCATCAGTCAAACTCCGTACTACAACAAAACAAACATGTCCAAACCAAAAAAACTTTTTCAAATCACCAAAAAATAAAGCCATAATTGTAACGTAACAGTGATCACAGGGACTGTGACCGAATTTTTACAATAAACTACATAAATAACATCTAACACCAAATCCCAGAGCCATAGCTGGCTGCATGAGTTACTCCACAACAACAGAGGCATCACTCTTTGTTTTTTACGGTAAAGTCACGTATAAATAAGAAATAATAAAATAACATAATAGCATACGACGTGTCTTGGCTTGGATTTGTGTCTCTGTGCTGTCTCTGCCTGTGTGTGGGCCTTTGTGTTTCCGAGTGTGTGCAGCTGCTCCGCTCTTTCCGCGCCCCGCTTTGCTCCATACATACCTCATGCTAATTTGTCCCATTGTCTCTCAGCCTTACCTTCTCTGCCTATTTAAGGCGACTTCACTCTGTGCTGGTTCGCTCTGCTTGGATGTCTATGTGTGTGTGTGCGGTCTGTATTTTAAAATTTCATACTTAACTTGCAATTTAGCAATCTTTGAAATTGCGTAGTCAACCAGACTATGCGTTAATTGTGTTTTGACCGACCGTCTGTGTTGCTTTATATGGTTTCCAAATTTTGCTAAACCCTGTTTGTTTGGTGTGATTCTCTCTCTGTGTCCCCTGTTGTATCTGTGTTAGTTCCCCCTACTTGGGTGTCTGTATATACATCTGGGGTTATGTGTTTCCTCTCTCTTGTAAATTTAGCTCTTCTGTACCTGATGATGGCTGCTTGTGTTGCAACCGAAACGTCGTACGCTATTATGTTATTTTATTATTTCTTATTTATACGTGACTTTACCAAAAAAACAAAGATTAATTCCTGCAGTCACGAAAGCTTCGAATCAAGTCTAACAGAGGCATCAGTCGGAGTATCAAATTTTTCAATGCACCTTTAAGATCAGCACGCTAAATCAAAATGCAGATAATTCTTTGCAACTTCATCCGGAGCGAAACATTTTATTTTATTTTACGCCAATGAATAGCAGTGGCAGCTAGGGGTGTACAACTCCTCTAGAGCAGTTTTGAGAGAAAATCTCATTGGTAGCGATTCAAGTTGCAGTTTATTGGCAATAGCATTCCAGACTCTGGGGGAATCAATAGCAAAGGCCCTTCCTCTAGTTTTTGTACGGCAATATGGAATGTTAAGCTGGTAAATGAGCAAAGACCTGAGGTCAAATTTGTTCTTTGAAACAGAGAGGAGATCCAGCAGGTAGTCTGCGGACTTTTTCTGTAAGTACATCGTGAATAAATAAGATCTGGTGCACAAGCCGTCGAACATTAAAAGATGTTAAGTTTGACCCAATGTAGAGATCACAGTGGTGAGTCTTATATGGGCAGTTCAATGTAAATCTTAAGGCCGAGTGATAGATGGAATCAAGCTTCTTCAGTACAGTACTGGGGGCTGATTTATACACGATGTCACAGTAGTCAATTCCAAACGGAACATTGGGGGGAAGCAGTGCTTGTGTCGATAAAGAAAACCAATTTTTATTTTTGTCTTTTTACCAAAATAATCAATGTGATCCTCAAAATTCAGTTTTGAATCCAGGATGACCCCAAGATACTTATAGATCTTGACTTGCTCTATTTCATAATTATTTAAGGAATGTAATGGGGGAAAAATAACTTCCTGCTTTAATCCTGGTGAGAAGCATAGCAGCTTGGTTTTGGAGGTATTCAGGACTAGTTTAAGAGCAACTAGCTGTTGTAGTTTGTTGAAATCACCCTGTAGCTTAGCAATCCCGTCATCCGGAGAGCGGCCAGCAGTAATCAGTATCGTGTCATCTGCAAAAAGATTTACCCTGGAATGATCCAGGTCAGTGCCCAAATCATTGACATATAGAGAGAACAAAAGGGGGCCGAGGATGGAACCCTGTGTAACCCCTTTTGTTATCTTAACACTGTTTGACCTCCAACCATCTGTGAATACAGTTTGGGTGCGAGAAAAGAGGTAATTTTGTAACCATTTTACTGCGTTTTCGGAAAAACCGAAGCAACTTAGTTTACTAAGCAGGGTGTTGTGGTCTACTGTATCAAAAGCTTTGGACAGGTCTAGAAAAAGACAGACATAGTACAGCTTATTATCAAGGCTATATGACACTTGTTTACACAGCCTCACTGAGTCTGGAGACTCGTTTGCATGCGTACCAGTGTACCCAGACACAATCCTGTGTGCATGGTATGGGGAGCACAACTAGTAAGTAGTTATACAGCAATCCCTCGCCAACCACGGACTTGCCAACCGCGGAAAATCATGTACACACGGTTTATTATCTGTTTCCCAATTTACGAATTGCAGTCTGTAAATGTTGAATATCCACAGGTAAGCACGGGTCTGCATAGCTTATTATTATCTGTCCATTTGTTTAGTTGATTCTCGCAGCGCATAGATTGAATGAGGCCAAACAGTAAGGTGTACCAGGACTTATAAAAAATGTAGCAGCCATCCACTCACACACTCACCCATCCAGCCACTCACCTGGAATGCGAATCAGCAGGTCAAGAGTCAACATACACTGGCCTGTGTGACTGCGGTGAGATGCAGACTGTAGAGCGTCTATTGGTCTGTGGGCTCCTGGTAAAAGAGCCGTGCACCATGGGAGGCTTCGCCAAGGTTACACACTGGGACACATCATCACCATCGCATGCCATGGTCTATTCACTGGCCGGCTATATCATCATCATCACGTGCCTGGCGCCGGATAAGTGCGCGACCGTGGTGGCAGCACGCAACAACAAGTAGTCTCGGTGCTTTTAGCAGCATGGCACCTTAAAGATGGGATGGACGGCCGGCAGCTGTCGGAACATGGCGATCCCGAACACCTCAGAGATGAGGTGTGTGTGCAGCAAGTGAGACACCGTCTGGTGCACGTGGAAGTCACAAGACCTCGCCCACATCTTGGCCAACATCCAATCGTTGTTGGAGTCGGTTGGCAGGAAGATGGGGTTGTCCGAGCCTGGGGTCTGCTGCAGCTGTTGGGCAGAAATATTCAAACGTAAATATTTGTAAAAGTACATTACACAAATTGAATTATAGACGTAAGTTACCTGTGAATAGAATAAATTATATCATTCTTAAATGACGTTTAATTACATTGCTATCGATGATTATTTGAAATATCCGTGGCTCGCCAGTGCATGTAAACATTGTGGATGACAGGACGAGAAACGCTGCTGTTACAGATTTATGTATTTTGATTATTTACCCAGGAAAGCCTTGCTGAGTCTCAACTCATCTAAGAAGGGCCCTGGCAAGTTTTTTCGTAGGAGAGGGCAATATTTCTACATGCCAATCCCAATTGAATAATGTGCAGCTCATGTTTCACCATTGGGATTTTTGGCCAATACCAGTTAACGTTGGTTTTTCTTTTGCTGTGGCAGGAAACCAAAAAACCCAGAGGGAAACCGATGCAGACCAGGGGGGGGAACATATAAAATGCACACAGAAAGTGCCCAAGTCGGGAATCCAACCCAGGTCCCTCTCCCGTGTCACCACAACGCCACCCCACCCGCGCAATTATTGGGCATCCATGGCGTGGAACAGTGGTGGTCCTCACGCCAGCTCGGGGGCCCGTGCCCAAGCAATCCCCATGGCCAAAAACAACTAAAAAGTGACTTAATTTCTGCGAAAAGCAGGAAGGGAGCAGCGATTATTTCCGCTCCATTGCCAAGGAAGGGGCCGTCTGTGCGGAGCCCTCGCGGCCGCGCCAACAGCCAACAGACCGAGGCCATTCCCATTCGAGAGTCACGGCTTGCAGACATGAGGCTGTTGTCCTCCACCTCCCCACGCTGCCCTCCCCCCCGTGTTTATCCGTGAAGTTAAACGTGTTTACACTGGCATCCTGCCAATCCCCTAAACGCCCCGGAGGCGTGCTCGGTTTTGCGGCCAGAGGTGGCGGAATTGTGAGGCATCTTCTGACGATCGACGCCGACGGAGCTATTGGACTGGGGGGGGGTCATGTTGGGTGAATATTCAAATCCCTGCAAGGGTGTGAATTGTGTTTCATTTACCCACACGACATGAAACTCTGGAATCTGTTTCTCTGTTAGTCGACGCTGTACAAATTGAAAAATCAGTAAGCTTCTACAAATTGAAATATCAGTAAGCTCATACAAATTGAAATATCAGTAAGCTCATACAAATTGAAATATCAGTAAGCTCCCTTGCCTCGCCCCGAGGTATTTTAGACGTGAGAAAAGGCAGCGCTACCCCTGCAGAGCTCCCTTTGGTCGGAACGCAATGTATGTGATGCACTGTACGAGGCGATGGCGCTGAAACACGTCGGTGGAAGTCGCTGTGGACCCAATCTGCTAGGCAGCCAACGCTCGAGATAGTCACCGTGGCCAGAGAGCCAGCGTTGAGAGTTATGTTATTATTTCACCATCATCATAATCGCCCCATAACTGCAGCGGTTTGTAGGGTCCCCTAATGCCTCCCTGTCGGCCGCTCCTCTGAAATCTCTCTCGAGTCTTGTGCCGGATTTTTTTTCAATTCTATTATTTTACCTGGAAAATAACATCTTGTTTGCAGGGACTCCACAGTGTCGGCTAACACAACAAACACATAATGAAGCAAACGCACACACATGCATACTCACACACAAAAACAAGTGCTGTTAGTGAGCACCTTTGGCGGCCAGCACCACGCCCGGCCACCTTTGCCTCCCTAGTGGTACTAATTTGAGGCTGAGTCGACCTAGGGTATGCCCAGGAGCGGTTCAGATATTTGTAACTGGCGTTGGCCATTAATGGGAATTTAACACGCGTCTCTGGGTTCGAAGTGAAACATCACATCCAGTCAAACGCATAAAGACACATACAAGTAATGAGGTGGTGCACACCTCCAGTTTATAGAGGTGGAATTTTGGGAGAAAAAAATGTAGTTACCGGGTAAAGCCCACTGAGCTGCTAGCTGTTTTTCACCAGTTTCAGTTTCTTTATTTTTGTATAGCCCTGTGAGCCATTCGGCTCTTGAATCGGTGCAACCACAACAAACACAATTTATAGGATCCAAATAACCTAAACACATGTTTCTAAATATGGGGGGTAAAACTGGGGACCTGGAGAAAATCTACGCCACCTCAGAGAGGACATGCACCCTCCAATAATGCAGGCATCGTCAGGGTTGGGATCGAACCCAAGTTCACCAACATGCTAGGCAAGGGATATAACATCTCGCCACTCCAGCTGTGAGAGTCGCCTGTGTCATGCTTTAAATGAGTTGAGACTGGTAGAATGTTTTAGTTCACCTGGGAGATCGTTACAGTTGAAAGAGCTCAGTGTCTGAGCGGGAGCGTGATGTAGAGAGGAGATGGCGTCCTCCTCACCTGGATGGCGATGGGAACTAACTTCTTGTTGACGTTGTTGTACAAGAGGCAGATGGGTGCCGCCACGTACTGCATCGTGCACGGGTCAGTGGAATTGGCCTGGATTCCGTCCATGATGCTGTAGTCGGCGATGAAGATATTTCCTTGCTGAAAAACACGCAAGCATGTGCCACCAAGTGATCCCGACGCACGACATGCATTCCTTTCCCGAGAGGAATAACCGCCGTAACGTTTGGAGTTTTGCTCCGCGTGCTGGGAGCTCCTGAATTTAGTTCCTGAAGCAGCTCCCAGAGCGTGGAGAGAAACGTCAGACATTATGCCGAACAGTGCATGGTATGACCAGAAATCACACCGGGCAGCTGTATAGAACTGCGAAAACTTACGCAGTGCAATTACACAACAATATGTAAATGTGTGCAGTCGACTATGTCACCCACAGTGAGGAAAAAAGTATTTGATCCCCTACTGATTTTGTACGATTGTCCACTGACAAAGAAATGATCAGTCTATAATTTTAATGGTAGGTCTATTTGAACAGTGAGAGACAGAATAACAACAACAAAATCCAGAAAAACGCATGTCAAAAATGTCATAAATTGATTTGCATTTTAATAAGGGAAATAAGTATTTGACCCCCTCTCAATCAGAAAGATTTCTGGCTCCCAGGTGTCTTTTATACAGGTAACGAGCTGAGATTAGGAGCACACTCTTAAAGGGAGTGATCCTAATCTCAGCTTGTTACCTGTATAAAAGGCACCTGTCCACAGAAGCAATCAATCAATCAGATTCCAAACTCTCCACCATGGCCAAGACCAAAGAGTTCTCCAAGGATGTCAGGGACATTGTAGACCTACACAAGGCTGGAATGGGCTACAAGACCATTGCCAAGCAGCTTGGTGAGAAGGTGACAACAGTTGGTGCGATTATTCGCAAATGGAAGAAACACAAAAGAACTGTCAATCTCACTAGGCCTGGGGCTCCATGCAAGATCTCACCTCGTGGAGTTGCAATGATCACGAGAACGGTGATGAATCAGCCCAGAACTACACGGGAGGATCTTGTCAATGATCTCAAGGCAGCTGGGACCATAGTCACCAAGAAAACAATTGGTAACACACTATGCCGTGAAGGACTGAAATCCTGTAGTGCCCGCAAGGGCCCCCTGCTCAAGAAAGCACATATACATGCCCGTCTAAAGTTTACCAATGAACATCTGAATGATTCAGAGGACAACTGGGTGAAAGTGTTGTGGTCAGATGAGACCAAAATGGAGCTCTTTGGCATCAACTCAACTCGCCGTGTTTGGAGGAGGAGGAGGAATGCTGCCTATGACCCCAAGAACACCATCCCCACCGTCAAACATGGAGGTGGAAACATTATGCTTTCGGGGTGTATTTCTGCTAAGGGGACAGGATAACTTCATCGCATCAAAGGGACGATGGACGGGGCCATGTACCGTCAAATCTTCGGTGAGAACCTCCTTCCCTCAGCCAGGGCATTGAAAATGGGTCGTGGATGGGTTTTCCAGCATGACAATGACCCAAAACACACGGCCAAGGCAACAAAGGAGTGGCTCAAGAAGAAGCACATTAAGGTCCTGGAGTGGCCTAGCCAGTCTCCAGACCTTAATGCCATAGAAAAATCTGTGGAGGGAGCTGAAGGTTCGAGTTGCCAAACGTCAGCCTCGAAACCTTAATGACTTGGAGAAGATCTGCAAAGTGGAGTGGGACAAAATCCCTCCTGAGATGTGTGCAAACCTGATGGCCAACTACAAGAAACGTCTGACCTCTGTGATTGCCAACAAGGGTTTTGCCATCAAGTACTAAATCATGTTTTGCAGAGGGGTCAAATACTTATTTCCCTCATTAAAATGCAAATCAATTTATAACATTGTTGACATGCGTTTTTCTGGATTTTTTGGTTGTTATTCTCTCTCACTATTCAAATAAACCTACCATTAAAATTATAGACTGATCATTTCTTTGTCAGTGGGCAAACGTACTAAATCAGCAGGGGATCAAATACTCTTTTCCCTCACTGTATGGGGACCAGGGTGGCGCCTAACACTTGTGTCTCACAGCAAGAAGCCTTTGGGTTCAATTCCTGACTCGGGCACCTATTTCCGTGGAGTTTGTATATCCTCTCTGTCTCCCCCTGTTCTGTATGGGTTTCCGCTGGGTTCTGCAGTTTCTTCCCAAAGAAAAAAAAACAAACAGTGTAACTGGCATTGGGCAAACATCCCAATGTTGAAAATTACACAAATTGGGATTACACACAGAAGCAGCGGCAGCAGCAACATCACCCCTGACTGCAAAAACTAGGCAACTGACCCTTCTGAAATAAAGTCTTGAAAACCAGGAAGGGCTGTCCTGCTGGGTATAAACAAGCTTCACAATTAGTTTGGTAACTTTCTGTGATCTTACTTGCAATCTGTTGACAAAGGAAACGAAACGGGAGCCCCTGGTGTGTGTTGGCGGTGTTGTTTACACGCGGCATTGTCCTTTTGGGACTGGTTACATTTTGTAGACCTTAAAAATAATGTGTACCTGCAAGTTACTCAATTGCAGCAGCAACCCCCTACTGTGAAAAAACTTAGCACTAACATTATGAAAAAAGACCTGAGACTCGGTGAGGCATCCCATGAGCACAATTCGGGCAGTCCTCGAATTTCTACTTATAACCCATCGACTTAAAACACGAACTCGCACTTGAAAACTGAACTGCGGAACTATTCTGTTCAGCGGAGAGATCCTCCGTGAGATGGAACGAGTCAGCCCCGTGCTGGGAGTGTCTGTGTGTTCGCGCGCACGAGTGCGTGTGTGTGAAAGTGAGTGTGCACACGTGTGTGTCTCTCTGTATGTGTCTCTCTACCACTAAGAGATGGGGCCTTACCATCAGCCCCACCAAAACTAAGCACCTGCCTGGGTGTTTTGTACTATCGGACACTTCACCCCCACAACTCCCAATCGGTGATGGGGCAGTTGTGGAGAGAGTGGAGAGTTTCCCATACCTGGGCAGTGTGCTTATGACCGGCTCCAGTTTGACAGCAGAGTCGCATTCTGAATCAGTCGAGCGGCAATATCTTTGCATCGGTTGCGTAACGCTGTGTGGAAGCTACCTGGTCTGTCGTTCTTCACTAAGCTTCGAGTCTTCTCGGCCAAAGTCATTCCCTCCCTTCTCTACGCTTGCGAAACGTGGACCCCCCTAATGGAACATCTTCGCCGGTTAGAAACATTTAGGGTAGCCTGCCTACGATCCATCCTGGGTTTAACCAGGCTGGATTGTGTGAGGAGCTCACAAGTCCTTGAAAGATCTGGACAAGGTCCCATCGGTGAGCTCCTCCGGCAGGCAAGGCTACGTTGGCTGGGTCATGTAGCCCGCATGCCCAGCCACCGCATGCCCTAAACAGCTTTTGTTCGGCCGGATTGAGGGGGCTAAACGGGCGCGGCACGGGCTAGAGAAGAGATGGAGTGATGTGGTACAGGAGGACGTGGAGCTGAGTGGACTTGCCGATGACTGGTACCAGCGGTGTCAAGATCGGCCTCCGTGGAGGAGGCTCGTGAAGGACGCTACTGGGCAGTTGGAGGCAGTCGCCCTCCAACAACGAAGGGCGGAGGAGCGACGCTCACAACAACGAGTGGAGCGCCGGGTGGCTAAAGCACAGCAAGTTGGCACAATAGGGGGCACAGGTGGTGCATCAGCCAGTCATCTCGGTCATCTCAGTCAGTCGACCCGTGGCACCTGGGTCTGCCCCGTGACCTCCTGCCAGCGGGCGTTCGACACTTCACGTGGCCTCAAGGTGCACATGGCCTGGCACAAGCGTGGTGGTGACGTCACCTCCACTTAGTGGCGAATGGCGGTTGTTGTTGTTGTTGTGTCTGTGTGTGTGTGAGTGCCCCGTGTGTGTAATTTTGGGGATTCATTGCGCCCCTTCTGACAAGCAAGTCGGCATCGGAACTCAAGATAAGTGAAAACAAAACAGATTTATTTTCTATTTATGTTACTTTATTTTGTTTTATTTACTATACAGTACTCTTTGTTTTTTTCGGTAAAGTCACGTAGGTAAAAAATTTAAATAAATTAAATCACGACGTTTCGGGCTCAACACAAGCGTCCTTCTTCAGGTGGGGACAACTTACTTTTTTTACCGACGTGACTTTACCGAAAAAAACCAAAGAGTATGAATCCTTGCAGTCACGAAAACTTCAAATCTAGAATTACGATACCGTATTTTCTTATATAGTGTTAGATGCATATCTACAATAATTAACACTGCTTCCATTTTTTGTTGAAACCGTAACACATTTTATAACTGACCGTATGTGCATATAAATGGAGTACATTTTTGTGTTTCAACTTACGAACCGTCGTCTTACGAACGAACGAACGGGTCACAGGAACAAAACCCGCTCGTAAGTCGAGGTCTAGCCCGTAAACAACAACAAATGACTGTAACACGATGTGCAACAGCCGTGTAAGTGGGCTGCGGTGGTGCAGTTAACCACGCACCTTTGCCTCCTCCTCCAGGGAGATGGAGCGCTCCAGACACGCTTCCACCATCTCGTGAGTGACGGGAAGTTTCGCAGGGATCTCGGTGCACTTTTTGAAGACGACGGGATTGCAGCCGTTCAGAAACTGGTAGCCAAACATGAAGTCCTCTTGCCAGTGCTTCATGACATACTCTGGAAACGCACAGGCACACGGCCGATCACCTCTCGTTGAGAGTGAAATCAACAAATCCCTGTGTTACCACGCCACAGCACGTTGGATGCCACGGTCATGTAAATGATTCAAATCTGTTGGGATGGCCACATTTTCTCCACTCGTTGAGTCGGTGGTCTAAACAACAAATTGGCCACAGTTATTTGTGTGGTCTGGATAAGGCTGAGAGATGCAGTGCCGCACACTGTGTATTATTCAATATACGTGGTGTACATGGTTCGCACACTGGAATTGCAATCCACAAGTCGCTGTTTTGATTCCATCTTAAAATCCCACCTCAGTTAGTCGGCCGGCAGGCCGCGTGTGTGGGTCACATTGTGAGTGTTCCCATCTGTTCCCGAGATGTGTGGCCAACGTGGACGAGTAGGCCACAACATTTACCTCTTGAGCGGCCCTCCTTGAACTCCCTCTAGCACATGGACCTTCCGCAGCAGTGTCATGAGCAAGAGATTGCAGATCTGCGCCCATGAGGATGTGAATGTGCCCCTGCACTGCGACTCCACACACAGCGTGCGAGGTTCACCGAAACAAGACGAGCTGCTCCCTGAAGACAACCGCCATACCCTAACACGATGTGGAGACTACACTTAGACTACACTTAGAATGTACCGGCAGACGATCCGCACACTACAGAAGCGTTTCGTTTGTGCGCGTCCCACCAGCCACTCGGCCCCCTTGGGGAGTGAATGTCTCCCAACAGCATTGCTTCAATGTGAACAAACATTTGGACTGCTGTTATCTACCGCAACATTGTATTCTTGCTTCTTTCGGTAAAGTCACGTAGAAGGGAAACAATAAAATAATACAAATATAAAACAATACAATTTTAATTTAAAGCTTTCGTGACTGCAAGGATTCATCTTCTTTGGTTCTTTCGGTAAAGTCACGTAGAATGAGATTAAAACGTCGTGAGAATATTATTGTGTTATTTTATTTTATCAATTTATTATTTTATTCTCATTCTACGTGACTTTACCGATAGAACCAAATAAGATGAATACAATTTTAACGTTGTCGTTACAAATAACCGCCACTTTTTTCAAAATTTCCTGCTGTGGTTTTCACACCTGATTATGATTGCTTGTGTTGCAGTCGAAAGGTCGTGAGAATTTAAATGTTTTATATTTTTATTATTTTATTGTTTCCCTTCTACGTGACTTTACCGAAAGAACCAAGAATATGAATCCCTGCAGTCACGAAAGCTTTAAATCAAAATTTATCGCAACATTATTTAAAAATACATTTGATTGGCATCGATAATAATGTTGTGTTAATAATTAATATAATATATCATACCTGTCAACCCATACGGTTTACCCGTATTCTTGTACAGGGAAATTGAGAGTTTTGAGGTCCAATACACGGTACAGTCGTTTCAATGCGGGCAACACAATGTTGTATCTGTTTTTGTTTCTCCCTTGCGATGGGACTTTGCAGGATGAACGTTGAGATGTATAAGGCCACAGGGTGACCAATAAGATCTGAATTTGTGTGTAATAAGGTAGGCTCAGATAAGGGGTTGACAGGTTTGATACAAACAAACTTCTGTTTACCTCAGCCAAGCAATTACGTCATGTCTGCCATGTTGCGTGAGTGACTTCACGGCGGCCGTGTTGTGTGAGTGATACTCTCTGGTTCTATTCGGTAAAGTCACGTAGGTAAAAATAAAATAACAAAAAATCACGACGTTTCGGCCACAACACAAGTGGCCTTCATCAGGTGAAGGGACTGGACTGTCCAGAGGACAGCGTTGGAGTAAAGACAGCAAGCCCAGGTCGCGTCCTTTAAGCTGTGTGGGAGGAAACAAAAAACGCCTTGACAAAGGAATTAGCATAACAATGATGTACTGGACCGGCACGGTGGGGGGGGGGGAGTTTACATGTTGGTGTGAAGGGAAATAAGCTGCTGTGAAAGTTTGGAATACCACTACTTGAATAAATATACTATACCATTGAAAATTAGTTTAATGTTTGGTTTGATTTAGAACATCTTTCCAATGTTTGCTTAATTTGATACCATCCTCTCGGTTGAAATTGTGTCTGTGTTTGTAAATTTGAATTGCCTCGTGGACAAATCTCTGATAAAAACCTGTGGGTTTGCAGAGAACCTTGGTATCGGAGAAAACTATATCGTGATCACCCACAGCGTTGTAACAGTGATCAGCTACGGCAGAAGAATTCGTTCTACCGTGTTCAAATCTGATTTGTGCTCGCAGATTCTGTTTATTCTGTTTAAGGCCAGCCTATCTTTAATCTCAGAGAGGATAAGATTACTCCGTTTTGAACTCGATACTTTAGACAGGACTCTCCTACAAGCTCATTTAACGCTCACACAAAAAATGTCACCTTCTGATTGGAACCACGTAGACAACATGACTGCTTCTTCTGCCGATTCACTTTCAGTAAAATACAAAGCTAACCTGATTTCTAAATTCAACCACCAATCGAAGAAGAACCCAGTCCCACATATAACAAAACTAGACGTTAACAAAATCGTCATAAATCAAAATAGCACCCCGATTTCGGACAATCTGAAAACAGTACTGGCTAGAGGGCTAATTTTGCTCTCACCCCGAAACATATTCCTGTAGATGATATCATCTCTCAGGTCGATGTGGCCCTTAAAGGCATAGGACACATCCAAGCAGACGTTGCAAGAGCTGAAATAGCCACTATTCTAAAGAATGCTAAGAAACCCATTAGCAACATCAGCAAAAATGAATGCTCTGGACTCGCGAATTTAAAAAAACAGAAGTGATATAGTCATCCTCTCAGCCGACAAAGGCAACGCTACTGTAATTATAGATAAAGATTCGTACAACAACAAAATCCAGAACCTACTCAACGACGGAAGTTACTCAAAAATAAAAAATGACCCTACTAATAGCCTGACTATAAAAACCAACAAGATCATCACAAGTTCGACCTCCCTAATCGAACCAACTAAACGTCCCTCCTTAAAACCTTCTGCTGCAAGACCCCCTAGATTATATGGTCTCCCCAAGATTCGTAAAGAAGGCACTCCACTACGACCCATCGTATCCACGATCAACTCCCCTACCTATAAGCTAGCACGTTTTCTGTCAGATACCTTGCTACCTTTCACTGGCAAGACCTCCTCAGCAGTATTTAACTCAGCTCATTTGGTCTCTATGGTCAAAGATGTTGTACTGTCCCCTGACCATATCCTTGTCAGCTTCGATGTGGTCTCCCTGTTCACCAAGGTCCCGGTACCTGACACCATTGAAATCATTGAAAATTTGGTACAACATGGACTAGACCCCGATACACCTGCGCTGATTAGACACTGCCTCACCAATACCTACTTTACTTGGAATGGCACCTTCTACAAACAAAATGAGGGTACCCCCATGGGTTCTCCCTTATCACCAGTGATAGCCAATGTTTTCATGGAGAAATTTGAATCAGACGCCATCCAGACTTCCACCCTCAGACCTTCCCTGTGGAAGAGATATGTGGATGACACTTTCGTCATTTGGCCACATGGCCTCCCAGCTTTGAACCTTTTCCTACACCACATAAATTCTAGACATCCCGCCATCAAATTCACCATGGAAGTGGAGAAAGATGGCAAGCTACCATTCATGGATGTTCTGTTTGAGAGGAGACCTGATGGCTCACTGGGGCATTCTGTCTACAGGAAACCCACCCACACAGATTCCTACTTGAAACCTGAATCCCACCACCACCCAGCTCAAAAGAATTCTCTCATCAAAACGTTATACCACAGGGCACATTGCATTTCGGACCAACACCACCTGACCAGTGAATTAAAACATGTACACCTGGCCCTCAAGAGAAACGGATACTCTGACCGTACCATCCACCAAGCTCTTTCTCCCTCCATACAGAAACAACCTCTTGATACTCCGGTCAAAACCATCACACTACCATATATAGCAGGCGTTACTAAAAAGATCTCCAAAATTCTAAACAAACACAAGATCCTGGTCCGGTTCAATACAGTACACAAAATCCGTGACCTGATCCCATCCGTGAAGGATGTCATTCCTGACTTACAGTACCCCGGGGTTTACAAACTGAGCTGCACCTGTGGTGACTGCTATATCGGGGAGACGAAACGACATGTCTCTGACCGAATTCGCGAGCACAAATCAGATTTGAAACACGGTAGAACGAATTCTTCTGCCGTAGCTGATCACTGTTACAACGCTGTGGGTGATCACAATATAGTTTTCTCCGATACCAAGGTTATCTGCAAACCCACGGGTTTTTATCAGAGATTTGTCCACGAGGCAATTCAGATTTACAAACACAGACACAATTTCAACCGAGAGGATGGTTTCAAATTAAGCAATCATTGGAAAGTTGTCCTAAATCAAACCAAACATTAAACTAATTTTCAATGGTATAGTATATTTATTCAAGTAGTGGTATTCCAAACTTTCACAGCAGCTTATTTGCCTTCACACCAACATTATGTAAACTCCCCCCCCCCCCCCCACCATGGTGCCGGTCCAGTACATATTTTTTATGCTAATTCCTTTGTCAAGGCGTTTTTTGTTTCCTCCCACACAGCTTAAAGGACGCGACCTAGGCTTGCTGTTTTCACTCCAACGCTGTCCTCTGGACAGTCCGGTCCCTTCACCTGACGAAGACCACTTGTGTTGTGGCCGAAACGTCGTGATTTTTTGCTATTTTATTTTTACCTACGTGACTTTACCGAATAGAACCAGAGAGTATGGATCCTTGCAGTCACGAAAGCTTCAAATTTAGAATTGTGTGAGTGACTTTACGGTGGCCATGTTGCGTGAGTTACTTTACGGCGGCCATGTTATGTTCCTGGCAGCTGATTGGCTGAAGCGGTGGGATTGATGACATCACCCCTAGCAATCACGGTATTTACTTACAAATGTTTTCTGTTTCCTGTTGTGGAATTTCGGAGCGTAATACAGTCGCAACCTGCAGGCAAAGGCCCA